TTACATACGTCCTACGCAAAGTCGCAGCACCATCATCATCAATAAAACCTACGTCGCACTTTGCTCGATCCCTGCTCGGTGGTGGCGTAGGCGAGATGCGCGAGGCAGATGGACATGCAACGGGGGTATGTATGCATGGCGGGCCGCGTTGGGTGGCGCCGGCTTGGGCTGGGTGCATGCATGAGGCCATACGACCCCTCGCAGCCCATTCTTGAGTTGGATGGTCTACGTGAACATATCTGCGCGTCCACATAGGGATCCCGGATGGACGTGTTTCCTCGTTGAGGTGTCTTGCTCTTTCGTACTGAGCCACGATGCCGCCCCGCTCCCGCTACGCCATCGACCCCTCCCTCACCCAGCACCACCAGCCCGCCTACGACCAGCCCGCCCCCGTCCTCCACCACGTCCCAGAGCGCGACCCACCGCCCACCGGCGAATATGCCCCCCAGCATCAGCCCACATACCATGCCGTACAGACACAGCAGCAGCAGCAGCAGCAGCAGCAGTACCTGTCGCCCTCAGCAACACCACCCGTCCACCACATCCCTCAGCCTCCGCACTCCACAGGCCAGAGTGCGTCTGGCTTGAGAGTAAGGCTCGACCCTACCCAAGTCCCGGACCCGATTGAAGCACAGTCTCTCGACCAGAACCTCTACGACGACGAGGACTTTTACTCGTGTCAGACCCGAGGCCTTATTCCTCTTGCGGGGACAGACTATCGCGGACATGACCAAGGTGCGCGACTTTGACGGCACGCTCGAGAGATGCTGACCCTCTAAAGGTAATGCGCTCCCTCGTCATCTTCGAGCGACCCTCCCCTGTATCCCTTCAAACGGCCAGCTCCTTGATACTACCGCCCTTCCCTTTGCGCTTCTGGTCCAGCCCTTTGCCTCGCTGCGGTACGACGAAGAGCCCGTCCCTCTCATCTCTTCGTGGATATCTGGCCAAAGCCCTTACGACCCCCCTTCTTTCCGAGGCGAGTCGTGGGGAGCAGAGGGCGAAGGTGAGGAGGAAGGCCCACCCAGGTGTGACCAGTGCAGAGGGTATATAAATCCCTGGGTCCGGTTCATTGATGGTGGGAGAAAATGGTCTTGTAATCTGTGCGGGGCTGAAAACCCTGGTACGTCTATCGGCTGTTTCGGTAGCCTGTGCTAAAGCTGGAATATAGTTCCTCCTCAATACTACAGTCATTTGGGCCCTAATGGCCAGAGAGTCGACCACCAACACCGCCCCGAACTGCAATTCGGCACAGTCGACTTTGCCGTCCCTCCCTCTTACTGGGCGCGTCAACCTCCTTCCGGCTCTTTAATCGATTCTGACGCACTCTCTTCCACCGCTCAAGACCTTCTGGGCGGGCTTCAAGCGTCCCTCGGTCAGGGCAAGGAGCCGCACATCCCCACAGGAAAGGAGCAGAGAGAGAAGGAGAAAGAGAGAGAGAAGGAGAGGCGAAAGTTCAGAAAGCCTACAACGTTGTCTAGAGTGTTTGTGGTGGATGTCAGTGCGAATGCTGGGTCGAGGGGTATCGTCCAGTTGGTGTGTGCTGGTATTCGAAAGGCCATCTACGGGAGCGACAAGGAAGGCGAAGACGAGCAAGACGTCGAGGAGCGACTCAAGCCTGGACAAAAGGTCGCTATCGTCTCTGTGGCCGAGGCTGTCAGTTTCTGGAACCTCTCCTCCACCCAGAGCGCTCCTTCCCAGATCGTCGTATCTGACCTCGACGACATGTTCATCCCGTTCACAAGCGGTTTCCTCGTAGACCCGCAAGAGTCTCGGACGCAGATCGAGGCGTTGCTGGATAGATTGCCGCAGCTGGCTGAGCAGGGACGAGAGGGTGGGAGGATTGCTGCTGGTTCTGCCGTCGTCGGTGCTTTGGCCGGTCTGGTGAGTCTCTTCTCTGGGCTGTAGGGCGCGCGCTAACGACATCCGAAGAAACAAATCGGCGGACAGATCAACCTCTTCCTTTCTGCGCTCCCTAGTCACGGTCTTGGCACATTGACTATGCGCGAGAACCCCGACTACTATCAGACTGACAAGGAAAAGATTCTCTTCACTCCTACCGATTGGTATGCCCAGACGGCTGACCAGCTCGCCGAGGCCGGTGTCGGGTTGAACCTTTTCTTGTTCCCTGACGCTTACTGCGATATGGCCAGTATTGGTGCTTTGGCAGCCGGGACGGGCGGAGAAACCTTCTTCTACCCTAGGATCGATATCGCCCGGGATGAGCCGTCGGTGCATGACGCCATCAAGCGGACATTGACTCGAGAAACGGCCTACAACGCTAGCGTCCGGGTGCGATGCTCAAACGGCCTCCGAGTCTCTTCCCATCTCGGAAACTTTCACGCCACCTCTCTCACCGAGATCAACTTTCCCGTCATCGACTCTACCAAGTCTTTCGCTGCTGTCATGTCTCACGAGGGTAGGCTCGATGAAAAGACTCCTGCCTTTACTCAGGTTGCTGTGCTCTACACGAGCGATACTGGAGAGAGGAGGGTGAGGTGTATCAACATGAGCTTTGTGACGACTAGCTTGATTGGAAACGTGTTCAAGTTTGCAGACCAGGAGGCCTGCGTGAGCACGCTCCTAAAGGCGGGACTTTCACAGATCACACAGAGGTCTTTGAGGGATATTCGAAAGTCGCTCTCATCGAGGTGTAACCGGATACTGTTGATGTACAGGAAGCATTGCGCTGCTGCTGTCTCTCAGGGCCAGGTAAGTCGTGTCTTGGAGTGATTCAGCATGAGCTTACAGACTGTCAGCTTATCTTGCCCGAGGGTTTCAAGCTTTTGCCCCTCTGGACATTATGTATGACGAAAACCAAGGCCATCAAAGGCGGCTCCGTCTCTTCCGACGTCCGCACTCACTACACCCGCCTATTGAAGTCTGCCTCCCTCGCCCGCCTCACTACACTCCTCTACCCTCGCCTCCTTGCTATCCACGACCTTGCCGCGAACGCCTGCTTTGCAGATGAAAAGACGGGGAGGTTGGTCTTGCCGAGCTTTACAAGGACGACACATGCGTGGATGGTACCCGATGGGGCGTACCTGATGGTGAATGGGGAGGTGGCGATGATTTGGTTTGCACAGGGCGTCAGTCCCCAGGTGGTCAAAGACATTTACGGTGTGGAGCATCTGGATGAGTTGGATGTGAGAAATGTACGTCCGAATGATTTAACAAAACACATCAGGGGCTAATGAGATGTCCCAGGCCGAGCTCCCTCGTCTTCCAACCCTGCTTTCGACGCAGCTGCACAACCTCGTCACCCACCTTTCTTCTCCCCATCTCCTCGACCGTTTCCTCCCAGTTCATATCGCCCGACAAAATATGGACGGGTCAGAAGTGGGCTTTGCAGACCAATTGGTGGAAGATACGAACAACGACGCATTGAGTTATACGGACTGTAAGCTCTTCATGCGTCACCAATGGGCTTCGTAACTAACATGGTATCTTAGATCTTATGACTTCTCACAGAGAGATTACCAACGAGTTCAACGGCAGTGCGAAAGGGGACAGCTGGATTCCATGGTCATAGTCACCACGAAAAGTGAAAGCGTGTAAGACGAACTTAGACGTACGAGATGTTTCAGTGATCCTGGAGGCAGGATATACCATATGACGGGTTGAAGGTACATGCATATTGAGATTGACATTATTGTCGTGACTACACTGTGTTTCTTTCCTTGACCTCCTTCACCAGATCAGTCAGAGAGGTAATGACATTGACACTCTCAAGATCTTCTACAGCTTGCCTCTGAGCCCCGTCGCTCCATTCTCCCGGCCTTCTGATCAGTCTACCCTCAAGTCCGGCATTGATCGAGCCTTGGTAGTCTCTACAGCCTTGTCAATGTTACACTTCAAGGTTAGACACAACTCACGCCTTCAGCTCATCTCCTACCATGATCACCCCCTCCCCAAGCTCCTCCCCGGCCATCCTGCACGCGCTTTGGTATATCTCCAGTGATGGCTTGGAGGCGTCCACATCCCATGAGAGGGTAGGAGTATTTGTGATGTGTGATAGAATGTCAAGCGATCTCAGGGTTTTAACTGGAAGATTTGTAAGCGCTGTGCAAATGCTCCATACTAGAGAAAAAGGAAGACTTGCGAATTCGAGGATCGGCGTTGGATACTATACCTGTTTTGACTCCCATAGCTTTCAGAGCTTGCACTAGAGACCTCTTCAGCCCCTTGCCACGTCTGCGCGCCATTCTACCTACAGCTTTCGATCGTCTCAGGGAACAGTTTGTACCCTACGTCGCTCTCAAACCGGGCAAGCAGGTTTGGCAGGATATCGTCCATCTTCTTTTCCAGCTCTGCTGGCGGAGCTCCAGCTTCTAGGTATGTCTCGTAGATGATCTTGCCCCACCACTCTTCTGGGGTGAGGGGTGGAGTGGTATATTTGCCGTAGAGTGGCCAGGATGCGTCGACTTTCTTGAAGGCTAGACGAGCAAGTAAGCACACTCCCGTTTCGTCAGCGGAAAGGTGAAAGATCATTACCTGGTTTGAAAGCCGAACGGACGCGCAGCGGTGATATATGATCGGGAGATATCCCGCCCTTGATTCCCTCGTCGTAGTATCTGCCCCAAGTGGTCAATCAGACGGCCATTGAAGAGCTCCGCAGGTCAGGCAGAGACGTACTGACACTTACTGCTCATGGACGGGTAATCTGGGCGTGCAGAGCGTGTCTTTGCGTGATGTGAGTTGCTTTTCGTATATTAATTAGTCTGTTTCTGACTGAACATACCAAAGACGTCAAAGAGGACGAGCCGGACTGGCTTGCGTGCTACGTGGGAGGACATCAGGCGGAGGGGGCTGCTGGTCATGAAGATGCCTTTGTGTTCGCTGTGCCGAGTATCTAATTGCTGCCTGTTGCTTCTCTAATGCTTGAATTATTATATAAGGAGACTGCTTCAACGCCCTTGCTCGACAGACGGGGCGCCGCTTTGGGGTTCACTCCAGGTTCATCCCGGGCGCCGATGGCTCTGAACAGAAGTGCGCCGTCACAACTTTTGGGTGGAGGTTTGAACCCAACAATTCCGTGACTCGTCCACATCGACTCGTTGCCTCGACCTACTCTTTCCTGTACATCTCGGAGCTCAGACTCAGTCACTACTTGCAGAACCCTACACCACAGCTGCGAATGCTTGATGCCTGAGCCTAATAAGGCTATCCAGGACGAGGAGCTAGACAGCCTGAGGGCCATCTATCCCGTAAGTGCCATCTACATTGCCCTTCCCGCCCTCCCTGCATACAGGAGTCCTGCATGTTGATGCAATTATCTTCAGGATGAATGGCACGACGTACCGCCAAAGAAAACAGCGTGGGGAACAGAGGTAGATGGAGGATGGTGGGAGGTCAAGATTTGTGGATTGGAAGATGAAAGGGTCAGCGTGATCCTCAAGGGCAAAATGACACAGGTGCGCTTCACTTCTGCTCTTCAATTCCTAGTGCTTGACATGAATCTGACGATCAAGTGCAGGCGTATCCCCAGCAGGTACCCCCGTTGTCCCTTCGAGAACCAGAATACCTCACTGCGAAACATGTACAGCAATTGCACACTCTTGTGCAAGAAAAAGCAAAGTCCAAGACTGGGGAAGTGATGATTTTCGAGGTAAGTCATAGCAATGCTGGGGATCCCATTCTGACATTCTGTACAGTTGATTGAAACCGTACGAGACTTCATCACGGACAACCATGCACCGTTACCCAACCCTGGAGATGTCAACCTTTTGGAGGAGAAGGCTCGTCGAGAAGAGGCACAACGAGCTGTAAATTGTGTTCTGGCTATACTAGGCCCCATCTGACATTGTTTCAGGCGGAAGAAGCAAATCGAGCGACCGAAGATGAGCGAAAAAAGAAAGAACTCGACAAGAACAACAGGTATCTCCATGATCAAATACAGCTCAACACCATCAAGAAGAAGGAGACCGCAGATCAGCACAAACAGCAGCTTGAGGAGCGTCGCAGACAAGAATCTCTCGTTCTTCTCGAGATTGGGGATTTAGAGACTAGAGATTTAGAGCTGGATGAGTCCATTTCGGTTGCGGGGTATGAGGGAAAATGGAAATGGTGGATATTGTTCGGAGGAAAGAAGGAGATACTCTGGACCACTTATACTGCTGAGCCCGACAGCTCAAAAGCTTCATCCTTGGATGCCGTTTCCTTTGTCAAAGCTTCCTCGCCAAATGTCTCGGTGCAGATCATCGATTTCGCCAACCCTTGGTACTCTACAGCACTCGGGAGCAAGAGGATAGACTCTTGTACTGTCGAAGTATTGAGGTCTCAAGAGACGAAGAGTGAAAACATTGTCAACGTACTGGCTGTCAAGCGTGCAAAGAGCCCAAAAGGATGGGAACGGCTGGTGCTGGTGACAGAGGGCTTATCTGAAGGCGTGAAGTTGCGGTCGTGGATAGGGAGAGAAGGTCTCGATGAAGACGTCACAAAGGTAAAGCCATTGGCGGATTTTCGGAGATCAACGTATTGACATGGCACAGGAGTATCTGACTCAAGTGCTTCATGGATTGAGTCAACTGCATCAGCACAATTGCTGTCAAAAACGTGAGGATCCCTTTCTCATTGGAACATCTTACTAAACTTTCTTCAGAATTGGATCTCGACTTTGTGCTTGTTTCGAGTGCACCTCACGGGCAAAAGGCCGTCAAGCTGCTAGGCACTTGTTATGCTCGGCGAATCATCGACATGCACAAGTCCAACCCTTTCTTGAGGAGCCGAGTCGAGACGGTACCCGAGGAATGGTCAGACGGTCCCGGATCCCTGTGAACAATGCTGACATCTCCACCCAGGATATCGCCTGATGAACGTGATTCACCGCATACATATACACGACCTCGAGATATGTGGCTAGTTGGACTGCTTCTGGTGCAGATGTTGTTTGGTCCAGACACTCTCAACAATTACCACAACTTCCATAGCCTGGTTCAGCATGGTGAGTTTTTAGGGCGTTTCTTGAGCTTTCGCTGATCAGAATGTAGCGCCCGGATTGTCAGACTCCATGATGGATCTCCTTACAGGCCTGCTGCACCCGAATCCGAAGAAGCGTCTAACTGCAGATGAAGCATTGAGCAAATTGCGGTGCTTTGATGAGACCACTCGACGAGCGGTCAAGATGCCGATCCACGGTCGTGTCGACAGCATTCCCCAATCACCCAACGAGCTGTTCGGTGCATCACCAATCAACCGAGGGGCTTTTATGAATCATCGCCCGAGCACTCCTCAGCTGTTCGCCCCTCGACTGTCGAGATATAGGGCCGACTTTGAGGAAGTAGAGTTCTTGGGGAAGGGAGGTTTTGGAGAAGTTGTGAAAGCTAGAAACAAGCTGGATGGACGGTCGTACGCTATCAGTGAGCCCTATCTCCATTGAGTGGAAGGAGTGTCCTCACGATGTCTCAGAAAAAGTCAAACTTCGCCCCGAGGACAACGAACAGAAAGTCTACCGAGAGGTGAACAATTTGTCTAGAGTGAATCATCAACACATCGTCCGCTACTATGGTTGCTGGCTTGAAGATCTGAACCCACCCGATCTAACGCCGACCGTCGAAGGCGGCATCAGTGGTCTGTCAACGGGCGCGACAAGCGCGGGTCAAGGCTCAACAAGCACAGAGGAAGACATCTTTGCAGTCAACTTTGATGATTTCTCGTCCAGACGCGATCAATCTAGAAGTGCCTCGTTCCCTCGGATTCGATTCACCAACGAGAACGAGGACGATGAAGACTCGGACGGAGATGATGACGAGTCTGACGAAGACTCGAGCACCGATTCAGACGATTCGGATGGTTCAGTCTCCAGCGCAGCTACAGCCGACCCGTCGCAGCCTCAACAGCGAAGGGGAAGGGGGCAGCATTCCAGCGTTCAGCAGAGTAAGCCATCTTTGGCGTCCACGTCAGCTTCGACGAACGACGGGACTGTGCAAAGAATCCTGTATATACAGATGGAGTTTGTTGAAAAGGTTTGTGACGTCGGCGACTTGTGGATGTAGGTGCTGACATACATGATCAGCAAACGCTACGCGAAGCCATTACCTCGGGGCTTGGAGAGGACGAAGTGTGGAGACTGTTGAGACAAGTCCTTTCGGCCCTGGCGCATATGGCCTCACTGGGTATAGTTCACCGTGATCTGAAGCCGTCGAATATCTTGCTCGATGGGGACGGGAACGTCAAAATCGCAGACTTCGGACTTTCTGTAAGATCAACGTCTAACATCAGAAATGTGTTTGGCTGACTCGGGGAAAGACGTCCGAAATGACGGCCATCGAAGTCGCTTCAGGCCCTGCTACTGACATAGCCGACCACATAGACCAGACCTCCAACATTGGTACCAGCCTCTACATTGCTCCAGAGGTGGCCATATCTAGATCTTACAATGAGAAGGTGAGCACACTCGCTGCTTGGTAACCGAACTAATCAATCGTCAAATGACAGGCCGATATGTACTCTCTCGGTATCATCTTCTTTGAGATGTGTTACCCATTCAAGACTGCCATGGAGCGAGTCCACATTCTCACTGCTGTACGCCAACCCTCTATATCGTTTCCTCCTGGCTGGACACCGAACCACAAGGTAAATGAAAGAGAGATCATTCGGAGGCTATTGGTGCACGACCCAGCACTCAGATTCAAAGCCACCGAGCTATTGAGGAGTCCTCTATTACCGGCGCCAGAAAAGCGCAAGGAGGATTACGATGCGGTGATCCTTGGCAAGTGTGAACGTACTGATACCGGATGTTGAAAAGCTGACGTCTTTTGATAGAGCTCACCGATCCCAAATCTACCCACTTCACCTCCCTGCTAGACACGCTATTTGATCCGCCCTCTCACAATATCACTGAAGTCAATCATCGCCTGGTGGACTATACCTTTGATAATGATCCAGACGATCATCTACAAGTATGGCTTACTGTCGTTATACAACGTCTCGTCGACCTTTTCCAGCGACATGGCGCTGTCGAAACCTATCTGCCCCTGTTGATCCCAGAGACCAATCTGTTGGATGCCTTCGAAGACCTGGAGCCAGTTAGGCTTATCGAAAAGAGTGGTCAAGTGGTCCAATTGCCCAGCAGCGATGTTTTGGCGATGGGCAGGAGTGCCACCAGGCGACAAATTGAGAGGATCAAGCGATACCATGTGGGGCACAAATACACCAGCCATCATCTAGGGGGACAGCCCGTTGTGGCAGGGGAGCTCAGGTATGTCATGATCTGAATGCCAATCAAGTGGTTGACTGAATCCTTGCAGTTTCGACATTGTCTCGCCCATTCGCTCAGCAGCTGCGGAAGCAGAGTTGCTGGAGGTGGTGGACAAATTGATATCCGAATTCCGCGGTATGCGAGGATCCTCTTCCATTGAATACGAGTTTCACATAAGTCACGAGACAGGCTAGTTTCTTTTTCTGATTATGTGATGTTTTGCTCACAATGTTGTAGTCCTCAGCCTGATCCTCGGCCTTGTTCCTGAACGTGCGGACAAACCTCGTCTGAAACTGTTGGAGCAATTTAGACAACTGGGTGCTAGCAACAGTGCCAATGGCCAAAGCCAATCCCGAAACCTGTTGGGCAATATCGCTGGCCTCTCCAGAACACTGATGGATGAGCTCGAGCAGTGCTGTATCGCTGGTATGTCTCATCTTTCTGTAGTCTACATCGGCTAATATCGTGCAGGCGACTTTGACGTGGTCCGCAAGAGATTAGAGACTCTCTTTGCATCTGGGCCAGCGAAGCGCAGATTGGCGGGTGCGATGGACGATATGGCGAAAGTCATTGATGCCACGCGAGCTTGTGGTGTGCAGAGAAAAATCCTGTTCAGGCCGACATTGGCAAAGCACAGCGAGGTTGGTCTGATCCCAGCAGCGATGGGCGCGCAATACTCACCTCGAACGCAGTTCTTCAGGGGAGGTTTGATGTTTGAATGTGTCCGACGGGGCAAGCAGAAGGAAGTGGTGGCTTATGGTGGGAGGTAGGTTAGGCACAAGCATGATCAAGCAGAGCTAAACTGGGTCATAGGTATGACTCCCTTTTGGAACACTTCAAGCAACCAGCAATCCACTCCCAAACTCGACGTGTGTATGGGGTAGGAATGTCCATCGCAGTCGAGTGAGCGCCTTGGATATCCATATCGCAGTGGATGCTGATGGTACCCAAAGTCAAATAGCACGAGTCGTGTCAAGATACGAGTCATCGTTATCCCGTCGTCTGATGGAGAAGCCCAACGAAGACGAACGATCTTTCGGATACTGGAGTCCAGCGGTACGTTTCTCACATCTTTGCTGTCGCCCCTTCTCAACGATAATATAGCGATGTGATGTCTACGTTGCCGCCTTCCCTCAAGTTGATATAACTGTTCGACTTCAAGTCACCGGTGAACTTTGGAGAGCGGGGATACGGGCAGACTTCCAGTATGATGATGATAGAAGTCTGGATGAGGTCACGCAGGAGTGTCAGGATCAGAATATCCTGTGAGTCACCCGCCATTGAAGAACGAGAGTCTAACGTGTTTCTGTCAGCTTCCTAATCATTCCTCGAGCCAGTCGCTCGGCTGTAAAAGTCAGAAGCATCCTTCGTCGATCGGAAGAAGAGGGTCCGTCTTCTGCCATCCATGTCCTCTTCTGTAAACTGACATGACTTTAGTACCCCGTCACGACCTATGCAATCACCTGCGCATCGCCATCGCCGATCAGCGGAGGATCGACGCGTCGTACGCTTCAGCTGAAGGGTCTATACCGTCGGCACAAGCTGCGGCGTTGTCGGTGGAGCCGAATCAGACAGAAGTGGAGATCAAGCTGATCTTGCCTCCTGAGCCTGTGGTTTCAAAGGGCAGCAAGGGAAGACCGGTGCGCAAGCATCGCCACGGAACCAAGGTGCGTCGAGCTTGTGCCACAGTCGCCGGAACTGACCAATACTTTCCTGTAGTCGGTATACTATGACAAAGGTACGTCAACAAGACTATATCCTCCAAGCCTCGGCTGACCGTGGCTATAGCCTCTGATTTCGCCGCGCAAACGCAATCCACCCTTCCTCTTCTAGGCGTCGATCTTCCGCCCCTTCTTCTCTGCCAAATGGCTCTTGATATGGCTTGGATCAAGGATGACGAAGTGTGGCGGACATTGCTAGCGAAAGAAGGAATCCACGCTGGCGACAGGCGGTATGCCGAAGCAGTGCGAGAAGGAGTGCAGCAGATGCGAGCCGGGACCAAGGGTAATGGGTCAGGCGGAAATGATGGATGGATGTGGCTGTTCAGCGTGAGGGACAACAAGGTGAGTGCCTCAAGGCGTGGTCATGCTCTGCATTCACGGATACCGTGACTGATGAGTATTGTAGGGGTTCCTGCTGCAGGGCGGAAGTGGCAAGTAAAGACTTCAACTAGAGACTTCCAGGAAAATCAAAGAACAGTTTGAGATACCATATCAACATCAAACCGTTACCTAAATAATTTGGCATTGTTATGATCTATAGAATGTACTCTCATACAGCATTACTGTTCCTTCTCGCAAGGCATGAGACCGAAGCTGGGACCTGTGAGATCTCCGAGAACTTGGTCAGGGGAGGCGAGGCTGAGACGCAAGGCGTTAGGCGGCCCAGTTATACATCTATCGTCGCCCAATGCCCACGAGCCTCCTACCTCTATGTAAAGTACGTGATTTGGGATGGCATGTTACCTATCTTTCCCTCACGGGGGTACCTGGGCAATGCTGGAGGGAATGCGTACTCAGGTACAGATCCATCTGCAAGACAGGACCCGCAAAGCGAAAGAAGAGCGACGGATGCTCGGCGAGGGGTGAACCGGGGGCCGGGCGGTGTGGCGGTGTCAACAACATGGTCCAAGCCAGTCTAGTGTGCATCCTTTCCAAGCTGCCCGGCCACAACGAGGTCCCCGGGGACTTGCCCTGTATATATAGTCCCCCTACTGCGGTCTCCCCCAAGAAGTCAGTCCCCCTATTCCCTCTTTGTTTGGTTCGGCCTGCCGCAGGCCAACCCACCCTCGCCCGATGACCTTGCTTTCGTCTGCCGTATCGCTTGCAGCTCTAGTCTCGCTTGTCATCACAGAAGTCTTTGCCACTCCCTTCACTACTCCACATGCTCAGCTATTAGCTGAGAGAGGGTTGGGAGACAAAAGCTACGCCCCCTACGAGGTGTCGTGTCCCACCACCTGGACATGGGTTCGGAATGCAAGGGCAGGTGGCTTATTTCCAATTTGGAAGCGTCCGTTCTGACACTTCAACCAGGAAGGCCTTGCTACTGCCGAACAACAGTACATCAGCGAGCGACACAAGCTCGTGGGTCCTGCAGTCGAAAAGATGATGGTTGCTCGGGGTCTCGAGAATCCACCTCGGATACCCAATATAGGTGTGGCACTTTCAGGAGGAGGCTATCGAGCCATGTTGTATGTGCTTCTGGACAGTAATAGCAAGTATCATACTGATTTTCACGACGTAGGGTCGGCCTCGGTGGAGTCATGGGTCTCATGAATCAAAGCCAGGAAGCCTCAGAAAGCGGTACCGGGGGCTGGCTCGAAGCCGTGACTTACTGGTCGGGCCTAAGTGGTGGAAGCTGGGCCACTGGATCTTTCATGGCGAACGGCGGTCCCCTACCCAGCAGTCTCATTGACAGCGTGAGTGAGCAACCTTTATGATGACCAAAAGAGCTCACACTGCTGTAGCTATGGGATCTCAGCTCCAACTTGATCTATCCGAGTGACAACAAGGTCTCCTTCTACTCTGAGCTTTACACAGAGGTCACCGCCAAGCAAGACGAAGACTTTCCTGTTCAAGTGACTGATCTTTGGGGTCTTGCTCTTGGCTCGCACCTGCTTCCAGAAGACTATCATCTGGACAACAGTCCCAACTTTACGATATCAAGTCTGCCCCAGATGATCCCAGCCATTGCCAACGCTAGTCTCCCCATGCCTATCATCATTGCTGCCGAGTGAGTGCCTCAATGTCTCCAGGGAGAAGGGCTCATACACCTTGAGACGTGAACAGGGCGAGCTTGTCATTGCCGAGAACGCAACGGTCTATGAGTTCACGCCGTACGAATTCGGTTCTTGGGCATTCGGCAGTGACTACAAAAGCGCCGGCGCGTTCACATCTGTGGAGTACCTCGGCACATCCCTCGACAATGGTACTGCGAACGGCACCTGCTGGAAGGGTTTTGACCAGCTCTCGTATCTTCATCCATCGCTATGACTCGTGATCCATGGGCTGACGATGATGCAGCTTTGTCATGGGTACCTCTGCCACCCTCTTCAACAGCGCTTGGCTCACGCTCAACCAGTCCGACACTGGCCTCGTCGGCGACCTCCTCCAAAGCATCCTCGAAGACCTCGGCGACAGCCAAGTCGATGTCTCTCGCATCCCTAACCCCTTCGCCAACTACAACACGGGCGAGAACCCTGTATCTTCATTCGAGTACATCACTCTCATAGACGCCGGGGAGACCAATCAGAACATCCCGTTCGAGCCACTCATCGCACCCTCGAGAAACGTCGATGCCATCATCGCTTTCGATGCGTCTTACGATACGAACACCACTTGGCCTAATGGGACTGCGCCCCGGACGACCTTTGAGAGGGCCATGGTACTGGCACAGTATCAGAATGTGGAGGTCAGGATGCCCGAGGTGCCGAGTCAGAACGGCTTCATCAACGGAGGTTACAACTCTCGCCCAACACTCTTTGGATGCGACCGAACGGACACGCCCATTGTGGTGTACGTGCCATCCTTCCCATGGAGCTATGGGTCGAACACTTCTACAGTGAGCTTTTACACCTCTTGGAGTTGAGAAAGAAGCTGAATCTGTCTAGTACCAAATGTCATATGACAATGACGAAGCTCTCGAAGTGATGCTATCGGGCATGCGGTCTCTCACCCTCAACGGCTCCGCCGAAACGTGGCCCACCTGTCTCGCATGTGCCCTGACCGACCGCGCATTTGCATACACCTCCTCCAACCGCTCTTCCACCTGCCAGACATGCTTCGACACATGGTGTTGGGACGGCACTGACGACACGAGCGAGCCCGAGGAGTATGCCCCAGAGATAGGTGGTGTGCCGCCTTGGCTGGCAGTGAAGGGGTTGATCATAGGGGTGCAAGATGCGCCGTCTAGCGACACTTCTAGAAACTCTTCATCCGAGTCTGGGGGCTTCAGAGTGGCCGGTAGCGTGCCTTGGGCTATGTCGATGGCGTTAGCAGCAGCAGGTGTTGCGGCCTTGGCCCTCGACCTGTAAACCCGAAATATTACCGCGTCTATAATAATGGTTGATACCATACACGTTGTACCTAGACTGACCTCGCATGAATACATTGAGCAAAACTCAGACGGACAGAGTGCACATTGATCTCGGGCGCCGGGATTGCTAAAGGTGTTCCTGGCTGACCCTTCTTCCTGTCATGTCGCAGTAGTGCAGTGTGGGCCACATTGTGACATGCATACAAGCAAACTACTGCTGGCAACGGCGGCTAGGTGGTATCTGTTGTCAAAATACAATGTAGGAGGAGATTGGTGGCAGCGGCGACTCGATGAAAGTCGCAGCACTCTCTTCAAAAGCCGGGCAGGGCTTCAGTGCGCGCGAGGGCACAGACTGGTACGTTGGTCGGGCCGCTTAGGATCCTTTGTTAGTTGCTTGAGTCCCTCCATAGCAGCCCTGTTGTATACATTGTTTTTCAGTATGCTCTCCTACATCTATGTCCCTTAGTACATCCAGCCAGTTCAAGCAAACACCCTCTTTCAACGCGTAAGGCCGCCTTTCACCCTGTTATTTGGTTCGGCACCTGGCGCGATGCCGCGTTCTCTTTCCACCGCTCTTGTGCTGGTCACTTTCGCCACTTTCATCATCACACAAGCTGTTGCCGTGTCATTCAACGATGAGCAGCGCTTCGAGCTGCAAGCCGAGAGAGGACTAGGAGACAAATCGTACGCCCCCTATGAAGTAGCGTGCCCTTCAGACGAAACTTGGGTCCGTAATGCTACGGTCAGTCTCGATAAGTTTGTCATGAGTAATCTGCTGACTGCTTCTATAGACGGGTCTTGCTACCGCTGAACAGGACTACATCAATCAGCGAAAGAGCCTCGTAGATGCCGCGGTGGAGAAGATGATGGCGGTCCGAGGGCTGGATAACCCGCCAAGGATGCCGAACATAGGTGTGGCTCTCTCCGGAGGCGGCTATCGAGCAATGCTGTGAGTTATCTACCCGCTCATTATGATGTCTACGTACGCTGAGACTTTTGCTAGTGTGGGTCTGGGCGGCGTGATGGGTCTGATGAACGAAAGTTCAGAGGCGGCCTCCAGCGGCACAGGGGGCTGGCTTGAAGCGACTAATTATATGGCCGGTCTAAGTGGAGGAAGCTGGGCTGTGGGGTCGTTCGTGGCGAATGGTGGAGCCCTCCCCAGCACACTTCTCCAAGATGTAAGTGGTCGCTAGATTGGAACACGCAGGAAGCTCATCACGTAAATGACAGCTGTACGAACTCGACTCCAATCTCATATTCCCGTCCAACGGGAAAATCACCTTCTACCCGGAGCTTTACACGGAAAGCAAAGCGAAGGTCGACAAGGGCTTTCCGGTGCAATTGACCGATATATGGGGCCTCGCTATAGGTGCACATGTCATGCCGGATGACTTTCAGCTGGACAAGACTCCCAATTTCACCCTGTCCAACCTGGCGCAAGCTGTGCCAGCCTATGCTAACGCAAGCCTTCCTATGCCTATCATCATAGCTGCCGAGTGGGTGATCAGTGCGATGTGCAGATCGCAGAGCTACAACTGATCCTTGATACTACCAGGAGAGAGCCAGGTGAGCTCGTGATTGCCGAAAACGCCACCGTCTACGAGTTTACTCCCTACGAGTTTGGCTCCTGGGCGTTTGGTAGCGACTTCAAGAGCCCTGGTGCTTTTACACCTATGGAGTTCCTGGGAACATCTCTAGATGATGGCGCTGCAAATGGGACGTGCTGGAAAGGTTACGACCAGCTTTCGTGAGTGTCCATCCTCACATGCGCTGTTTCGAGAGCTGATTACAGGGAAAGGTTCGCCATGGGCACTTCTGCCACCCTCTTCAATGGTGCCTTCCTCGAGCTGAATGGGACCGACACAGGCCTCCTTGGCGACTTTCTCAAGGACATACTCGAAGACCTGGGTGATGAACAGCTCGATGTTTCCCGGGTCCCGAATCCGTTCGCCGGCTTCAATCCTGGCTACAATCCTGTATCCGCTTTCGATTTCATCACTCTGGTTGATGCTGGCGAGACTAACCAGAATGTTCCCTTGGAACCTCTCATCGAACCGACAAGAAACCTCGATGCCATCATCGCATTTGATGCGTCCGCCGACACGGATACTACGTGGCCCAATGGTTCAGCGCCTCGTACAACGTTTGAGAGGGCACAAGTTCTGGCCCAGTACCAGAATGTGAATGTGAGGATGCCAGAAGTGCCTAGTGTCAACGGTTTCGTGAACGGAGGGTTCAACGCCAGACCAACGTTCTTTGGGTGTAACGACACAGATACGCCTATACTGGTCTACGTCCCTTCTTATCCGTGGACTTCCGCTTCCAACACATCCACTGTGAGTCTCTGTCCCGTCCAAGCCTCTGGCCGCCCAGCGATAGGCTGATATGTGCCAGTTTCAATTGGAGTATAGCACAGACGAAGCCCTAGAGGTCATGCTTTCAGGCATGCGCTCCTTGACTCTGAACGGCACCGTCGAATCTTGGCCAACCTGCCTCGCTTGTGCGCTAAGCGACCGTGCATTTGATTACACCTCTGCCAACCGTTCGTCAACGTGCCAGTCATGCTTTGACACCTGGTGCTGGGACGGGACTGATGATACGACCGAGCCGGCCACTTATACGCCAGATATAGGGAGCGTACCTCCTTGGTTGGTGGAGCAGGGACTGGTTTGAGGGTATAAGATGCGCCTGGAGGAAGCGCATCATCTAGACACTCCCTTCAAAGACAACGTATAGGTGTCCATTATGCCTTCAAGAGACCTTTTCTGTTTGCTTGCTGTTTGCTTGCTGTTTGCTTGCTGTTTCCGGGACACTGCTTGCTGTTTCCGGGACACTCGTGGCTTTGAGGATACTTTATAATTCTATCAGCCGTAGACTTCAGCTTAGAGGGGACAGCTGTTAGGATCTGGTACGATCACTATAAACGTGACATGCACTATAAGATGATACAACAGGCTATGAAACAACGTACAGATCCATATGCAAATACTGTCCGCCAGCGACCACCTCTCTTTAGATTCTCGCCTTCTTCCGGGTTGACTGATTGATTGTTGCACTAGCGGGTTTGAAGTTGCTACTTGAAGGCAATCTGGGACCCCCTGCCATAGATGCGGGGAGGCTATGAGAAAGGACGTCAGGTTCTGTGGGCCATATTGGATTGGGCAGACTCACGATCCCATTTTGGCATCACCATTATCCTCATGCGTGACTCTTCTGGTTGGATAGGTAATGTTGCTTCCTTCAAATACACTCCTGTAGAGAAGTCAACGTTGTCGTTCGTGACAGGGATCGACACCTACTTGACTGCTACGCCTCCGTCCTCCTGGAACCAAGGGTGCTTCAAACTATCCTTCGCCGTCACCCTCCTCGCAGGATCCCACTCAAACATCTTTACCAGTAGATCGTATCCTTCCGTTGACTGAGATCTGGCGTGGTACCAAGTCGGTAAGGGATTGGGGTTGGGGTAAGGGCCAGTTGCTTGGTAGGTCCGGTATTCAGGCATGTGTACTATGCCGGGCCATTGCTCGGCTGTAAAGTCAAGTGTCAGTTAGAGAAAAGTAGGCCAGGAGACAGAGACTTGCGCTTGACGGGGCCAAGAACTTCGCATATTTTACCCATTTGATCGCGCTGGAAGGGAAGCGTCTTCTTGCCGTCCATCTTGGCCTCGTCGCCTTTGAACAATGGTCTCAATGACAATAGCTCGGCGTAGATACAGCCCACAGCCCAGATGTCTGAACAATATCAGTGGAGAGCCTATGAAATGAAGGTGACTATCACTTACCGACAGCAGCAGTATAATGCTTTGAGCCAAGGATGAGCTCTGGTGCTCTATACCAGATAGTCACGACGACCTTGTCACCCCCATACAGACCCCCTTTTGCCAGCGGCTTATGCCAGAGTCTCGCGAGACCCAAATCTCCGATCTTGACCACACCAGAATTGGTGACGAGGATGTTGGCCGGCTTGAGATCTCGATGTAGAACAAAGTTTGAATGCAGGAAATGAACGCCGCAGAGGAGTTGGTGAAGAAGGCGGCGGAGGGTTGAAGGTGGGATTGGGACTCGGGCGGTTTGTGAGTGGTGGTGGATGATTTGCTGGTTGGATGTCAGCTCTCAATGAGTGGGCTCAGAGGTAAGGGCTGTACCAAAAAGTCGTGCTCTGCGTACTCGAATACCATGTAGATGGACTTGTCTTCGAGGATGACCTCGCGCAACGACACGAGATTTCGATGATGAAGCTCACGATTTAGCTGGTAAAGTGTCAGCATCTCTCCCGTCTTATCATGTCTGACCCACCATAATCTCTCGAGCTCCGCTCTGACTGATACCAGCATACGTCAAGACATCGCCTTCTTTATCTGGTTTGAATTTCTTGATTGCAAAGACATCCCCCTTCTTGGCTCTCCTATCCCCGGGTCTCATACACATCTCTGGGTTGTTTAGAGGGTCATTCTCGATGAACTTGTCTGAAAGACTAGGCGAGGGCAGTTTGTCTTTTGAGATTGAGAGGGCGACCCGGGCTGAGCTGGGGAGGGCGGAGGCGATATTCGACTTTGAGGGAGGCTGTAGTATGGCCTTGTAGACTCGGCCGTAGGTACCTGCAGTATGTAAGCTTATGCCCATCAGCTGCCCACCGCATGCGGACCTGACGAGATGAAGCCGAGGATCTTGTAGGTCTTGAGCACGCTGCAGAGGGATAAGCTGCAGTCATGGACCCTCTACTCGACTCACCCTCTTCTTTCGGCGTCTCTTTTTGCCCTGTACATATGCATGGGGTCAAGTGTCGCTGTCGTAGCCATCTCTCCTGATTTGTAGTGCATGCATACGAAACATACCAGGACGGAAGCCCAACGATGTAAGAGAGAGTTGGCGCTGTGTACGTAATCCTTCGGTGCCCTGATTCAAACCAAACAAACAAATCCAAACATCCCATCTCCTCTTTCATTTCATTCTCCACCCCATCCCGCCATGTCCCTAGCAGCACGCTCGCCCAGGTCGCGCAAGTCCCTCTCCGCCTTCGACCAGAACATCCAACACGGCATCAAACCCCTCGCGCCCCCACTCAGCAAAGGCAAGAAGAGGGCCGCTGCCAGTATTGGCGGAGAAGGTCTGAAGGAACTGGGATTGATGGTCAACAAGATGGATGACATGACTGCCAAGAAGAACCCCAGACAACACCTCGTGAGCTACTCCATGCAGCAGGTGGATGGCGCTTACTCAGACTAGCAACCACGGAAATCCATTTTGAAACCTCGAGGTGAAGATGACACAATGGAATTCACCCAGCAATACGCACACACCGTCGCTTTTGGATCACTCCCCGACGAAAACTCTGATCCCTCTCGAGGTGCCAGGCAGAGCCTTGGTGGAAGGCGCGTCAGTTTTGCGCCCAATGCACACGTCCGGTGAGTCGTCTTTACGCATTGTTGGCCCATAGCTGACCGACATCTAGCATGTTTGGTGGTCCCACTGTGAAGAACTCAAGAGCTTCTGTTGGTTTCAACTTTACCGAGGCCACTACCCCCCCTTCCAAATCAAATCACTCTCGCCGATCATCCATCCAAAACATCGGCTCAGTCTCCAAACCCAACATCTTTGCCCACGGCGTCTACACGGGCGAAGGCGAAGGCGAGGGAGAAGAGTCTATGGAGATTGAAGATGAAGAAGGGTATGAGCAGCATTCCGATCAGCAGACAGGCTACGAAAATCAGGGGGAAGAGTCGATGGATATGGAAGAAGACGACATGGACATCACCACGCAAGTATACGGTGGTATCATTCGACGGTCATCTATGGCACCTTCCGCCAACAACTCTGAAGAACTCGATGCCGATGCTGATACTGAAGATGAGGCAGACAGTACCGATCATTCTCAGCTCGACGAAGAGCAAACCATGGATTTCACTGTCGCCATCGGCGGCTTCTTGCCCACTCAAGCGCCAGAAGGAGCGTTGAGCAACCGCAACTCCATTGGGTACTCTTTCCACGATCCCAATGGCGAATTTGCTCCCAACCTCATTCCTGGGGAAGCTATCGAAGGCGAAGAGTATGTCATGGAAGAAACCGAGACGTATGGTCAGATCATCGGGCAGGACGTATCTTTCAGCTCTGGCAGTGAAGATACCATGACTTCCAGAGATGGTGGAGGCGAAAAGACCATGACATTCACCTACAGCTTCCCCCACGAAGCCTCCGCTCCAGCCGAGGACGACGGAATGGACATGGTAACTTCTGTTGGTGGTATCATCACTTCACCAGAGAAGACAGCCTCCAACATTTTCTCTGCTCCCCGCCAGTCGACAAGCGCGACCCCTTCGTTCGCCCGTCCCACCGTTGCCTCTACACGGCGGTCCTCTACTGGCAAAAGAAACATCTTTGGACCTTCTCCTAGCCCTGCTAAAAGCCCTGCCAAGTCTACCACGCCCCGAAAGAGTGCCGCTGCCGATGTTGCCAAACGACTCAGTTTCGAGCCCACTTCTGCCAGCGGAAGTGGTAAGAAGCGCGCTAGGGAAGATCAAGAGGATACAGAAATTGCCAAGAGAAGTAGAGTCGACGTGGTGGCTGATGAGGTCTTTGGCACGCCAAACGTCTTTGAAGAAGAGGCCCGGGAGCAGAAGCGCTTGTTCCCTACTACAACTCCACAAGTCGACCCTGGGCAGCAAGTCCTCTCCGCTCGCCGCTCTTCACTCGGTACTGCCATGCGGCTTTCTTCCTCCCATGAAGAACCTGTGGCACAAGCCGAAAAGGTGGGGGAGGTCGAAGACTTCCCAGTGGAGGAGGAACCACAGGCGATCAGCCTTGGGGCCTTCTTGGAGATGACCGGAGTGCAATTCATGGAGGGATTGCCGGGGATGAACAGGAGGAAGAGCAGTGCCGCGAGAGGTGTTTTGGGACAGCCTTATGGCGGAGGTGAGTCTCGCCTCCATGACTACCACAATGCTGACTTGGCAATAGATCGAGAATTTGCTCTCCACGAGTACACTGAGGCTCAGGTCAACCACGTCTTCCTCAACATGTACAACTGGGCAAGTCGATTCCACTCGTGACTAGCAGCTGCTGACTGTGACCCAGGCTGCCAACAAGCTTCGTGACGATATCAACACTGGCAACGAGGAATTGCTCGCCGTTGAAGCTCGCTGCGAAGAAGACAGTCCTCCTGTCATTCAAGAGTATCTCTCGGCCTCGGAAGAAGACCGCCAACTCTTTGAGATGACGTTCAAGTCGTTCAAGACAAACACCCATCTCAAAGCTCGTGAAATGTGGTATGACTGGAAACGCCAGCTCCTCGAGACTATCGAGCCTGAGGTCGCAGGTGCATTGCAAGGGATGCAGGAAGATGCTATCAGATTGGAAGCGATCAACGGGGAGCTGAAAGACTTGTTGCCGCTCATGCGGAAGAGGAAGCAGGAGCTGGAGGAAGAGTTGGTGAGAGAAAGGGAGGCGGTGAAGGAGATTGCGCAGTGTGACCAAGCCGAGCTGGCGGGCTATCGAGAAGGTATCGCTGAGCAAAGGTAAGTGAATCATGACTCATGATACAATGGCTCATCTGGTCGCAGTGCCCAAATCACCGTCTTTAGTACCGAGCTCAACGACGCCCAGACCAAGTTATCGGCGCTTGCCTCAAAGCTCGATGAGCTGTTGACCAAAAAGCTCGAGTGTGAAGCTGCGATCGCTCATGCCAAGAGCCAGTGCGACCAATTCACTCGATCCGATGCTGTCCGCCTGCAAGAAGAATACACCTCATTGCAGCACCTTCACCTGTGGCGACCGCTCAAAACACTACCCAACCACCTCTCCCTTTCATACGACAATGAAATTTCGGTCTCATTCTCGTGTCTCAATTATATCCCCGACATTTTTTCAGCCAAGCTGGAGTATCTGGAAAAGGACAGCGAGGAGAAGGGCAAGAAGGGCGTGGCGTCTGGCAAGGGCTGGAAGGGCGAGAGCCCCACAAGCTGTCTTTTCGAGATCACCAAAGCTGCCATGAAAGATCTCTTCAAGCAAAAAAACATTACCATCGCCTCAGTGAGTCCCATCCGTCCCCTGCCCTCGACCTAGCTGACCCATTCAAGTTTATCCAATCCACCGGCCACCTCTGGTCTCAGTCTCAGCGCCTCCGCGCCGAGCTCCGCTACATGACTTTCCACCACCCCCTCACCATCTCCTACAACCGATCTTCCACCCAGATGCAAGTGGGAGCGGGAGTAATGGTGAAAGGAAAGAAGAGCAAAGTTGTGGTAGAGTTTGGAATAGGGAAGGGTGATGTTCGGGGTTATCCGGGGAGTCTGGGGGCGATGGACGTTGGGGTCAAGACGATCTACGGGTCGGCAGAGTGAGTGTTACGACCGGGATGAATGTGAAAGGAAACTGATCATACATGACAGTGCCAGTGTTCTGGAACAAGTCGCCAAGCAGACTATCAAACTATCCAGTCCTGAAGCATGCCTGGGCACGCTTTTACAAGTTTGTGCCGAAGTGGCAAGCAAGTATTCCAGTTGAGAGAGTGTATGGGGATAGTAGCGAGGGACACTTGTATCTTGATTAGTATTGTTTTGGGATCGGACATTCTCTCTCTTTTCGTTTTATGGCAGTACTTGGCTGTCTCTTATACCCAGATCTTGTTATAGTCCAAGAAGTGCAACATGAAATTAGTTTCGACGCATATACAAAAGACTTCATTCCATTTCAATTCGCCTTTTTTTCTTCTATCTGTACAAATATGCTTGAAGGCTACCCAGACGGGAGACCGACTTGTCGCGAGATAGACAAGAGTGACATGGCTCTAGAGAGTACCCTTGACGGCCTTGCTGACGCTCTCGGCAAAGTACTGCACGATGATCAGCTTTTGGGGTGTTACAGCCAAGAGATGACACTCACGTCAACGTTGCCAGCATTGAGACCGGCCATAGAGATACGGCCGTCCCTAGTCAGGTAGATACTGGCCTTTTGCGCCAAAGCATCGACCTGCTCGGCCTTCAAACCCGTGAACGAAAACATGCCGATCTGGCTCTTGATGTGCCCCCACTCTCCAGGGGTGTCGAGCTCGACGAGCTTGTTGTAGAGACGTTCACGCATCTCGATGATACGGTCGGCCATGCCTTTGACTTCGGTGAGCCATTCGGCATTGAGCGTGGGGTCGGAGAGGATGGTGGTGACGAGGCGGGCACCGCTGAGGGGAAATGTCAGATCAGACAACGCACGGTTTTCACTACGGTTTCGACTTACTGTACAGGGGGGTTGGAGTAGAGGGGTCGAATGATAATCTTCAATTGCGAGTCCACGCGCTTCCTCTCCTCCTCGCTCTCGCACACAAACGAAATGGCGCCCACTCGCTCACCATACAGACCCATGTTCTTGGCGAAACTCTGGCAAAGCAAGATCTGGTGGCCTTGCTCGACAAAGTATCGGACGGCGAACGCGTCTCGGAGGGTGTCACCCGAGGCAAAGCCTTGGTAGGCCATGTCGAAGAAGGGGAAGTGGTTTTTGGATTTGAGGAGCGTGGAGAGTTCCTTCCACTGGGCTTCGGTGGGGTCGATACCGGTGGGGTTCTGCTTTCGTCAGCATTGGCCTCGCACTATATAGGTACGTACGTGGGCACATGCATGGAGCAAGATGATAGACCCATCAGGCGCCTTTTCGATATCCGCCTTCATACCCTCAAAGTCCAACCCTACAGTGTTCTTGTCAAAGTACTTGTACTGCTTGACCTCGAGCCCCGAGTCCTTGCTGATGGGGATGTGGTTACCCCAAGTAGGAGTGGGCAGGTAGATGGTCTTGGCGTTGGGGAACCAGCGGGCGAGGAAGGCGGTACCGATCCGAAGAGCGCCGGTACCCGAGATGGACTGGGTGATGGCCAGGCGGTTCTCGACGATGGGCTTGGAGTCTTTACCATAGGCAAGCTCGGCAGCGAGCTTGGTAAAGTCAGCAAGGCCCTGTTGTTACGGTTAGCTCGGCAATCCGGATAAGGTAATGCGACTTGCGGTGATGGGGAGGTACTCTTTGTCTTGCATGGCGTCCGAGAGGATCTTTTCGGCCTTTTTCACAGTGGGCAGGACATAGGGCTTGCCATTGCCGTCGCGCTACATGATCGTCAGTCTTGTACAGAGCAGTGAAGAATCAGCACGCACGTAGGCACCTAATGACCAAGTCAGTAAACGTCGACAATGCGAGCTGAAGGAGACTTACCAACACCAAGGTTGATCTTCTTGGGGGACTTGTCGGCCTTGAACTTTTCAGTGACACCAAGAATGGGGTCGGGCGGGCTGCAGGGCAGGGATCAGTGGAAGGCTTCGCCGGGTGATACGGCGACATACCCGGCGGGGACGTTGGCCCAGGTGGACTTTGCCCTTGCGATGGCAGGGATTGCGGTGGCGGGGCGGGCTTGCCTGGAGAGGAGGGAGGCGCGTGCAAGCATGGTGTATGAGAATAAGAAGAGATGGAGATACTCGGGTGAGCAGCAGTGAGATGGACCGGCGAGAAGCGGGGCAAACCGGGATTCAGCTTTTCGGTCCGGGCCGCCGGTCTCGGTCAGCGGGGGGATGTTACGTATGCAGCCTGTGTCGAATGGGACATGGCGGAAACAAGTTACGCACAGACGCGGGACTCTGTGGAAAATCTTATCTCCTCTTCGTCTCCACTACCACCGCCACCGCCACCGCTGCCACTCCCCGCACGACACAGCCCTCGCACGGCAGCTCCCCCTCGCCCTCCAACTTGCCACAACCATCGCGCGTCGTACCGTGCCCACCCCTCGATGAGAAAGTCCAAACTACCTAATAGTGGTTATCAAAGAAACGTGAACCCAGGAGCAGGGTGAGTGCACCAGGTGGCTGGGAAGGCAGCGAGAGAACGATGGCTGACGTTTTCTCCCCCTCCTCCCACGACGCTCGGACCTCGCACAGCTGCACCGTCGCATCCCGCCTCCTCAGACTCCCCCCACAGATCATTCTTCTCCTCGACAGCGCTCCCAAGCCGCCGTAAATCGACCCACACCCACTCCCCTCAAAAAGGCCAGCAGACGCAGGCAACAATAGAATACTCGCCACTCTATATAATATTTACCGCCCGACGCCCCGCATGGGATAATCTCGCCTCGCTGTACCACACCCAGCAGGTCCGATATACTTGTCTACTCTTGTCAACCGCCCCCCTTGCCAATCCACAGATTTATTCGTTGAATCAAAAAGCCGCACAGGCTCCAGAAACACTCCTATAAAACTACAGCCAAAAAAGAGACTAGTCGCAATGAACGCTCTTCGCACCCTTCCTATCCTCAACCGCCCCTCCCGCCCCGCCTCTCCTGCTCCTGCCACTGTGCAGTCCACCTCTGCCAACGGTACTTCTGTCGCCCCAGGTGACAAGCCTCGCTCCCGATCCTTGTCCCGCCAAGTGGCGGACAAGGTGTCTTCTCTCTCCACCAACGCCAATGGCACTGTACCTGCCGCCAACGGCTCCATGCCCCCTCCTGCTACCACGCAGCCTTCTCAGCCTCTCACCAAGAAGATCTCTCCTCCTGCGAGCAGGACGGCGACTCCGCGCTCTTCCGCTGCCGCTCTTCCCGTTGCCAACGCCGAGACGGGCCCCGCGGGAGGATACATGGACGTCATCGGGCTAAGGCTCAATGATGTCGTCAACAAGGCCTCTGCTGGGGTCGATTTCAAGGCAAGGAAGGGGTTCAGGAAGGGAAGTGGTTTCGCTGTCGGCGAGGCCGTCGTCAAGTAAGTCTTTGCACCTTGACCGTGTTCATAGCTAACGGTTTCTCAGGGAACTGCCTCAGCCTCCCTGCGACGCATACCTCATGCGCGCCGTTCTTCGCACTGCTGTACGCTCCCTCAGCATCTACTCTACCCGTCTCGAGTCGCTCCTCCTCTCTGCCCTCACCGACACGTCCTTTGTCTCTCCTCTCAACCTCTCTGCCCCCTCCGCCACTTCCCACCCTCTCAACCCGGTGCAGTATTTCGCCCTCTCTGTAGCCCATGCGGCATGGGAGACATGCGAGACACTTGAGCAGACACTCGAGACTGGCAAGTGGCCAAAATTCGTGGCAGAAACCTTGAGGCCAGTGATGGACAAGATGGACCTCGTGGTCAGCAAGGTCGTGCAGCCCATGACGTTTGGGCTCAAGAGAGACCTGGTGGCAAGTTTGTCTCGAACGGAGGGGATCTCTCCTCCAGGCGTTAAGACTGTAGGCCTCGCTTCCATTCCTGCCCCTACCAACGCTGCGCCCCAGCCTGCCGCCGCTCAACCCGCCTCACGCCTCACCAAAGAGTTTTCCGGTTCGGGCGCTCCTCGTCAGCTCGTCATTCCTCCCCCTCTCCAGCACTTTGCTTCACGTGTCGATGGGGCGCGCAAGATCTTTGAGATTATTGCCAAGCCGTGTGCGGATGATGGAGAAGTATGGGTCACTGGCGTCATGGTGGCGGTTATCTGGAAGGGCATCTGTATCCTCGCAGAGAAGGGCAGTGCGCCTCTGGGATCGAGACCCCCCAGCCCGAGTAGTGTCGCCCGGGCTCTTGCTGGTCTGGGCAAGGAAAAGGATAAGGAGCCTACCGTCACTGCGTCGCCTTCCCTCCAGGGCGTGACTGCTAAACTTGCTTCGTCCCTTTCCATCAACCCTTCCCGCTCTGCCTCTCGTGCACCTTCGCCTCCCAGGCAGAACGGCAAGCTTCACCCCACTACACACTCCCTCCTCTCCCTCGAAGGACTCGTCAAGCGACTTGTCAGCGGCCTTGTCCAGCCGCCCTCTCCCACCGACGACGCGGACGAGCACATTGCCCGTGAGGCCCTGTCTGAAGCTCTCGAAGCGCTGCAGTCTTTCCGAGTCATCGCTTCTGCCATGCACTCGGGCATGGCCCCCTCTTCTCGCATTCTCGCAAGCGCCCGTCGTCTCCGAGACGACGTCGAGGACCATGCCGAGGACGAGCTCGACGACGCCATGGAAGACTTGCAGGACGTCATCCTCTTTACCGTCCTCTCCCGCCAGGCCAACCTTGTCCTCGCAGGCGTGCCAGGGCTCGACAGCGAAAAGGGCGAAGCGCGTATCCGCCACCCCTCCGACATCTGGGGCTGGACCATGCAAGAGTACGAGCGCCAGGTGCTTCCCGGCTTTTCCACCGCAGACGAATGGGGCCGCCGGGTCGCTGTCGCCATCAAGGGCGAGGTCGAGCATGTCCTTTCGCACCTTGCCTCCCTCTCTGCATCTCGTGGAGAAAAGGTGGGCAGGGGCGATAGGCTTGGAGAGGCGGTGGAATGGGTCAAGGCGGTTGGTGTGGCTTGTGATGCCAAGTGCGGCGTCAAGGTCGCAGATGCGGTTTAAATCCCGAAGTCCATCAAAAGTTTTCACTGGAAGAAGTAAAGTCTTTTTGTATACATGGTCGAGTCTCGTTGGCTCGGTGTGGGCTTTGGGGTCGCTATTCTTCTTTATAAAACATTCATCAACACAAAAACAGATAGATATCATGAGCTTTCCTTTCTTCTTATACCATCATCGTAGCATCTTTCTCATCAAAGGGGTTTACCATACATTATTCTTCTCTCGTCCCAGGTTTGTTTTACTGTTCATAAATGCATTCGACCTGTTTATAACCTTGTTGCAAAGTTTGATGGTATATCAAGTAGGGCAAGATACTCGAGTGATGCCGAGTTGCGCATTCTTGGGGTGAGGTTGTCGATGACGACCCGGTACTCGACTGCGAATGGTTATCAAGAGAGTATCCAGTGGCCAGTGGCTCGCAGCTCTCATCTTTGGCGCCTGCAATATAGCTTTCAGGCTCACAGTGAGGAAACGTAAAGATGTTGAAAGATATGACGCTGGATGATACTCCAGTGAAGTCGCCGCGCAAGCTCCCTTTCATGATATCTACATAGAGGGGGTGTAGAGCGGCTGTTCTAGCACTGGTAAAGCTGTCGATAAGAATGAGTATTATACGGAGTAGACCACCGGCTACCGGCGAGACCAGCAAAATCGCTGCCTACGAGATCTTCCACTAGCGACTCCTATCATATATCTCTTATCAAAGTTCAGGGATTAGCAGCGCCTCTTCCATCGCCTCAAATCACGGAAATACGACGGATCCTTTGGAACGTTTCATAGAAAAAGAAGGAATATTCGACATGCTGGCAGATATGGCGAAAGTGACGAGAAGATGACCAAAGGCGATTACGGCCAGCGCGACCACATGTCCCTCCGTTACATTCGCAGTTTTCCAGCTTTTTTTGAGAGGGAATTTCAGTCGCCGCAGGGCTACTTAGTGGGCTTCAGAATCGGCATGGTCGGTATGGCGCAGCAGTGTACTGTCGATGCAGAATCACCTCAATATATCTGGGTAAATTAAAATAACACAAGTCGTCACGGCCGCTATACCGGCACACGCCCTACGAGTGATACGCTCTGTACGCATGGGAGTCATGGGAAGAGCGTACAGTACTATGCCGAGCGCTAAGTATGTATAGCAGACGGCGGGACCGATGCTCGTCACACACCTCGGCTTCGCTGCTTCTGGCCTTGATTTTCAAAAGATGATGACACTAAATTAGTCGCCCTTTTAATAGGCCTTTTACCCACTGGTGCATGTAGGTGACAACAGTGAGACTTGTGATTGTTGTTTGCATTTGTAATGCAGAGTCTAGTCTAGAAAAGACGGGTATGCATTACAAAAAAAAAACATACTACTAGCCATATCCGGCATCTGGCCCAATTGAGACCGAGTAACGGCGGGTAGAGAGTTGTTTTTGTTTATGCTGGCCTGGCATACTCTTGATGAGACATGGGAGACCCCCATCAAGCGCCCTAGCCTCAGTACCAACCTGCTATATGGCCATGAGCGCTGCCACAGAGACCACAACTTCAACACAGGAAACCTCTCTGGCCGGTCTCTGGCCATATCCTCCCTTGGCCGCAGCCAAACCCGAAGTGTCTCCGGGCTCTGCGGCAGCCACCGAAGACCGAAAACGGGTCGCGTTGATCGCGTATGCTAGGCACCGGAGAAATTACTAACCTTTATTTTCTTAAAGGGCGATCAGGCACTGCTTCCGCATTCTTGCGCGCTTTTCCTAGAGTTTTTACAAAAAACGCTTGCAGACCTGTAGAGAAATGTGGGAAAGGTGTAGGGTGGCACTGGGGTAAGTTTCTTTTCCTTGCGCCTTGGCTTATCTTCTTCTTCTCTTCCCCTTTCTTGCCCCTGCATATGTACTCTTCGAATGGCCGGCAACCGGCAGGCGGGACGTAGGTATGTAAAGTATAACCGGTCGAGCGCGAGCGACACATGCAAGTTTTTCATCGCTTCGGGAGGCCGAGGATGAACGCATGAAGGGTTTGCCTGTTCCCTTCTTATATACCGTGCAGTTCAGTCAGGAGCGCCAGGAGACCCAGGAGGCCAAGAGCACAAGCTTAGTCTCAGCCCGGGTCATGGGGTCGCCCCGAGGCCGGCCCTATGCAGAAAGCCCATAATGCACGATGATACTGGCCCTCGGTCTTTCTATACATGGCATCTGCATGCCTGCTGGGGCCTGGACATACAATATATAAATGGGTGGCCTAGGTCCCCTCGGTAGCATCTCATAGTCCATTTGTATAGAAGAGATCCAAGCTTGAACACTTCTCTACCGAAACGGTAGCACTTCGGGGCGACGGCCAGGGACCACCCTTTGGCCTGCGATACTTGCAAAGTCTGCGATGCGTTGCGTGGGCCATCTGGACGACAGGCTGCGGATGACGATGTTGGCTGATAAGATACTGCATGTAGTATTCTTGGCTGAACGATTAGATGGTCTATGTACCCTATGTAACGGGCTTATGGTTATGACCTATGCGCTGTGCGAGCTGTATGACCCTTTGCAGGGTCAGACTTGACCCTTACCGGAGTCTCAATCAAGTGCCGGTACTTCGGATGAAGCAGATGACTGTGGAGCGTGAAATGAAGTCAGGGGGTCAGAGGGTCAAACGACGAACAAGTGAAGGCAAGACCAGCTCATGACCCTTATGGGTTTTGTATCATCCCCTCCGAGATCTCCCTGATCATCAGCTTGTATATGTACAATTTAAATAGCAACGGCTGAAACGCTATTATCTTCGAGATCTTCTGTGGTAGCTGCTGACCATGATACAAGCACGGCGATGGAAGCTTGAGCAGAAGGGCGCCCGTTCCCGAGGGATGCGGCAGTGACATATTGTTGGCGCTTGTTCTGCCGCTCTCCCGGCGGCACATGGACACTATATTGAGATGCCGCTTGTGCCTTTGGTACGTAGGTGGGAGGGTAGTGACTGAGGAACATGGGCTCCTTCAGTGTTGCTGTTGGTATTGCCCTCACTCGCTGGCGAATGGCGACAGTGGCAGTACACGGCGTTCACGTCTGGGATGATTGTCCGTGTGCGATGCCTGCAGGTGAATCGATCGACTGCAGGGTGACATGGCCCATGGGTGACGTGTAGTTGATGGGAGTGATGATGGGAGTTGAAACGGCAGATCGCCGATGCCTCGTGCAAGCTCGCAGGAGTCCGTGCGGGTAGAGAAGAACGGAAGCAGAGAACAATTGGTCTCTTGTTGAACAGCACCAGGCAGCAGAGAACAGCAAGGGGGAGGTCAGCTCAGCCTGTACTGACTTCAAGTCGTCAAAGGGGAGCCAGAGGTCAGCCCAGCGAGAATTTCGATGGCACAGAAGACGACAGCCTGTCGACAGCCACTCGAAAAGCAGGGGGTTCCATGGCCGCACGCGCCCGCGTAACGCTACATTCACCCATCACACACTACTCAATGAATGAATGTTCTCTCGCTCTTCGGAACTCGGAAGAGACGCCTCGTAGCATGGCCAGCTAGTAACCTTAGTGCTGCTATCGCTCAGAGTCACAGAAGTGTCATCGAGCGCATCACCCGAGGCCTGATCCAACGGACTGGGGACGGCGAGATATATCAGCTCGACTCCCGCTTCCTGGCATGCAACCCCCCTTGACCTGTCGACCTGCCCAGCTCACAATAATCACTGTCTTGACACCAGACCCCACTAGCGTCGACATACAAGCACCCCTTTCGCATTCCATAGCGCAACAGCCCTCGGCCACGAGTTCATCACTGGCCACATTACAATCGACACCAACCTATCTCTCTCTTCTCTTCATCTCTCACTACCTTCATAACTGCACCCAAAAGGCTTCATAGCCACGCCTCTACCCCCCGCCGCCCTCACCCAATCTCCGTTGGCTTCGAACAACCCCTACACTGGGCTGCTCCTGCCACATCGCGCTCCCCTGACGCACACAAGTGCCCTGGTGTGTAGCAGATTGTCTGCTGCATAGCATTCAGCTTACAGCTGACTCTAGCAGCTTACCAAGTGAAGGCTGAAACGATCACCAAAAGGGCATACAGCGGACAGCGGCCAGCTGCTGCACACTCGGTGAGCATTGATTAATGAGTCTGTCTATACATACACCCGTGCTCATCCCTACCAGCCCGACCCCCTTAATACAAAAGCTACAAAACCTCTCTCCCCCCACCCCTCGTACTACGGCTTCAATACACCGTGCGGCGTCGCACTCAACCGACAGTCTGAAACGGCCACACCAACGCGCATCTGCATACACACTTTGCTTGAGATCGACGCCTGAAGGGTTTCGCTGGGTGGACACATAGTATATGGGGTCTGAAACGTGAGTACATTTCCTATGGCATCGCCTCTTGTCCTCACAGACTGGAAGCCGGGCCGTCAGCCATGTTTCCGGGCATGTGCGCACTGATATAAAGCCTTGCCTCTCCCGTGCTCTTCTCTTCCGATCCCTCCTTATCTATCAAATCTTCTCCGATATCTGCGCTAACGAAATATTCTCTACGATTACGACTTTCAGTTCTTCGATACCATAATATCCCAAGCTTAAAGCGTGCGATCACCCATCTTATCAGGCATTAATCAAAAGCAAACTATGCTGATACGCCCCTTAGCAGCCTCTTCCGATCTCTCTTGTCCGATTACCCTAATACACTGCATCATATCACGACAGCTCGTGAGTCCCATGTCTCTGGTTTCTGGTTTCTGGTTCTGTGGTGTGGTTTGAGTTTGGGGATCCATTCGCCGATTGGGTTGAGCTTGTACCTGTCGTCCGTCGGCCGTCGTTCTGTTAAATCGTTGGTCCTTGGATCAATTATGGGCCTGGGTGAGATGTCGAAGCTCGAGGGAGTGACATCGGCCATGCATCGGCTGCGGTCTGCGGCAAGGTTGCAGGGGCAGGCCATGTTTCCTCCACCAAACCTTGTGGCCCCACTTGATCGATGTTGAATGAAGAGCTTGAAGCCTGGAGAGAAAGTGTGGGGCAGCATGGCGCATATGTTCTCCCATGCGTGCATACAACATGTCAAGTTGTGGTGGCCAATGCTTTGCCAGACCTGCATATGAAGGCGAAACGCTTTCATCCCCTGGTCGTGTCTGCGCATCATCCGGGCCTCGAGATGGCCGTGCATCATGTGCCGTGGTCTCGCGGTGTACCTCTCCTTGATCTCCTTCCAAGCATGTCACAACATTACGAGAGTGGAACTGGGGGGTGTCTTGCCACCCTAACACCCCGTCCCCTCTCCGATGGTCGACCAACGCCGAGCGGCCGGAGATGGGCAATAGGTGTTCCTATGATTCTGAGCTTCTTCAGCATATTACCGAGCACTTTGTAATACATATTAGAATCAAATACTAATACTCTCGATCAGGCTCTACAAAAACGCCATCTTCTGATCTGATCGTGCAAGAAAGAAAATCGAATTTGCTATAGACTACAGATCTAGTGGTGAGTCTGGGTTTTGGATTCTCGCGATGCTGGTGGGAAATGTCAAGTTTCTCTGTGTCGTGACTGTCTTTTTGTCAGTTTTCGCTGTTCCTTGTGCCGTGGCATGGCGATTGTGGAATTCTGCGGCTGGGGTGTGAGATTTGTGTGAGATTTTGGAGGGGTACGGGGAATTCTGAGGGCCAAGCGTAGAAAGGCGCTACTTGCGCCGCGCGCCGGTCACCCTCCCTGAGCCGCGCGTCTTCTGCCCTGCAAAGGTTACGTCTCTAAATCCCAACGGCCCAACCGGCCGGGTCGTTGTAACCCACCCAAGAAATTCCAGGAGGCCAGCAGGTACACACACCGTGACGTGACCCGTAGAGTTTAACGCCTTTACCCAATTCTCCCTTATGGGCGTTTGGGCACCTTTTTGCTCGGGTTGGTGCGGTTGGTGCCGTGGGCTGTCTTTTAGATTGGTCTAGCTGTTCTCAGCGTTTTCAACCGTCGCCTTTGCTCGTCTCTTCTCTATCTCTCTTTCTCTTTCTCCATCTCTCTCTGCCACTGTCGACAGCAGCGTCCCACTCGACACCCATACTCGTTTTCTTTCTCGCTGTCTCATTTCACTGCTTTGTCTTTGGGCTGTGTCATTGTGCTATACCGTAGAGATCCGACAGCTTACGACCGCTACTCTTTCTGTCTATACCTCTTTGTACCCACCACACCCACCTTACTCGACACCACTCCCCTCCCCTCCACCAAAAAATCCGCGCTCGTGGTCCACCTCGCGTGTCGAAATCTGCACCCGATCTGCACCGCACGTCACTTCGCTTCACCCACCAAATTCCCAACTCCCCTCTCTTCATACGTGTCTGCCTCTTCGCATACACCCCTTTCCCCTCCCGTTCTCTCCCGTCCACTCCGACGGTGAACACACCACCCCCTTCACTTTTCACGACATTCTACGTTGCGCGAGCAGGTCTCCCCAACTGCCCCCCACTCTATCACGTCGACACCTAGGGCCCTCACTCTAGCCTCTCTTTTCTAGTCTCCTGTTCGACCACCTCGCTCAGCGCCAACTACCGAAACTCCACTTTTTCACGAACACCCATCATGCCCGCCGCCCCCACCGTCAAAATTGCACGCACCAACTCGGTCTACGACCGTAGCTCCCGGGCGTCCGCGTCTCCCAAGTCGAGCCGGCGGTCAGCGACTCAGCCCAAGGTCAAGGCTCAGCCTGCGCCCCAGTTGCGTGCCGCTGCCCAGGCTAGGAAAGCGCAGGAGTCTTTGTACTTCGAGGAGGACTACAGTGATGAGATTGTCGAGTACATGACCAGCATGGACGTGAGTACTTTTCACACCGCCTGCCCCCTCACCGCTGATCTGTATCTTCAGAACTGCACACTCGCCTCTGCCGACCTTATGGACATGCAGCCCGAACTCCAATGGTTCATGCGCTCCTACCTCATCGACTTTATCATCGAGGTCCACCAGCAGTTTCGTCTCCGCCCTGAGGTCCTCTACCTCGCCATGAACGTCGTCGACCGGTACATCTCCAAGCGTGTGGTCTACAAGAAGCACTACCAACTCGTTGGCTGTGCCGCGCTCTGGATCGCCGCCAAATTCGAAGACGCCAAGGACAAGGTCCCTCTTGTTCACGAGCTGTCAGAGATGTGCTGCAAGGCCTATGATGAGAGCGCCTTCATCCAGATGGAAGGGCACGTCCTCTCTACCATAGGTTGGGTTCTTGGGCACCCTTCTGCCGAGGCATGGTTGCGTGTCTACTCTACAGGGATTAGGTACGAGGATCAGAAGGTGGCCAACATGGCGAGGTTCCTCATGGAGATCACTCTGTTCCATCGAGAGTTTATCGGTATTCAGTCTTCGACTGTTGCTGGCGGTGCTTTGATGCTGGCAAGGTTCATCTGCGGCAAGACCTACAAGGTGAGTAATGAATTTTTTCACTGTTGGCGGTGCTGACTTTCATCAGCCATGCTACCCTGGTGTCAATGAGAATCTTGCTGCTCGAGTCGCCACTGCTATCGACAAGCACTTTACGCAAGACCTTGAAAAGGTGTCGGAGATTGTCATTCGCAAATACTCCCCCACCTATTACGACCGGGTCTCCACCGTTTGCCGCGAGTGGTATCTCTCCGGGAGACGGTATACCTACAACCCCGTCGTGCCCAGCACTCCCGTCTCTGGCATGTCCACCCCCGGCCTTGCCCCCTCGAGCTCTTCCTGGCAACGCGGGTCATGGGCCGCTTCCCCTGCCGGCTCTTGCGCTTCGTCTGAGGCCGGCGATGAGACACCCGTCACCCCCATTACCCCTATCCACTCTCACGTCGTGGACCCCTTCTCTGTCGCTGTCAAGGAGAACATTGCTCCTGATACAGGCAAGTTGGTGTCTGCCAAGGCGCGGGCGGTGATTGAGGTGGCGGGCCTCACAGGAAAGCAGCAGCCTGCCATCGTCTACCCCCAACGGCCAGCTCTTCATGCTCTTCCGGCTGTGGGCGAGCATGGCATCAACCGGGCTATGAGACGGTTAAGCAACTAGGCTTTCCCGTGCTCTACGACCCCCCTGCATCGTTTTCCCTTCTCGCATTATTTCCATTACGACACCCAACATCATACTGCATTCTGCCATCATCATAGAGACTTAAGCTTTCGGCTTTGAGGAGAGTTCCTTTCCTTCCTTATTCCTGCTGCCCCACGAGCGAGAAACGATTACGATGTAGTTTGGGATACGATTCACGAACTTGGTTCACAATTTATTCCGTGACTTCTCTTTTGGTTTCTTGCCTTCTTCCATAGATATACTCTCTTCTCCTCTGGCCCTCTTTTTGAGTCCCACAACATATTCATACATTCATACCCATCATTTATAGGTCACTTACTAGGTTTTCTTTTGCCTCCCATTATCTAGTACTTTGTTATTCCAATTAGTGTTGATCACTTTAACGATCAGTGATATGAGACGATTATATGCATTACGTCCAGACAGCACTTTGAGGCACTCGAGTGGTGAGTTGCTACTGTACATGGGCGATCAAGAGACTATGCACTGTCTAGGTGGGGGTGAATTGCACGTGGAGCATGCCGAGAGTCCGTACATGATACCGTGTTCGCGTACCCGCTGGATGCACATGCAAGACTCTTTCGGCATCCGTCACGGCTCACGGTCCTTGGCGGCGGCAGGATATACAGGATATACTGCAGGATGCAAGACGAAAGAGGTATAGCGTGGAAACGGAGGCGTTCTGCACAGACTGGTCTCTTTGCAAGTCTCAACGTCGAAATGCCGAAAGCATACTCGGCACTGCTGCCGCGACGAGACAAGAAGGGACCTGGGTTTGGACTGGACGGGCTGGAATCGGGCTGCGCACCGTCTAGCGACCGTCCCTCGGTTTGTCTGCAGGCGGCAGGAAGCAGAGGGGAGCCGGACTATGGTGTCGGCTGCCCCCGTAGAGAGAGATGCAGGCCACAAACAAACAGCGGGACCAGCGAGGGCAACAAACAGCACGACCCAAAAAAGGCAAACACGTCAGGTGGACCTGAAAGTGGAGGCGGGGCGTCAATGCACGGCGCGGGTGACTCACCGGCGCTAGCCTCTCTGGGCCAAAATGCGCAAACAAGATCTCGGCGCAAAAACGGCGTCCATCCTGTCACGCCGTCTCCTGGGCGGCACCTGCCGCCACACCCAGCCGCCCACTGCCGATGCCGTCAGCCTTCTGCAGCATGTGCGACAACGCCATCCGAGGGTGGATCTTTGTGGCTGGTGCACCATACCGCCAGCCATGTTTCCTTCATCTTACGCAGCAGGACCAGGCAGATAGCATCTCGATCTCGAGATGGCCATGCAAGTGTTGCGAATAGCCACTTTGCCCGACCGTTACAGAGTGCGCACTATTATCACATGCTACCAAACCGTCCTCTGGGGCCTTTGCTGCTCTGCATCCCATATTCATATACGAGGGAGTACGAGTAATGGACTAAAGCTCTTTTTTGTAATGTAGTCAACTGGGAGTACTAATATTATGGAACGTACAGAGGACGGGAGGCCGAAGAGAGGGACGTGTTTACTTCCACCGCCCACGACGGCGACGATGTTGAGTGACCCGTAGGGCGCTAACCTCATCCGGTGCCCAGGCATTGGTTGTCATTCCCGGTCTCCCGTAGTGGGGAGACTACCACAAACTATTGCGGCCACTGCTGGTATGCAAGGAAAAGAAAGGGGCCAATGGCGGGCCCGATGCAATGCTCACAAAGGCGTCGACGCCTGTGTGAGAACGGGAGCGGCCCCGGTCGATCTCCCGAGATGCTGCAAGACGGATGTTGCCGAAGTCCATCTTTGCCTACTACGGTACTACCTACTATTACTAATTTACCTTGCGCGTCTGATATTTTGGGTCCTGCCCAGTGCATTCTCTCTGCACATGGTGCGCGTGGTAAACTTCCGCAACGGGTCACTGTCACTGATGTCGCAAAGCTCATCCTTACTCTGTTCTCTGTACGACGCGATCTTTGCCCGAGCTAGGTGCATAAAGCTTGGCACTACTGTGGACGAGGTCATACTGGTGCGTGCCGCAACGATGCATTACTGTATCTTCCACTGTCAGCTGTCCGAACCAAAGCCTTCACTCGTTGGTCGCCAGGCTTTTGATCGCACGCTGCGCTACTAGCCATTGCAAGATATGATAAGTTGATAACACTAATTTGCTCTAGACTAAAACCACTCGACTATGACGCTGCACTAAACGATCGAAGTTGACAAAATTATGAAAAGTTGGGACACTAGAAAATTAAGATTATGACGATTACGCAGCCAGAAAAGATAACGGTCCGGGACTCGCGGCGTGACAGTGGGTGAGCAACCTTTTGTCTTGTGTGACGAAAAAGTGACTGCAACGGCGGGTACGTGTAGCGGGAGCGGGGTCCCTTGATCCTTGAGCAGATCTGTCAAGCGTGCAAGCGTGCGTGCGTATGCAAGACATTCGAAAGACCAGGGGCCGAAGCCGATACCGGCTCAGGAGGCCGAGAAGGCTATGATGCCGTACTCTGTATGCAGATGAGTGCAGATGCGGACGGATACCAGCTGCATATGTTCATGCTCACTAGCCAGGCTGCCTGCTGGTCTGCGTGATAGGCCGGTGGGAGGGGCTGGGGACGATCTGCCGATAATGATTGAACATGTCGAACTCAGGCCACAGAGGTCGAGACACTGGAATCTGAAAATTGACAACTTCGGCTTTCAACGAAAAGCACGCGCTATCAGCTCGGCTATTGTGTCTTGTATTTGAGCTGTCTCGCCAGTCGCCAGTCCCCCGTTTAGTATACTCAGAGTTCATGCCAAGGCGTATGTATGACGCATGCAGCTGAAGCGTTGGCGTCAGGCCTCAGATGTGCCTATTATTGACGGCACCCCGAGTGCAACGCATACCGCTAATCGGCAGTCGGCGTCGCTAGCTGAGCATGTTCACTTGCTGCACTTATGTACTTGTTGCGTGCTGGACCTTCATGCTTTATAATTAAAGTTGCGCTTCCAGAGCTCCGCCTTTCCTATGCGCCTCCAGCATCCTGCATCCTGGTCTGCCTAGGCCACCTACTTCATCATTGATTATTCGTTATATGCGTCGGCCTACAAGCCGCAAACCATAACGGGCATATGCAATCCTCTCTGTATGCTATAAGAAGGTTCATGAGCCGGAGTTAGTCCTGACGCCCTGTTAGAGCTGGTCGATGTTGAAGCGACGAAGCTGCAGAGACGGGGCAGAGGTGTGGTGGCTCGAAGCAAATGAAATTCTCTTCTGTTACATGCAAATCAAGTGCTGTAGATTGTAGCGGAGGAGCAAAGTGACACGGTGGTTTGCCTTGCTTCAGATTGCAATTAGCGAGTTTTTAACATTATGCATCATCAATCACATATTCTACGTAGAGGAAAAGATAGCCAGAGATGCCAAACAAAGACATGAAAGATTGAGTGGAAAAGGAAATCAAGGCTGCGTACTGACTCAGCGTCCACAGGAATCAAAGCAGGAAAGAAAAAAAAGTCCGTATACACACTCTCGATAATGATATTGGAAGAAGTGAAGTAAGGTGGAAAGGAAGGAATGGACAAGGATATCATCCAGTCCGGAAGAGAAGTAAAAACGTCCGGCAATTGTCCTTTCGAAAGAGGTTGCTGGTTTCGTCGTAAATCATGACATAATCGTTGGAAGGATGGGAGTGCAAGAAGGGGAAAAAAGAAACAGCGCGAGCACACGAAAAGGAGAATAGAAGCACATCAAGCGACAAGACGTGGATGTGTTTTATCTGATGTTGACAGGGTGGTATACCTGCGACCCCCACTGCTGCTGACCCGGCGGCACAGCCGTAGGAGCCCCGGCCCCAGGCGGCTGATACACATGTCCCTGCCCTTGGTGCCCATGGCCTCCATCATCGCTCATCACATCATGATCTCTATACGGGCTAGCTCCTCTGTCTGGCCCCAACCCAGCCCCAAATGACGAGGAGTTGCGCATGGGCGTGCGGGAGGCGAGATCGGCGGTCGCGATGGTGTTGAAAGAATCGTTTCGGGAGTGACCTGCAAAGCCAGGAGCAGGAGAGTCGTAGGGGTCGTGAGAGTTGAAAGCGGCCATAGGGTAGGCGGGTCCAGCTTCTTTGTAAGCTACGAGGTTGTCAGTGCCAGTCGATGGAAAAAGTCCGAGTAATCGACTTACGAGTATCGGCACCACCTTGCTCGTTCCAGCCTCCAGCCCGGTCACCATACCACTCTTTCTCATCGACCTTCTTGTTCTTTCTCTTCTTTGCGAGGCAGAACACCAACAGGCCCGCCAGGACAGCAGCAACGCCCACACCAGCTCCGATTCCGATACCGATTTTGGCGCCAGTACTCAACGTGCTACTGGAGTCATCGGCGCTGTCTTGATTGGTAGAGCCAGTGACGGCAGTGTCGGTAGCCTTGCCTGCGGTAGCGGTGCTGGCCACGGCGGCAGAGGTCGTCTCGCCCGCAGCAGTGACAACCCAGTGCTTTTTCTTGATGATGTCGGCAGCCTTCTCAGCGATACCATAGGTAGTGGCCATGGTGTGGGCAGAAAGCTCGAGAGGAACGATAGAAGTGTCGATGACACGAAGGTTGGCCGAGCCATAGACAGTGAGAGTGGTGTCCACGACGCCACCGCTATCCTTGGGAAGCATAGAGCAGGTACCGACGGGATGGTACTCGGTACCAGCTTTGTTTCTGGTATAGTTTGCGAGCGTGTCACCAGTGACAGAGCTTCCAGGAGCAGTCTCCGTTATCATGACATCCGACAACGGGCTCGCTGCCGCCAACCGCCTGGCAAACTCGGACCCGTAACCAATGATATCAATGTCAAAGCCGACACCAAAGTAGTCGGGGTTGATATGCGGGTCCGTGAATGGGTCGGTCGAGTTGATAAGAATGGTACCACGGGAAAAGGGGTGCTGCAGAGCGACCTGAATACCCATTTCGTTTCCGCCGTCACCCAACATGGTCAAGATGATTTCAAGCTGTCCGATGTCGCCAGTGAGCCACTCTTGTAGGATCTTGTATTGGGAAGTAAGACCGGTGGCGACGTTGTCGGGAAGGTCAAGCCAGGAAGTGACATTCGAGACGGTGTCGGAGATCTTGTCGCTGACGTCGTCGGCGTAGGTGGATGCAGAAGAGTCAGAGTCCATGATGTCGGCCATGCTGGGATCTGATGCCGATCAGAAAAGGTTTGTAGATTCAGACGAGAGCGACTTACAACCAACGGCCTCGTTGACGTATGTCCACATACCAGTATGGGAGGATTTGTATTCGGACAGCTCGGAAGCTTGGAGAGTATCCGATGTACTCAGGTTGTTCCAAGTCAAAGTTCCTTGGCTGTACAGACCAATGTATCAGGGCGAGTCAAATGCCAATCCGGGAAGAAGAAGACTCACGGAGTTGACCAGTACATGGTATAAGAGATGTGATCCTGAAGGTTGTAACCAACCGGAAGATCCAGGTTGACGTCGATATCGAGGTTGCTCAGAAGGGTACTGGGGCCGACACCGGAAAGCTGCAGGATTTGAGGACTTCCAACAGTACCGCCACTTTGTGGTCATCAGTTTGTAGTCACCCAACAGCTGGAAAGACGTACGACACAAGCACCTCCTTGTTCGCCTGGACAGAGTAGCTAGTTTCGCCTTTGGCGGACTGGAAAGTGACACCGCTGGCGATAATGTTTCCACTAGCATCCGTAGAGCCGTTAAAGACGACGCTGGTGACTTGTTGTCCTGTCAAGATGACAAGGTTGTCCCTTGGAGGAAGGGGATCGATATAGCCAGCCTTAGAGTCGGATCGAGACTGGTTGGAGCTGTTGATGGTGGAGGTGGAGAGTTGAGCACCATGGGTGCTGCCTCCAGCCAAGTCAAGAGCACTCAGGCCAAGCGTTTCCCACGCACTGCACAGTCGGTTAGACAAGTGGTGACAAGTTGCTGTGTGGCCAACTTACGGGATCCACTTCTCAACCTCATCAAAGATATACTCCGTATAACCTGCTTGGATGGGCCCGCTATCGCCATGGGCAGACGCATTCACGACCATGCCGAATTTGTCCTGGACGTCGGAGGATGGGGCGGTGTAGTTTTCAGCCTTTTTAATGTACTTGGACATTTCTTCCCAATTCCAAGTCTCGTTGCCGCTGGGATTCAACGCTATGCAATGTCAGCTTCTGCCCGCTGAACTGTTCGAGAGATCGACTTACTAGCCCAAACATCGTATTCCTCACTAGATGCCCTGCCCCAAAACATACCGTTGATCGCCCCTGAACCGCCAAGACCTTTTCCTCGCGGCCAGTACATTACCCTGTCATTGTTGTCTGTCTGCGCGACGGTATTGTATGACCAGTCGTAGGCAGAACCGGTCAATGAGTTGAGGTACGAGTATCCTAAGTAGCGAGAACCAGGGTCAGCAGAGTCTCGTGGGACGTGCAGACACTAGAGCCAGCGAAACTAACCAGGAATATCAATCTGATCTTCCACATCCGAGCCATCGCCACCGGCCTCGATGCAAAGCACAGTCACGTTGCTCCACTCGCTCAGCCTCGCTGCCAGCGTCAAGCCAGCAACACCGCCACCAGCAATGACAAAATCAAAGCTCTCGCCATTGACAGAGGACGCGTCGGAGGTGATGGAGCGCTTGAGGGCGCGGCGATGGGGGTGATCGATGTTGTGGGGGTGTTTCAGTGGCCGAGGATTGGCGGTGGCTGATAACGGTATGAGGAGAAGGGGGAGGAGCGAGAGGAGGGGTATGGCGAACATGGCGGCGCGACTCTGCTCTCTTTACAGAGGATGTAGGGTTATTTGCCGGCCTGGTGAATGCAAAATATGCGTGGGTGATAAAGATGCCGGGCGTTGGAGATGTGATGGAAAAGAGAAAGCAGTACGACGCGTCCTAAACTCTGAAGGGATGTTTGAGATGACAAAAGAGTTATTGTCCGATGATCCTCTCTTGGTCGGAGGGATACGGAAGGAGCGGGACGCGACGGAGCGTGACGTGCACTGCCGCTGTGTCGGTGTATGAGAAGGAGGGGGGGGGAGGGGGGAGGGAGGAGGAAGAGACGCAGGGGGGAAAGAGAAAAAGAAAGAGATGAAAGAAAGAGAGCGCAGCGACGGACTTTAGAGATTCCCAGCAATTCACGGTATCTCCGCCGATGGATCTGATTATGCATGCTCTTTTTTGTCTCTTGTGCGCGCCCAAGCTGTGCTCCACTCCGTTGTACTGGCCACCGCCAAGGGTGTCCCCTTGCCTACCGCACCCCTGCCCCACGTCTTGGTGCACGTTCTTCCCTCAGGGACTTTTGAGGCTCCTGGGCCTCCTTGCCACTGCGGCACGCAAATTCTTTTACGTGGGGTAATCCAACACCTCCCGTCCCGCCCATTTGTTTCCGCTCTCAAGTGACTGCGTAGGTGACTTGCCGGGGCTGACGAGGGCCCCCGCTGTACATCGCTATAAATACAAGGAGAGGGCTATAAGCAGTTCATCGTCCCCTCTTTTGTATATACGCGATCTTCAGCCCTATGCCAGGCAAGGGGCAACGCGTTAGCGGCAAATTGCTGGCGACCTCGGTGACCTCGGTGAACGAAGCAGGAGTCAGAAGTGGCAAGTGCAAGAAAGATACATATGCCTCAAGCAACATGACCACGCTCATGAAGAGGACAGGAAATAAGCGGTCCAGCGATCCAGCGCGCCACAAGGAAAAGCAAAGAGCTGAAATGACTTGGCGCTTGCTTGGATCACATCAGCCAAGTCTGCTCTAGGCCAGCTTCCGCTGCTCGTACATACCAGGAGGGCACTCGTCGGCGTCAGTGCCGTGGAGATGGTTGGCATTGCCGTGAGTCGTTGTTGCATAGCCTTCACTGCAACGCTGTGCACAAGCAAGGGTCTGTGCATGCCCCGTCGGATGATGTCGTAAAGTATATTCGCCAATGTCGCCTGCCACACAAAGGACACTCCCTTGTGACGACCAAAAAGGCACACGGAGTGTAGTACTCACCAACTGACCCGATGTATGCACCGAGCGACCCGATGTTGCCAAGGAAGGCTCAGGGTGAGATGGCTCCCTCTTGACATCAGATACAGCTCAACATCCATGGGTCAACTCTAAACTTGTACGGGCCAAAAGTGATCCTTAAAACATACATCTATAAACCAGTCACTGCATAAGAAGAGAGTCGAACCGCTAACAAGAACCAAACGGCTGAAGATATACGAAAAGTACCCCGCAGTCCTCTACATTCGTCTAATCAATCGATCAGAGCACCCTTCCTCTTACCCAGCTCCAACTCTTCCAGCTTGTACGCCGCCGGTCTGCCATCGCCCTTCCCAGCCCCGACCGCAGCCCCCAAAAGCCCAGCTCCCGGCCCATTCTTCTGTCTCCTATCAAAGACGGCAGCGAGCGAAAGCCCCCTGCCTCTCGCAATCGACCTTGCCCCAGGGCCAGCGTAGGACAGGATCTCGAGCGGTGGGTTGAGGCGGGGCCAGGAGACGTACGAGGTGCCGTTGCCCCAGATGTAGCTCCCGGACAGGAAGGCGAGGATGAACCAGAGGACGAGGAAGGAGGAGATGGAGAGGGAGGAAGTGCGGGGGAGGGTGAGAGCGGCAAAGATCATGGTGAGGGCGAATGAAAAGACATAGGGCATCTATCACGCATCAGCATCCACATAGTAACTGTAGACAGAACTTACTGATCGCATGATGAGCGGCCTTGTGTCCGTCAAAGGAGCCACCCCGCCCCTCCTCGCCACCCATGCACCGGTAAGGATGTCAAATCCATCTTGACGATCACCGTCGAAAAAGTTGTTTCGGATGTATCGCATGATGGACTTGTAGCCGTCGTGCAAAAGTCCTTCCTTGGTGCGCTTTCCGGTACGAGTGTAATCTGCCTTGAGGGCACCGGTACCGGCATAAGCAAGGGATACGGTGTCGCCGTGGTCCGCCCACACTATGTAGGATCAGAACATGCACACAAGACTGAGAGGCGACGTACCATGTCGGAACATGAGCATAAAGTCGTCATGGTCCTCCACACTCTCCTTGATACTGATGATTCCCACCTTTCTCAACTGCTGGTTCAGAACCCACCGCCCGAGCGCAGACTGTGCCACATTCGTCCTATCAAGGCAGTCCATACAGTTTGACCTTATTACACCGTCCTGCTTGCGCAGTACTCGAGTACCACCCTCCACATCTTGGGTGTTGGCATAGGTGGAAGATTGCGGGTTGACAGAATGGAACCATCCCATCTCTTCCACCGCCGGCGCGAGCCTATCAATCAACAAGGAGATTCTGTCGAATCGCAACCCCTTGCACTCGTGGTGAAAGTCAAAGTAGACATAGTGGGCCTTTTCACGTATGACGGGGTCGGACGAAGACAGGAGGGACATGTAGCGCTCGAAAGCTTCCTTGACGGGTTGCTCGTGGCCCTTTTGGTTGACCAAGTTGACGAGGTAGGTGTGGTTGTATGTCCCGATCATGTCGTCCAGGTGGGCCTTGAGGGCTTGAGGCTGCGACACGATCAGCAATCATCCCCAAGAGCCTGAGAGATGACATACAGTCTCGGTATAGTCCATGATCTGAAGATCAGGTTTGTACCTCAGGTTGTTGACCTCTGCCCAGAAAAGCGGCACGCTCCCTCGGGTCTGCACGAAACTCAACCTCTCCCTCCCATCGACCCTTCCCCTCCTATACTCCTGGCCGTTCTCCGGCAGGGGATCAAAGAGCACGATCTGCTCAGTCTCGTTAAAGTTGGCAACTTGACCAGAGGCGTTGATACCACGGGTAAAGTAACGGGTACCGGATCGGTAGCGAGAGCGACGAGAGATGAGGAGGAACAGGATGTCTCGGTTGTTGAGGTTGGAAGAGCGGAGCTCGACAGCTGCAATGCGTCAGCTCGCGACCTTTCATGGGAAAGAGCACCTACAGCCATAGGTAACAGGCAAGATGAATCTACTGAGATCAACTCCTTGGTTCTCGGTCACATCAATCATCTTTTCCATCAAAAACTTGTTCCAGAAGAACCTATCGTCCGCCCTCTTCCACATCGGTAGAGCTTCGCCCTTCTTCTCAATGTCTTCCTGCCTTTGCAGAGTATTGGTGAGGTCCCAGCCATACGAGAACCAGAGTCTCGAGGTCTTGAGACCCTGCTCCACGAGGGCGATGAGCTCTTTCTCGACGGGATGTTCCAGGATGGCGGCGGAGGTAGAGAGAGGCGAGAGAGGAAGGAGGCGGTAGTCTGTGGCAAGGTAGATGGGGTGGGAAAGCAGGCGGCAGGAGGGCGTGCGGGAAGTGATGATCAGGAGAAAGTCGGCTGCAATGTGGCGGATTAGTAGCTGTCATAGCCAAGACTATATACCTACTCGTGGCAAGGCTGAGAGTACCGATGATACCGTAGCAGGTGATGACCTTTTCCCGCCCGAAGGGAATGTGGGTATCGTCTGGATAGTGTGAGCACGTTTCATCAAGTGGCCCGTTGATCAACACGCACTGTTCAGCGACATGTTCCCTGTCTGCCTGTCTACGACGAGGCTCTGCCTTACATCCTTCTCGTCGAGGAAGGCGGGCTGGCGTGCGCCGTGTTGGGATGGGCCATTTGTGGTTGCGGGTTCAAAGATGTACTGTGTGGGAGACACGTACAGGTTGAGTGTCTGGTGGAGCTGCGGGGGGTGAGCACGGGCGGGGCGGGGGCGGCGGGGGCCACTCACTGGATCTGTGTTGTACATCGTCCATGGACAAGGAGGATACACCTCCAGCGCCATAATAGAGCCCCACTACACGTGGCATTCCTTACATAAGCACCCACGCGACGCGACGCCCCCCGCCAGCTCATTTATTCCTTCGCCTTTCTTTCTGCCTCCCATCATCACATCGCCCTGCCAAAACATCCCGCCATGCTCGAAGCCCGTGTCAAGCAAGCCGTCGTCCTCAAAAAACTCCTCGATGGTGCGTCTCTCTCCCCTCACCCCTGCACAAGGCGCCCTTCGACCATCGCGTCCCACCCCGATCCAGCACCGCCCAGCCACCGCCCGGCCTCGCGTGCACCGTGCTGACCACCCCTTGCAGCTATCAAGGAACTCGTCACTGACGGCAACCTCGATTGCTCCGACGAAGGCATCGTGAGTTTTTTCCTCCATTTTCCTTCGACGCGTCGCGTCCTTAACGCGTCGTCTACGCGTCTTTCCCTGGCTGACTCCATGTTTGCAGGCCCTTCAGGCTATGGACAACTCCCATATCGCCCTCGTGTCCTTGAAGCTTGAACCCCAGGGCTTTGAAGAGTATAGGTGTGATCGCAACATGCCTCTTGGTGTCAACGTGAGTCTGGTCTCTCAGTGGGGAAGAGCGGGAACTGATCCATCGAGCAGCTTGCTTCCTTGACAAAGATCCTCAAGTGTGCCAAAGACCAGGACGTCGTTACTCTCAAAGCTTCTGATGATGCCGACGCGCTTTCTCTCATTTTTGAATCACCCAGTACGCCTTTGCTTCATACCCTACTCACTTGGGCTGACGATCGACGACAGAGGAAGACCGGGTGGGCGAGTACGAGATGAAGCTCATGGACATTGACCAAGAACACCTCGGTATCCCCGACACTGAATACGACGCCACCGTCTCCATGTCTTCTGCCGAGTTTGCGCGTATCTGCCGAGACCTCACCGTCCTCGGCGAGTCTGTCAAGATTGACTGTTCCAAGGAGGGTGTCACTTTTAGCTCGGATGGCGAGATCGGAAAGGGATCAGTCCACTTGAAGCAGACGGCGGGTCAGGTCAAGAAGCAGGCCAAGGACGAGGACGATGATGAGGAGAGGGACGTGGATATGGAGGATGTAAAGCCAAAGGTCAAGAAGGAGAGGAAGAGGGATCCGGATGAGGAGGAGGAAGAGGAAGAGGAGGATCAAAAGCCCGAGGTTTCCGAGGGTGGTGCGTTTGTCCACTTTCATCATGTGCCCCACTCACGAATAAGCAGAGGAAGAGCAAGAAGATGAGCAGCCCAAGAAGCGCAAGTCTGCTGCCGCCGACAAGAAGGCCAGCAAGCGTGTCAAGAAGGATGACGCTTCTGGCGAGGAACCTGGTGTCAGCATCACCCTCGAACGTCAAGTCTCTCTCACCTTTTCCTTAAAATACTTGTCAAACTTTGCCAAGTCATCACCGCTTGCAAAGGAGGTGACATTGCACATGAGCAACGAGGTGCCGCTTTTGGTGCAGTTTGAGTTTGAGCAGGGAACTTTGCAGTTCTTTTTGGCGCCCAAGGTAAGTCTTGGGTCTACCATTGTGCAAGTGCAAGCTGATCAAGAGTATAGATTGCCGACGAGTAGAGCGACTTTTGTAATTTTTGGCATCATGCACCTGTTATTGTATGGCACAAGCGCTGCGAGCGTGCGACAGGTCACTGGCACGCGGCAAACATGCACCAGTGGCTTTAAGTCATATATACATACAGATCGTCTCTTTCATGTTTGATACACGTTCGTCACATTACACCTTTGACTAGTAGTCAAACCAGACAAGCGCCTCCCCGGTCTTGAAGACTGCCCCACCCTCCTCGCTAGGTCGAGTATCGATAGAGTGGAATGTCGGCGTATGGGCGGCGCCAGCTTTGTGCGCGCGGACTATACTCTGTTATTATCTGTATCAACTTGTCTCTTGCACGATACATACTGTGGATACTCTTGCCCTGCTCAATCTCTACTTCCCCGATGTAGTCTGTACCGGTAGCACGGGTGACGGTAAAGTATCGCTTGGGGTGGTAATACTGACCCGCTGTTAGCCATGCGCATAAAGTAAAGAGTGGAGACTTACGTCGATACCCTTCTTGATTTCACCCTCTGCGTCAGTAAGGTTCAAAGCGGCAACCTCGCCAAGACCATGTCGCTCGTCTTCCCTACCACCCCTCCATCAGCTACCCACTATATAATCACTTTCCGCAGCAAGACTCACAAAGCAAGCTTCCTGATCTTGACCAGCACCTCATGCCTGACTGCATCGTCCTCAAAGACCAAGAGACCCTCTTCGTCGATGCTCTTGATGGGGCCGGCGGTGGCGTCGGCAGGGAGGGATTTGGCGTGGTCTTCCTCGCTGTGAGGGTGCGCCGGGGCGACGGAGCTGGTGACGGCGGAAGCGGCGGTGCGGGCGGTGTCCTGCCTGGGTGAGCACGGAAAACAAGAAACGAGGGCGGCTTACGATGATGGACTGCATGGTGGGTGGAGAAATGGAAAGAGCAAGATACAAAGGACAATGGCGGCTCCACGAGAAACGGAGGACCGAGCGCAGGGAGCGGTGCACACAGATCACATGACATTGCATCACTCAACATGCCACTGTGGCACTTTTCTATGTATGTATTATTATACCTCCACAACGTCCAGCTCGCCCTCCCCCTCCTCCGTCTTGGCCCCTCCCTTCACAATACCCTCCACTTCATCCGTCTTGCTCTCCCTCCCCTCGTCCCTTTGCAGCAGGCCCACGAATCGCTCGATAGAGTCCTTGATCTGCTGGTCGGTCTCCACCTTGTGGTGCTCTCGCACGACAAAGTAGGCGCCACGGTTACGAAGGGCTTCACGCCCGGTGAAGGTGGTGGCCAGAAGGAGGAGGATCTCGACGCACATCATACGGAGAACAGTGTCCTTTTCACGCTCCTTCTCGGGAGGAAGGAACTGAAGAGTGGGAGGGAGCTTCTCCATGTCCTATTCAAAAGGGTCAGCTGTGGTGCAGAAGAAAGCGAAGGCCGGCTCACTTCAATGTCGTACTCCTCTGGGCCCATGAGGGGGGCGAGCACCCAAGGAAGAACATCGACACCCTTGATCATGCGGCTGGGATCCGAAGGCAGCCTCACTCGATCATCTACTCCAAGTTAGTCTTCCTTCACCACACTCTGTTCCACCACGGGACATACCTTCAGACGCCAACAGCCACACCATACTGGCCCTGTCCATGGCACAGTTCTTGATACATCCAAGGGCACCACCACGTCTGATCAGATCAGGGTGACCAGTGTAGACGACAATCTTGGACAGCAGAGGCTCGTCGTCCTCTGAAGGCTGAGCCTCGGCTGGTTGAGGGAAGGGCGGGCGTGGGGTGAGGAGCAGTTGACGGGTGACGGGAGCCATGGAGATGTTGGCAAAGACGGAAGCGAGGAAATGGCATTCGCCCTTTCTCTTTCCTTGCGCATCTCGCACGCCTTCACTAGCACCGTCTTCAAAGGCCTGCACCAGCGCTCTGATCGCCTCCACCTCCCTCTCGGGCTCTTGACCCACTTCGGCATTGGGCGGCAGTCCGAGAGAAGGGTCACGGAAATCGGGGTGAATGGTGGAGGAGGAAGAGCCGGAAGCGGGGAGGTAGTACGGAGGGTAGTGGGTCGACTTGGGCAGGGGGATGAGGGGGATGGTGAGGTTGGCGAGAGCGGGGATAAGACTGGGGTGCGAGGTGATGTTGGAGAGGAGCATAGAGGTCAGGGGAGATAGGGGAGATGTCGTGTACTGCATTCGTCAGCACGTTTTCTCGTCGAGTCTTGAAGAACATACAGCAGTGTACGACACGAGCCAGACGAGGAAATCCCTGTATGCAATATGCTTTGCAACTGCCAGAGTATCCGAGAGGTTGATCAACGCAGACAAGGCATCGTGGGCAATAGTCTGTGGCGTTCTATCAGCATCTGCCGTGGTCCATGATACACGAGCACCTACACCCTGGTCCATACAGAGAAGCGTCAGGTCTTTCAGCGCCTTGAGCTTGATCTCATCTTCTTCAGTTCCATCCTTCCTCTTGTTGGGCACGAGACCGCCACCGGTCGCTCCGGATCCAGCAAAGGAAGACGGGATAAAGATGTGTCGCTCGGGAGCACTCTTGGGGGTGTGTCCGACCAGATTTTGGAGGGCGAGCTGCCTGGCGGAGGGGTTCTGCGAGTCGAGGAACTGGAAGAGCTCTGTGAGAGAGGACATGGTGGGTTGGCGGACGAAGGGAGAGATGCAAAATATGGATTGTAAGAGAACAGTCGGTCAGACTTTTTGCCCAACATTCCCACGCTCGCACAAAACATCTCTTCTTGCGCGTCCCACCCACTATCTCACCATCTCTCTCCATCACATCCCGTTCCGCAACTCCCCTGTGCCCCCCTCCCCCCTCTGGTCGACCCGTACCCGTACCCCCTCTCCCAACCCGAAAGCAAAACACCCAAAACCGCCCAGCGAGTGCCGTGCACCATGATCTCCTCCTTCCGCCCCGCCTCAAAAGACATTGAGCTCGCCAACCCTCCCACAGACTCCATCTCCGCCCTCGAGTTTTCCCCCACAGCAGACATTCTTGCCGTCGCGAGCTGGGACAACAATGTACGTCTGGCGTAAAGCGAGGATGGAAGGCGAGAGCTGATGAGTCTGGAATAGGTGCGGTTATACGATGTCAATTCTCAAGGCCAAAGTCAAGGAAAGGCCATGTACTCTCATCAAGGTCCCGTCCTCGACCTCTGCTGGTCAACAGTGAATCCTTTTCCTTGCCACCAACCTATGATCCTGGCTGACAGTAAGTGTAGGACGGTCAATACCTCTTCTCGGCCGGTTGCGACAACTCAGCACAAATGTACAATGTCGCTACTGGTCAGGCTCAACAAGTAGCTCAGCATGATGCGCCGATAAAGTGTATACAGTTTGCCGAAGTCCCCGGAAGTGGGCAAGTTCTGATCACGGCGGGGTGGGACAAAAAGTTGAAGGTGCGTTTCTACTCTGTGTAGGGGCGTGATGGATGCTAACGACGGCTCAGTACTGGGATCTGAGATCGCCCAACCCTATTGCCACGCTCGACCTCTCTGACCGTGCCTACTCTATGGATGTTGCCCAACAGCTTCTGGTAGTCGCCACGGGCGACCGTCGTTTGCACGTCGTCAACCTTTCCAACCCCACTGCCATCTTCAAGGTCAGTACAACATTGAAGATGAAAAGGGGCATCTGCTGATGAGTGCGCTACAGAGCATCGAGTCACCATTGAAATGGCAGACACGAGTGGTCAGCTGTTTCCCTACAGGAGACGCGTTTGCTGTCGGTTCCATCGAAGGCCGAATCGCCATTCAGTAGGTTCTCTCTATCCCCTCTCCTTCACAGCTGACCTGGCTCAGGTACCCCGGTGAAGATGACAAGCGCAACTACTCTTTCAAGTGCCACCGTTACGATGTCCCCACTGGTACCATGCCTCGCACCCCTGCCGTCACCGGCTCCCAGAACGTCTTTGCCATCAACGCTATCACCTTCCACAAAGTACAGGGCACATTCTGTTCGGGCGGATCAGATGGCAGTCTGACTTTCTGGGATGGTATCTCCAGAACAAAGCTGAAGAGTGAGCCCTCTATTTCACTGCTGATTGCAAGATAGCGTGCTGATCCGGTCCGTAGCCTTCTCTTGCAAAGATTTGAACAATGGGGATACCGATGTCCGCCCGCCGCGCTTTGGCACACCCATCGTTGCCAGCGCCTTTAACCGCACCCATGAGATCGTTGCCTAGTCAGTCACCTTTTTCTCGACTCTACTCTCGACCCGTGACATTCGCTGACATGCCCCACAGCGCTCTCTCGTATGACTGGTCCAAGGGCCACGGTGGCGTACCTCCTTCTGGACAGACCGTCAACAAGGTAATGCTGCACCCCGTCAAGCCTGAGGAGGTCAACAAGAAGCCCAAGAGGACGTAGAGGCACCTTTGTGGTCGGAGTGAGGTAGTAGGGTAACGGGCCAGTGAAGAGTGTTATATTTGCTAATTAGATATCCCCATGAGGCAAGTCATATGCCAACTGAAATGTTACGACCTATACTACCATCGTTACCACGCCAATCTCCTTTCTCTGCTCATTCAGTCCCATCATCGGCTAACCGAAACACACTGCAACCACCCTTTCATGGACTAGTGTATGGTGGTAATCTACGCGGCTTTCGAAAGTGTTCTTCCTTGGGCCAACGTGCTGTGCATTCCAGCCCTCAGCAACCAATGGTAGCAGCACCACTCACCTCTCCCAACATCGGACTTTAAATCGACCGTTCAATGGAACGGGCCTTCGGCTTTGTTGTTATGTTGTATGCTGATATATGCGTTTACATGGGTTGGAAAGACGACTGAATGTTAACCATCACCGTCTACTTCCAACCGCCTGATGATATTCCCCTCACCTCTCTTTGCCAGCCGCTCTCCTGGACCAAGTGATGTCAAAACAGAAGAAGGCGATGTAGTCGCTCATTTTCTCCAACGTGTTCTCTCGGAAAAGGTGAGACACGCTCTCACGCTGTATGCCTAGCCCTCACTAAAATGAAAAAGCCAAACTACATAGGCATCTATGCTCCTGGGGACTTTGCCCTCCAGACCTACCGCATCGTCTTTCCCGTTGCCCCCGGCTCACAGCAGAGAGGGGGTAGACGCAGGCCGAAGAGAGGAAGAGGATACAGAGGTTGTAGAGAAGAGGTCGTTCTGGAAACAGAGCAAAGGAGCGACATCAACGCCTTGCTGAGCCTCATCTCTGATCTTGTAATCATGGGCTATTGTGGATATACTTCCAGCTGACACATCTTGCAGGCACAAGATCCAGAAGGTCCCAGAGCCACACGCCATATTGTCAATCCCTCTCAAGCGAAAGATGAAGGAGTCCGCCTGATCTGGGCCGATGATGGCGAAAAGGGAGAGGAAGAGATGCGGGACTGGCCCAGGAGGGAGCAAATGAGGAAAGAAGGGAAAACGGTCAAGGGGGAGGATGATGCAATGGTCCCATCCATGCAAGCTGCAATCAGCAGTGACGGGTCGGGGATGGGTGCACAGTGGCAAACTTTGGAATCGCCAAGTCGGGCAAATCGTGTTTTCTGGGCAGACAAGCTCACGCCCAAGTCGCCCATCCCTGCCTCCTAGGTCGTCTTTGCCTACGTAACTAGGTGGCCTAAGCTGATGCATATTATACAGTGTGTATGCCGATGAATGGTGTTATGTAATGTGAAAGGTCGATCTAGAGTTTACCTGTCTGATATCTCCACCAAATCTTGGGAGCGAGCTGCCAGTCGTACTTTTGCAAGTCTTGGTGGAAGACGTCAAAGTCGAGCTTCTCGAGCCTCTGGAGGTAGTTTTCCGCTGGGACCTTGAACATATCATCAGTGACTAGGCTTTGAAGACCAAGTGTGGCTTACAGATGAGAGAAAGAGCGGCATGACGCTGCTCGGGATCACCTTGCCCCCGGTACTCTTCAGATCCTGCCTTGCCGTGATCAACTCATCCATTCCCCTCGTCCCAACCTCCCAGCACGCATCCCTGAAGCCCTTTGCCTCAGCACCCTTTCTCAGGAGCTCTTCCTCCACCACCCCATGCTTCTCGCACAGATCCGCCGGCAGATTTATTTGCCTCTTGCTAGAGACGAGGAGGGGCAAGTTACGGAGCATGGAGACGACCGTGAGAAGCGTGGACAGATGAGAGAGGGTGTGGGCGAGATGGGCAGATTCGGGATGGGTAGGGGGGAGGACGACGGGGAGGGGTCCGAGAAGGAGAGCAGAGGATAGAGGAGAGTGGAGGTGCAGGTGACTTTCGAGCGTGGTGGAAGATGGGGGAAGGGATAGAGCTTTGGCCTGAAGCGTTTTTGAGTATACGCCATCGGTGCATTTTGTGACAAGAACATACCCTGGCGTCAATCATCTGGCTGAGATAGTATCTTTGTATCGGTCTATGCCTCTTCATGTCTGCCAGTAGAACTGCCACAGGATGTTGCGGCACGTTGCTGCTTGAGGCATTGGTTGCAAAGATGGTCTTCAGAGTGTCACGCCAGAATTGAAAGCGGATGGCTGCCAAAGCAGGCTGTGACACGGTGGTGGTGATAGAATGGAGCTCAAGCTACATCTTTGTCAGTTCCCGTCATGCCGATGTCCAAGGACCTACATTGAAAGCTCTCCAGGCCAGCCACCATGCCCTTTCTTTCCCGGGCCAAAAGTATGAGCATAACCAAGCTTCGGGATCGAGCTTCTTGACAAGAGCTGAACAGTATTCGAGAGGTGCTTGAGGACCACCAGGAGGTGACGCAGCGGTGTTGGAATTGAGCGGCGAAGGGGTGGGTTGAGATGCAAAGGAACGGACTGAGATGGTACTAGGGCGCGAGAGGATCCGGGAGATGGCGGGAAGGGCAGGACGCATGGTGGGAAAGATGATTTGTGGTGAGATGGAGACCGCAAGAATCAAAACAAATCAGAGGAGCGGCATTTTGCGTCGTCTTCAGCCACGCGGGGCCTCGCATGGAGCACCCCGCATCCGGTTGGCATCTTAGCTCTTTTCTGCATTCGTCTTTGTATGAATATAGAGTGAGTATGGACAAGTGGATTGCCAATATTGAGTGCAGTGGTGCTACGGGCTGAAGTCCGTTTTCCTCACCGGTCGATACCCCCTCTTTCTCTGCGTGTCGGTCGGACCCCGCCTCTAGGGAACTCAAGTGAAAGACGGCTTTCCCCTCTGACATCCACGACGCTCTCGCGCTCGACTCCCTGGTCATCCCTCCAGACCAGCATCGCCCTGGACGCAAAAGTGTACACGCCGTACTCTTCGCGCCATGACTTTGGCCCGAGTTGCTTGATCTTCGGTAGAGGCTGCTTCATCACATCTGCAAAGTCTGGGCGACTATCTGTAAGCAGTCCCAGGTATCCTCTTTCGTGAGGCAGCACGAGTCGGAGATCATCTCCCTTGGGTGTGACTTGTTCGTCTCTGGTCTCAATGTAGAGCGTGCTTCGGACTTGGCCAGACTGTGCGTCCGTGGCGTACGGGTCGCCGTAATACACCGAATGCCACTTGTAAGTACAATGTCGAGGCTGTCCAGCAACGGCGCGGACCCATTTGGCGTGAAGGAGAGGAAGGCAAGTGAAGCCCAGGGAGTGGTATGGGACAGAGGCAGTGGTGGGATCCGGCTCAGGAGGACGGGATGAGCCACGCAAGATGAGATAGCCTTTGCAGTAAGTCATTGGTCGGCAGAGGAGGACACACTTCCATGGAATGCTGATGGCGGGATGTTCTGTGGAAGACGTAGGTGGGGACATCATTGTATGAGGGGCCCTTCAGCGATACAATGCTGTAATTCTGAACTGATTGTAATCTTGAAGTGCACTCCACATTGACCTTGAAGGGATACCTGACACTTCTGCCTATTTGGGGAACATTTGAGTCGAGTCGCTGTGTCCAGGACAAAAGAAGTACTATCGATATGATGTGACATTGGATTCACTCCTGCTAGGTAGGAGACGTGACATGCTTGTTTCAGAAGTTGTCGGTCGGCCCATTAGTAGATGATCGCCTTCCGCCTATGAATACATGGATATGTACTTGTAGTAACCCTTGCAGCTGTGATGATCGAAGGAAGGGAGGGGAACCAAGCAACACGCACTAAGCGACTGGTCCAGACGTCATCAGTTATGGGGTTACGTAACCTCACGTGCGATGACATCACAGTAGACGTGGCGGGTGATCACGCTGGGGTATATAAGGGCCCGAGATGCTCCATCCCTTTCTCCATCCACTTTCTACCGCTTTCTATCTACTACTACTACTACACCAAACACCAACCAACACCAACACCATGTCTGAAGTCGCCAACGCTGTCCTCTACAAGCCCAAGTGAGTCAAGCCACATGCTTGGCACATGCTTCTATAGCTGACCCTCCCTCCAGCGAGCACGCCGACGAGTACCAAGTCTTTGTCGACGACGTTGCCGAGGTATGTGTATTGATACTAGCCATTGCTGGGCGCTCCTTTGAGGACTATGCTGATCGTCTTGCAGTATGAGGCCTGGAAGGGAGGTGCCAAGGACATTGCTCTTTCCCGCTTCCTCGGTATCTTCTCCATCGTATGTCATTTACTTCTGTGTCAAGCATCCTCCTCTCTTGTCAATCTAGAGATGGAAGGATGCCGACAAAGGATGCCTGCTGTTGGCGACTGCTGACCCCGGCCACAGTTCAAGTCTGCCACCTCTGGACACACTGGTTCCCTCGGTGCCATCTCTAAGCAAGAGGTTGAGAATGTTTTCTTCGGTGACGACAAGAACGTCAAAGACAAGTCTGTCGAGTGAGTCTGTTTCTATGATGTTCCAAGGGATTTCCCTGACGAACCTTTTCCAGGGCCGCCATTGTGATCATCCTCGAAAACGGCAAGCTGCACAAGGGAGACCTTGCCCACAGCAACAAGCTCAACAAGAACCCCTCTCGTGGATTAGGCGACACTCGAGCTCCTGGTGCCGCCCAGGGCTCTCACCGCTAGACGCCCCGAGACTTGTCTTGGGTGGGCGAAGTGAATAGATGTTGTATACATTACAGAAGAAATAAGTAGTCGTAAGAAGCAAATCAATAGATACCCCGGAACTTTTTGGGCATCATGAACCATCTGCATGCAAAGCATTGTGACTCGATTGCGGCTTCTTGCAAACAGCGGAGGAGAGTGCGGGTGAGCACGCGATGCCGACGTCATGCCTCCACTTGACCCAACCGCTCCCATAGAAGACTTCGCGTCCGCTCTCCACATCTTCCCGCTGGTATATACTATCTGCAACGACACCTTAGGACACACACCACAATGCCTGTAAGCGGACCAGGCTGTATCTGTGAATGTACAAAGCTCACTGTTCCAATGCCAAGCCTCAATCCGCTCTCATCATCGGCGCTTCCAGGGGCCTCGGGCTCGCCCTAGTCAAGCACTACGCATCCACCATCCCTCCCTCCAACGTCTACGCCACTGTTAGAGGACATGTCTCTTCTGATACGTTCCCCAAAGGCGTCAATGTCATACAAGACATCGACCTCTCAAAGGAGGATTGCGGTAAGAAGATTGTGAATGGGCTGCAGGGAGCAGCTGTGCAGATTGTGGTATATGTGGCGGGAGTCTTGAAGCCAGAGGTGAGATATCACCAGTGATCTCATGCGACTGGAAAGAAGATTCTGACAGATAACTGCAAGTCTCTCGAAAAACTTGACTGGGAGGGACAAGTTCTCATGTACAAGGTCTGCTCCATCGCACCCGTATTCGTCATCAAAGAGCTGTTAGTGATCTGTAGTCTGACCCCAGTCTTGCTTATGACTGAAGCTGACTCGATTCGACAGTCTGTTTGCCTCCTCACTCTCTCCTGACGCCAAGATTGCCCTCTTGACCTCCGAGGGGGGCTCCATCGCCTTGCGCACCGAGGCCGAAGGCGGAGGCATGTTTGGTCACCACGGTTCTAAAGCTGCCGGAAATATGGTGGGCCATTTGCTTAGTTACGACTTGAAGCAGAGAGGGATCCCCATCGCTATGATCCACGTGAGTGTGCTTTTTGAGTGTGTGGCTATGGTACCCAGCTGACTCTCTGTCGCACAGCCTGGGTTCTTGAAGACTGGTGAGCGCATTAGATCGTGGAGTGCGAAAGGTGTGCTGACCTGAATCTGCAGAGATGACCAAGAACGCTGGCTTTGAGCCGTTTTACGACCAATTCGGCGCCATCACTCCTGACGAAGCTGCCAAACCTTTTGCCGATTTTGTCAATCAACTTGAGCCAAGTCAGAGTGGAAAGCACTGGGCGCCTTGTGAGTGCAATCTCACGACTTTCGGGACCCACAAGGCTGATGCGCTGGAATTAGTGGGTGGGAAAGGTATCGGTAACGCGGAAGAAGTTCTTGGGAAAGAAGCCGCAAACAAGTCGGGTCCACTCGAGATTCCGTGGTAAGCTCTCATCGCTATCACGTCATGGGGTCGTCGCTTGGCCCCGCCATGAACAAATTGAGCGCGAATCTGTATTTATATATGAGAAGCAATGTATCTGAACTCTCTTCCTTTTGTTGCATGACTATAGCACTCAACGACGGACAACCCACGGGTTAGAAGTACTTGTACTACTAACTTCCCAACACTTTCTTTCATCTCTCCTTCGCAGCGTCCCTTATCAGCTCGGCTGGCGTTTGGGCCTAATGAGCTGTGAAGGGAAGTCCCCAACAGGCGGTTGGGTTCAGAGTCTGGGGAGCCGTACCAAACACGAGGTGCCCTCAAAACATCGATGAATGCGCTCAGCAGATTGAGACATTGCTTCAGCCGTCATCGCCATCCTTCTTGCTTTCATTGTCGGGCTTCTATCGAATAATGATGGTCAGTAAGTGTGTAAGTCCAGGGATAAGCTTCTTGTACTCACTTTCGAATCCCCATCGCTTTCGGTGGAAGCCTCGGCGGACTTGACATCGGCCTTTGATTCCTCCGAAGCCTTTGATTCTGTGTTGTCTGTGGATGCAGCGTCGGTGTCGCTCGTCTTTGCTGCCGGTGTCGTTTTCTTCCTCCCGTCTACAGCCTACTACGAGTGAGCCGGGGGCATCTGACATGATAGACGCAACCCACCCAGTGATAAGCACTCATGACCTTTTTCCACGCTGCACTCGTCACAGAAGAGACTTTAGACCAGGCCGAGTTGGCTGTTGACTTTGTAGAGTTCCAGGCGTTGCTTATTGCGGTTTTTGATTTGGTTCCAGCAGATTTGGTGTAGTCCAGGCCTGCCTTGGTCTTGGTTTTGGCGGTATCCCAGGTAGTCTGAAAACTTGACCGCGTCTTCTTGGCCCATTCCGAAAACTCTGGAGAGTGGAAGCATGAGCTCATTGCCTCTACAGAAGCCATTTGCAAGACAAGACGCACCCTCTTTCCACTTCCGTACGGTAGTTCCTAAAGTCCCTGTTCCAGCAGTGTTCTCGTTTTTCTGATCTGTTGTTGCCTCGGTCGTTGTTTCTGCGTCCGCGCTCCCTGCTGACGTTGTGTCGTCGGCCATGCTCGGTTTATGAGTTGTGAATAGGGGATAAGTTGTCGTTAGAATACGAGCGCTGATGGGAAGGGGCTATCCCATGCGGTCATGGCGGAGGAGTACGAGTAAGGTGGCCTTCCTATATGTCGAGATAACCATGGACAAAGGATGGATACAGGTTCGGAAAGGATGATGTCACTTGAGGGCGGGTGTCCCAGGTCGGTGGAATGGCTCTTGGTTCGGAAGACTTGGGCTGGGCATCGAAGGCAAAGAGTCTACGATTGGGCAGTGGATCGATGACGAAAGTGGCTATTCTGATCGAGCTCATCTTCTGTTGTGGCGGCTGGCTGACGTTGACAAGACAGGGACTCTATAAGTACAGTGCGCGGTCAGAATTGAACTTGCGTTGCATATCTCAACTGTTGCTTGGCAACCCAATGCTTAAGGCTTGATTCAAACAATGCAAGCTATTGCCATAAATACATCTCAGAAACGATTTCATCATCATGATGGTTTCGCCACGACCCGCTTTCTCGCGCGGCGTCGTCTTGTCCTTGGCACTCGAGCGCTACTACTCCCTGCGATGCCTTCCTAACGACCGGCCACCTTGAGTTTGTGCTTGATCGGCGGGCATCTGATATATTTGATTGTGGTCCGGAGCTTCGAGCATTTGTGCTTCATAAGGTGCTTCGTGTATCTGAGCGTCAGGCGAAGAAAGCTCGTAGGTCCGTGACGGATCATGCGTCGATCTTATACGTCGGCTGCCTTGGGCTTCTGCCAAATGAGTCAATATGTACCCCATTGTGACATACCAGTGAGCCTACCATCGCTGCCAGTTACTTTCTTTCTCAGCCACAACCTCAACTTGCGACGCCTGCTCGAGCGATCATCTCTCTCAGTCGTCCCCGGACTAGCAAACGTCCAAGACTGCACTTCATCGGGCCCGTATGGGCCAAAAGTGCCCTCTCGCTCAATTAATGCCTCTCTCCTTGCTACCGAGTCTCGTACTCCACCTCGAATAAGCCCTGATGCAGCAGATCCAGCAGCACCGGTAGCGCCATGCGTGAATGTCACGTCAGCAGACGGCTGCTCTTCTTCATCGGGAGGCATGTATTGAGTTGGAGGAGGTCTACTATTGCCGGGGATGGCAGGCGCCAAACTATCATGTTCTTCATGAGTTGAGAGACTTCCAAAGGCAACAGTAAGCTCGTCTGCACTAGTCAAAGGCCCTTGCGCCCATGTCGAGTCCCTCTCGGCAGCAGCAGCAGGCGTTCCCGTCGTCCAGATGTGGCCGATGTCATGGTCTGGAACCCAATGACCGGCTGTCGGATAGAAACTGGGAGCCTGAGCGGGTTCCATTTCCTGAAGTCTATCCCATAACTGTTGATCTTCTTGAGCATCGTCTGCCCCCACTTCACCCAATGGGACAAGTACAGGGAAGAGGTGGCTTAATCTCTCGACTCGACAAAGGTTACTGTTCCCCTGGTGATCTTGTCGCCATTCAGCAAGCTCTACAGTAGTCTCAAAGAAGGACGATGGATTGTTCTGGTCTACCCAGGAGACAGGGAGCTGTTCTTGCGGTACGGGAATGGTCACAAAGACATGTGAAGGGATAGTTGTCTGACCGATAGATTCTACAGTTCTGTTGGAGTATGGGTCAGCCGAGGAGGTTACAAGGATCAAACGGTGGAATGACGTACGCTCTGGAAGACGCTATGATCTCTTCATTGCGAACGCGGGACGCTCTTTTCATACTCTGCCACAGTCCTATCACTCTATCGGCCTCCGCTCCGTCAAAGAGTGGATTGAGTGCCACCATGGACTCGTTACATTCCACGCAGCTTATCCTATGCCCGCAAGTTGCGTGGATCAAATCTTCACCATCCAAGGGTCCATCTGAAAAGAGGTACGGGGTCATGGAGATGGCATAGAGGGGTCTGGACGGACAGATGTCGCTATCGCTGGGGCAGTAGTTGAATGATGTCAAGCCGGCTAGGACATCGTCGCCCTCTCGACCAGATATGTTTTCGTAGGTTCTGTCTACATGAATAGGGTGAGACACACGCAGAGAAGCAGCACCATGAGACTCCGACATTGGGGCTTGTGGCTATCTTGATGGTGGGGTGATGTGCAGTGGGTTGGAAGAAGGATATATTAATTTGCCACGACAAGAAATGCGACGTATCAGAGGTTATAAATGCTGGGTCGGTCTGGCAAATCATTGGCTATACAAAAGACATGTCTGTCGATCATTAATGGATGATGTAGCACCTACACTTCTGCTTTGTGCTGTCTAGAAGAGGACGAGGGTTCTCATTCAACGACGGCAGCCAATGAGTATTACGTAACACGACATCAACAACAACATTACCGCGCCGCCCCGCCCCGCCGCGGCGGGCCTGGACCTGCAGAGGATGAATGAATGGGTGTCCATCCGGAGATTGTAGCCACCAAGCAGCCGAGCTGCACGACCCGCTGCCCCGCCCATGGCCCCGCGCTGAAGAACGCCATGTCCTCGCCCGCCCGCTCGCCGCCCTCCGCCATCCCCAGGGCCGTCTCAGTCTCAGACGCCGTCAGGAGATTCGAGGCCAGGTCGGGGTCATCCATACCCACACGAATCGTCTCCAGCCCAGCATCCACCTCAGCAGCTCTTCCTGCCCGGACGCCCCCACATTCGCCTCGCAAGAACCCCTTGCGCAATTCACCGAGCTCAAATCGTGGTTCACCCTCATATCGACCGCCATCCGAAGCTGCCCAGCCCGTGGCCAGCACATCCACTGCTACAAATCCACCCAAACCACGTGAGCTAGGACTGGGTAGCCCCCGTGATGAGCGTAGAGCGAGCGAAACAGCTGGAATCAGGCAGCGAGGCCAGGGGATCCCATCTGCCAGCAGGCTGCCGCACAGCGTTAGCCTGCCGCGCGATGCCAACTTGATTCAGCCAGAGCCTGATGACTTTTCGCCCCGCTCAGAGACTTCATCCCAATCTGGATTCGGCTACTCTCCAAGCAGGACAAGGTTGCGGCCTTCAATATCCATATCTGGCGTTACACCCGAAAGACGTATGCCACCGCTACGGCGCCGAGCAGAGAAATCTGAGGGCATGATTAGGACTGGAAGTGCAGACCGGATACTACGTGTCAAATCGCCACCTTCATCCACGTCCCGCCAAAGCTCCTTCACCCAAGCCCCATCACCAGCCGCGTCCAGTCAATATTTCACCCCTTCACCCACCACCAATCCGCTCACATCGCCTATGTCAGGTTCATACGATGAGGGAGAAAGGACAGACTCAATAGTGGACGGCTATTTCAGCCTTGGGGATGCGAGAAACACGGTCTATCTCGATCCACCTGCTATTTCTCGCCCTCCAAGCGCTACAGATCCTTACCAGAAACGAGAGGATGTAGAGCCTGGTACGTCGCCGGTTACAACATTCACATACTGTCTCTGATGTCCCAGTAGCCGTCAACTCTGATGCAGTTCCAACTCTCGGCAACGTCGTTCTTCCCTCTGATCTCTCACGGCAGCTTTCGTCTCGACCTGTTCTTCATAGTCGGTCGAGCTCGGCTAGCTCCCTAAGCGTCAACGGTACAAGTGGACATGCTGGGCTACGGAGAGGCTCCTCTGGTATTGCCTCCCCATCACTATCACAATCAGGTTCACATTCGCGAAGTAATTCTCCACTATCCCACAATATTCCCACCACCGTCATCCAAGAGCCTTCGCCTCGCAAATCTCCCCGCAAATCCCCACAACTTCGCATAAACCCACCTGCACCACCTTCCTCCGCCAAGCTTTTCAATGCTATTTCCTCCTTACCAACACCCCCTGTGCCCACGAAGAGCCCGCTACGCAACTTTAGCGGGCGATCAAGCGCGGTCAGTAGTAGCTCGAGAAGATCGGGCGGCGAGGGCGAGGAAAGGAGTGAGGCTAGCACGCCACACAAAACGCCTCAAAAGGATGGAAACCATGCGCAAGAAAGGGTGAAGAAAGTGGGATCGATGGACAGTGTCATGGCAGTGGCGGGAACACCGTTGTCGGCCGCCACTCGTATGAGGCGGATGGCCGACGCCACTACGGTCGAAAGCCCTGTCAAGAGCCCTTTGACGTACTCATCTCCTTCTGCTATGACCGAGTCAAATCGATCTTCGTATCTCGCCGAGGTAGAATCTCCAGTCGGTTACGAAAGTGCTGCTCCACCCAGGTCATCCCAAGATGACCGGCGGGGGTCCTCCCAATCACAAAATGAGATTCGTTTCACAATGCTCACGGCTCCTTCCATCTATTCCCAATCGTCGGCTTCTGGGTCAAATTACGAGTCTGGACCTGGCTCGGCCAAGAGCTGGGGTACGGAAGGCACTACGACACCGCGTTCAGCGGAGAGCCGCTTCTTCACGGCGTCTACATCATCTAATCCGCAACCCTCATCCAGTGGCAAACTGGGGACAGAGCGACCAAATGGCCACGAGATTCAAAAGAGAAGGCCACTCTCCGGGGTGATGGACCATATTCATGTTGGGGGCTGGGGCAAGAAGAAGGAAGATAAAGAAAAGGGGAAAGAAAGTGGAAAGCAGAGACGGTTCAGTAATGGAAGCGAGAAGGGCCATCGCGTACGTATCGCCTGTTCTGATCATGGCCAGTATTGATCACACCGTGTAGAGGTCTTCATCGCTCCCCAGGCCAAGCTTTAGTATGTCGTCCGACAACGACTCGCCGTACGCCAACAGACCTTCATTCGAGACGAGGCCCTCTTTTGAGTCAAGGCCTTCGTTCGAGACACGGCCCTCATTTGAGAAAAGAGCCTCGTTTGGAACACCAAACAATTCTTCCCGTCATCTCCCGCCTACCACCTCGACACCTCTGGCGTCTATCCCTCAAGAACGGTCGCCTGCGAAGAGCCCTTCGCTTCCTATCCTTCGTGATCCATCATTCCCTACTATCGCCACTCCCACAGGCGCTGCTACGGGCTTGGGGAAGAAACGCGCGGAGACATCAAAAGAACCTCTCTCATCTCTGCTTTCAGGGACTCAAACGGCCAAGTCGAAACGGAGCCATGTGTTGAAAGAGATCGCCGAGAGTGAGAGGGCATACGCGAAAGATCTGGCACTTGTCCGAGATGCCTTCATGATGCCCCTGAATCTCCAAATAGGTGGTGCACGACCTGATAGCATGGTGTCTTTCTCGTCCTCGACATCTTCAGGTGGTAGCCTTACTCCCGGGACGCCTTCGACAACTGCTCGCCCTGGACATTCCAAGAGAAGTTCAATCTACACGTATCAGACTGCCGAGACCAGCCGGTCAAGCACGGCCAGCGCGGGAGGCCCGCCGAGCGCCACCAGCATCCCCAAGAGCCCTTCCGAGGGTTTCAACATGGGTCACTTTTCCAACAAGGCAAAATCACGCGAATCTCTAGTCTCATCTAACGCGCCCAACCAAGCCGTAAGAACATCAGGCATTATGGCCCCACCGGTGGGTAAGCCATTGTCGCCGGCAGATATCAAAGCAGTGTTCTTGAACCTGGATCACCTGGCGGCGGTGGCGGATGAGCTGGCGACAAGGTTCGAGGAGGCATTGGGGAGGGAGGAAGATGTGGAAGAAGGAGCAGGCAAAAGAGAGGGTGAGAAAGGGGATGACAGGTTGGGGCAAGTGTTTGTCGCCATGGTATGCCTAGTTTTGCATGGGAAAAAGACCTAGCTGACACGATCGTCAGGTGCCCAAGTTGAGACCGCTGTACAACTATTATTGTTCCCGTCAGCCTTCGGCTTCTCGACATCTACAGACTTTACTATCCTCCCCACTCTACGCTCTCCACCTCAAAGCCCAATGGGCAGTCATCTCACCGCACACCCATGCCTGGAATCTCGATTCCATGCTCATCAAACCTGTCCAGCGTTTGACAAAGTACCCTCTCTTGTTTGAGGATCTGGGCAAGGTAACGACGCCTGTACATGGAGACTACTTTGGGATCAGAGAAGCTGGGATCGAATCGAGAAAATTGGCTGCAGAGGTTGACGAAGGGCGGAGGAGAAAAGAGGTGGTCGAGATGGCACTTAGTAATGGTCCAGCGGTGAAAAAACCGGTTGGCACAGACAAGAAGGAGGCAAAGCCGCAAGGCTCAAAACTCTTGGGGCTCAAGCGCTTCAAGAAAAGCTCGGTCACTGCTTCTGCTTCCTCTACAACATTGGCATCCGCATCTACAGGCCCAACGGCACCACCATCTCTGTTATCAGACTCCTCTCTCCATACTCTCAAGGCTCATCAAGCACGTCTCCAGATATTCAACACGTCTCTCAAAACACTTGGGCAGGATATACTTCTCTGGACTGCCTCCGCCAAGGAAGTTTTGAGAGCAGAGAATGCCGTGCTAAGAGCATGGGATCATGTGGGACGACTGGAAGAGGGAGATAGGGCAGATCATAGGGTGTTGGAAATGAGGAATGTTGTGGATGGGTTGGTAGATGGAGCTTGGTCTGAGCTGGTGAGTCTCGAGCACATCAACGGATAACGAGACTAATGTCGTTGGTAGAGCGTCGAAATCAAGACTCAGATCCTTCCCATTCTCTCTACGCTACTCAAGTCCATGTCGAACCCCTCAAAAGTTCTCACCAAACGTTCATCATTGCATGCCGACTACACGAAATATCACTCCCATTCTTCGGCGCCGTTGACTAAGAAGCTTGTGGCCCTTGAGCCCAATGTAGTCAAAAACGCCCAAGAATTTGTAGCTCTTCATGAGCAGCTTTTGGAAGAACTTCCTGCCTTTTTGGAAGGGTGTATGAGGATACTAGACATTGCTGTTGTAGGATTTGCCAACGCCCAAGCCCGATACTTTTCCAACATCCGCGTGAGGGTGCGGGAATTCTGCTTGGTCTGGGTAAAATCGCCTATCGGTGTGGGGATCTATGAGGGCGCCGATGGCATAAGGTCATCGGATGAGCAGATGACTGGAGACGACCTTGAGAAGGCGTGGTACGAGTGCTGGAAGGGGTGTGCTGCTGCTTTGGACAAATTCCAGTGCACTCAGTCTTGTAAGTCTATCCGATGGCTGTGAAGCGGGCTTCAATCTGACCAGCTGTAGCATATAAACCACCAAACCTGGATGCCCGAATGGGTCTGAATCGACCACGGAGCAGAACTACGTCCCTCACAAACTCAACAGATCTTCCTTCTCCTACTCTTCGACACTCTGCATCGACAAACAATGCCCTTTCTTCGCCCACCAGTTCATTCTTTGGTTCAGGACGTGGAGACGACCGACTGTCGGGCGCGGCAAGTTCTTCCGGCTCGGCTGGCGCGTCTTTCATCGTCACAAGCCCAGGAGGCAAAGAGGACAAGAGGGAAAGCGGTGGCTCGAGGTTCAAGCTCCTCCGCCGATCCAACTCCAAGTCAGCCGTGCCACAATTGACGACACCTTCAAAGCCCACTCACACTCGACAAGGCAGCGGGTTGAGGCCTTCGTCTGCGACAAGTGAAAGTTCGAGACACTCTTGGGGTCTGCCACAGATCCCAAACACGACAAGTGAAGGCTTCAAGGGTCTAGGTCTTTCACCTACAAACTCGCTCACGGTGTCGCCCAGGCAGTCGCCCCGTCCTCCCCAATTCGCGGGTGCTGCCGAACCACCTAGTCCATCTTTGACGAACGGCAGTCTTGTGAGCCCGAACCCGAGCTTTGGTTTCGGTCCAAGCGGAAGAACACCCGAATTTGGCAAGACACCAGAAATGGGCACACCGAGGAGTGGGATCAGCGCGTACTTTACGTCTCGTACGCCAGACCTTAACATGCTTTCTGGTGACAGGCATCCTTATTCGCGCGGCGGGGCAACGGCCTCAGAGGTCTCTCTTGGTAGCCTCACCGGCTTGGGTATAGGAGATGTCCCGATGCCCATGAGAAGTCCTGGGAGGAGGGGCTCGGGGCATCCGTTTGCCAGTCCTACCTTGCCTCCTGGGGCCGCTGAGCCGGGGGACGTATCTGATGGGTGGAGGGACGAGCCGATGCTGTATCAATGTGCCTGCGTGGCGGATTTGTAAGCACATCTATTTCGTACCGTGAATATCATGCTAATGATTGACAACAGCGATCCCATGGAACTGGGCAATAGACGTTACAGAGGTTTAAAGTTCTTGCGGATGCTACCGGGAGATCTCATCGAGTAAGTTTCCCGAAACACTGCCGAGCATGGCTGACGTTTGCACAAGTATCCTGCATGAAGTAGGCCGTATCGAGGATCTACCACTGTTCCCCTATCCTGGCGTGGGTGTCGAGAATGACGGGGTGCTTGTAGGGAAGGGCGAAGATGGCGAGATTGGGTTGGTGATCTGTAGCTTCTTGGAGCCGCTGCGGGACTGAGGGTGTATAAATCTATACTATATGAGAAGTGGGATCTCATTTCTGGGCACAAGTATAATATCAGGTTGTAGCACCTATCTTGTATGCATCTTGCAGCATCTGAGACCGATTGCCTCCTTGGTACTTCAACGCAGGCATAAAGGGGTGGCAATTTAAGACGTGTCGTCATTGTCTAGTCGGGCCGACGGAGGATGACTCTCTTTGCCAGGTTGAGATGAGGACAAGACACAGCATGAGCACAGACATCCCAGACGAGAACGTAAGACAGCCCTGCCCAACTGCTCCCGCCGCCACCGCTCACCACATCCCACAGAGCTCCGACTTTGTCCACATACCATCTCCCGCCACCGCCTCCCAAGACTTCGACTTCGTGACCCACCCCTCCCACACCCCGACCATGTCCACCCGCTCCGCCTCCGCCGGCAGTGGTGCTGCGGTGCCAGAAGGAAAGGCAAGGCTTCTATACTGCAAGTCCCATGTGGCTATACATCCCACAGCGTTCAAGACCGACAACATATCTGGATATCTCGGTATAGTAGAAACCCAGTCCAGTAAGCCTCAGCCGGCGGACGAAGAGGCGAAAACTGGTCAGCTCAGTGTGGCAGGAGAAGGTTTGCTTGTGACTTGGGTTCCCGATGAGGTCTTGGAACGCATGGACGAACACGACAGAGATGTATACAAGAAGCTGGGTCACAAGGAGGAGGGCGATGCGGAGGAAGACGGTAAGCTGGCTCCATGTATACAGGGAGGTGATATCTGATCGTATGATAGGATTTGTGTTTGTCTCGGTGCCGCCACCCAAAGGAGAAAAATATGCGTTTTCAGTACCCGTCACCAACATTTACAGCATTCTGGTCTACCCTCCCAGTCTCTCGCATTGGTACGGCTCGGCCACGATCAACTTGACCGGTGGCATATCTTTACCGACTCTCTACTTTCACGACGATGAATCGCCTCTTCTCGCCTCCCCGAAACCCTCACCACAACCCGATGCTGCTGCCCGCCCAACACCTAGAGCCAGATGGGGATTCCCACCGATCCTTTCTCTGCTTGAAAGTCGAGCGGTCCTGGTCCGGTCTCGCCTGCTACAGGCAAAGCGCTCAATGGGCGCAGAACTGTGGCTGGTGAATCCTTCCAAATCTGATCGTGAGGTACACGAAGCTGGCGTGCCAGATGAGGAGCCAGAGACGGTTCCCACACGCAAGCCTAACCAAACTCAACAGACCAACTCGCCGCGGAAGGCCGAGTACCCACCCAAGCCCGACTATCCCGCTGTCTATCCCGGTTTTGCCGGTATTGAAAACCTCACTCCAAAGCAAAGCATTCTCACAGGCCTCTCGAGTCTCACTAGCCTGTCCCGCCGCAAGGCTTCCCAGCTCCTCTCCCATCCTCTCGCCCAGCCTGTTGTACCCCATCTTCCGCCGGCGTTCAAGTCACTCGTGAATGTCCCCGGAGAATGGGAGCGCAATGGTAGAACGCAGGGCGCGAATGCTCAGAATGGCGGAAGGGGCGGCAGTGATGTCGCCTCGGAGTTCGAATCTGCGCGACTCTATCTGGCAAAGTGGGCAAGAGTAGTGGCCGAAGAGGGCGAACGTGCCAGGCGAGAGGAACTTGCAGCTCAGGCTCGCATTCGACCTTCTTCCCCAACAGCTTCGACTGCCGATGTTGACGAGAACCTTGCTTCAAGTTTAGGCGTATTCTCTCTTCTACCGAAATCATACGCCAAGAGGCCTGTGCCGAGCTCCACGCGTCATCCTCAGAACCCCATCAGCTTGCAAGACTGGGTCACTTTTGAGGAAGAGGGCAAAGACGAGCTGTTCGTGAGACAGCAGATATTCCGTCGAGGCTTCTCGACGCTTCCTGTCGACGGGCAAGCCTTGAGAGAGGGCTGGGAGGTACTCTTGTCCATCGTGCCCTGGCACATCGGTGGAGCAGACACTTCCTCTGATGGATTGGGGAAGCGACGCCAAGAGAGGAATGAAGTCAGGGACGGGAAGCGACAGGTGTACGAAGGGTTGAAGAGGAAGTGGAAGGCCGACGCCGACGAAGGAAAGGGTGATGAAGGGTGGAAAGAAGAATGGCATCGGATCGATGTGAGGCTGCATATGACCGATACGTGGAATCATCTCGCTGACAGATTCTCAGGTGGACTGCAGAAGGACGGACCGTAATCAACCCATCTACGCTGTCCCGTCCGATTTGGCAAAGGCCAATGCACACGAGAAGGAAGGGTCTACCCAGGTCCACGAATACGGAGATGGAAATGATGAGGACGAGGAAGGTGGTATGGCTCCTTTGAACCGTGCGTATCCTTGGCTCCCGTATCCTTGCGTCTCGTCCGGGCTGACATGGCTTTGCAGACCATATTGCTGCTCTGCGGACGATCCTCATGACATATCACACATACTCACCAGAGCTTGGATATGTGCAAGGTATGTCGGACCTCCTCAGTCCGATTTACGTCATATTCGATGGCAACGAAGCAGACTCTTTCTGGGGGCTGGTCGGCGTGATGAAGATGATGGTGAGTACGCGGACAGGTTGACGTGGCTTCTTGCTGACAGAAGCAACAGGAGAGCAACTTCTTGCGAGATCAGAGTGGCATGAAGAAACAACTCAGTCAGCTGCAACAGCTGATTGCAGTCATGGATCCCGAGCTTTACGTCCACCTCGGTAAGCCCTGGTCTGCACTGACATTGCGTCTCATCGCTGACGGTATCACAGAACGCACCGGCTCTCTGAACCTCTTCTTCACCTTCCGCTGGATCCTCATCATTTTCAAGCGCGAGTTCCCTTTCACCACCATCCCCCGTCTCTGGGAGAACCTCTTCACGGGGTACTACTCGAACCAGTTTGTGATCTTTGTGGCACTCGCCGTGTTGCAGAGTCATAGAGAGGTCATCATCAGGTATCTGGCTGAGTTTGACGAGGTCCTCAAGTATGCGAATGATCTCAGTGGAACGGTACGTCTGACTTTACTCGTGTATGGAGGCTGAGAAGCTGATGATACATTTAGATCGACTTGGAAAGCACCCTTGCTCAAGCCGAAGTCCTCTTCATATCATTCCAAGCGATGATCGAAGACATCGACAAGTCCACTGCCGAAGAATCTCAGCAAGGCGAGCTTAGACAGAGGGTCACAGAAAAGGGCAAGGACAAGGACGCCGAGCCACATGAGGAGCCAGAGGTTCTCAGGGAGGAGGAGCAGAAGGTACAGGCAAAGAAGCTGATTTCTAGTGATTTGAGGGAGCTCCTGGTTGGTTGGACGCCGCGACAGGATGAGTGATTTTATTCGGAGATGATACATATGCTCTGTTTGATTTGTCTTGTATGCGGTATGATTTACCACGCCTTTGTATGTAAAGCTACATTTACCGTATCCAAACAGCCTCACCTCGGATACCCAACGAAGAAGGAGCGTGCTAACATGAGTCCTTCCTCCCGGGAGAAGATAGGGCTATCCCGCTTGACACTAACGAGCTGAGGATTCTCCTGCCGTTCTGTCAAAAGCAAGGCTCCAAGCAACCGACCTACGGGAAGATGTTGAGACAGCTGGAGGACCTCCCGAATGCTGATCTTTGTAGCACATGAAAATCATTCGTTATTGAGTCTTTGATCAACGATGGCCTGTCGTAATGGGAACATTTGCAGGTGAGTTGTGGCGATAGATCATCCGATGAATCGGAGTACATGGATACATTGACACTGTGTTGATGATAATCTCAATCATCTTCTCGACTTATACAGCGCTTTTCTTTTTGATCATCATCAGCACCAAAGGCCAAGCCACCTCAATCTTGCCTTTCCCGTTCTTCAGCACCCCTGCTTTCTCCAGCTCTTGCCCCAGCTCCCACACAACCCTCTCGACAACATCCCCAGTCGGAGAACCTTTCCCGTCTTCTTGACCCTTGCCGATACGCTTAGCTTTGTCCTCGGGATTGGCAGCAAAGTACTCGTGCACGGCCGAGAACGTGCGGAGGTAACCTTCGAGCTGCGCCAACGACCAGCTTTGCTCCATCAAGAACGGGAATTCTGGAGAGTGGCGGATCCGGATGGCGGTAGACATATCCCAGCCACCATGGTCTGCTTGAGACGCTGCCACACCCTCTTTCGCGATGGTTTGCTGGATATTTGCGGACACAGGAGTAGTGGTAGGCCATGGTACATCGTCAAGGAGATTTTCAACGATGGACCGGCCCGGCTGGGACCAATACTTTCCAATCACGCTGTGGGAGAAGTTGGAAAAGATGGAAGTGACGTTGGGGTGTCCTGGGAATTGCATCTCGGCGTAGCCCTGCACGTTCAGGGTCAGTCGTAAGTATTACGCCATGTCGAGTGGTAATCTCACGAGGTACACCACACTGCCGCCTGGCCTGACGGTCCTAGTCAATTGAGGCCACACCCTTGTATGATCAAACCAGTGGGCTGCTTGACCTACCATAAGTATCAGCGTGTGTCCTTCGGAGATGAGCGGGATTATCCCTAGAGATGAACCTGCGACCACAAGATCCACGCTATTCTCCTGTATACCAGCGGCTTCGAGGTTCTCGCCCTTGCCCACCTTGTACTGGATCGGTTTCCTGCCATCTTCATCGTTACCAACAGGCTGGAGACCTATAGACACCATCGTCGCGGAAGGGTCGAGGGCGATCGTCTGGTCGAAGCGCGGGGCGAGTTCGGACGCCACGAAGCCTGGGCCGCATCCCAAGTCGAGGAGGGTACCCCACTGAGGAGAGGAGCGGATCGCCGAGTGGTATGCGAGGATAAGGGAGTATACCCTCTGAGGATAGGAACTACCGGTGAGCTAAATCAGCGATAGGTCAATGAGACAGCGGAAGAGGATAAACTGAACCTACGGGCGACAGTGAAGATAGGCGGCCACATCGAACGACGCCTTGGCAAAGCTAGTCATGGTGGTGGGTGCAGATGTCACGCAGCCTTGTATCCCCAGGAGTATATATGAAGACTTCCGATACTCCTGCGAGACTTATCAGGGTATTGACCCGGAGATTTTGGGTGGTCCAGAAAAGTGGAGGCCCATCTCGTGCAAAACAACAACAACGGCCGGAATCCCGATATTTCCGTCCACCACCTTGCAAGCTTGTCTATTCACAATGGCACCCCGCGAGAAAGGCCCCACCAAGAACCAGTACTCCCAAGGTCTCACCTACGTCGCACAAAAACCCTCCTTCCTCCAAAACTTTGGTGCTCCTCCAGCATCTACATCTGGCCGCCCGGGGAGAGAAGCTTTGCCTGAAAGACCCTCAGAAGGTGAATGGGCGGGAGGCAGTGACATCGAAGACGAGGACGAAGAGGATGAGTGGTCAAGAGCGCTGGGCGGAGGAGGGGACGAGGGGCCCCAGGTAGTCGTGCTGAAAGAAGGGAGGCATCTGAGCAGAGACGAGATTGAGAGGGAACGGAGACGAGGTACGCATCATCCCGATGCAGTATGATCACAGCGCTCATACTTGTCTGTTTCAAGCCAAAGGCGAAAAAACTCCTCCACCGGAAGAGACAAAGACAAAGGCCCCCAAAGACCCTTCAGCAAAGACGGACAAGGAACCCAAACGCCCCATAATACCAAAGCCCAACCTCAACAAGCGAAAGCTTGTGGGCAATGATCCGGAAGAGGACAAGGCAGACGATGCCAAGAAAGACGGCGTTGATAGAAAGAAGAAGAAGAAGAAGGCAAAGAAGGGGCTTTTGAGCTTCAATGAGGAGGAGGAAGTCTGAACGATTATGTACTCTAGATGATCATTGTATGTATTAACGACTGCATTAATATACAACTACTATGCTCATTCGGACCCCACGGCCTCCTTGTCCGTCTCTTCCTTGGCAGGGCTGACTCTGCCCCCGGGACTGGATGCCCCGCCAGCACTGGCACTACTTGTGGGGGCCATCTGCCATGCTGGGATGCTCGCTCTGCCAGCTCTGGGGCCTAGAAGAGCGTTTGCAGCGTGGGTAGTGGGTGTAGAGACGTTTTGGCCAGTCCCAGAATGGGAGGGAAGATTGCCATTGGACCCTGAGGGAGACGAGATGGCTGCTTGTCGCGAAGCCAGCAAAGTTTTGAGGGATCGGATTTCTGATTGAAGGTCTGCCAGAGCTGTCGATTGGGACTGGGCGTGTTTCTCGATCATCTGTTAGATTCTGGTAAGACATTGTATAGGGCTGCGAGCCTCGTCGACTTGCCTTCGGTACCAGCTCTCGCACACTTTCGACCTCTCCACGGATGTCCCTCATTTCACCCCTCCACCTCTCCTCTCCATCTCGCAAAGATTGCAGTGCATCTTCGACATCGCCGACAACAGTGTTCACTCTTTCTTTATCTGCCTCGATGTTGGTCTGCAGTTTGGTCGTTTCGCTCTGTAGCTCGCCGAGGAGACGCGTGGCTTCGTCGTATTGAGATGTGAGAGAGGTGGATGTCTCTTGGAAGGCTGTTGTGGATGGTGGACGAAGATGGGGCACGAGGTATTTCTGGAAGACAATGTATGAGATCAGGGTATCAGATCACAAGGATGACAAAGACTTACCCGAGCAAGCGCCGTGATACCATACACCACACCTCCGGAGACCATTGCCATGATCTGACGATGAAATCAGCTCGTATTCACACCACTTCATGACAACGACTCACAAAGAGATCTCTCCAGTCTCTTCTCGGTGGCTCAGGTGCTACCGCATACGCCTGTTGATAACCATATCTCGGAGCCGGGTCTCTCGGTCTCTCAGGCGGGGCATTGCCAGAACCTGATCCTATGCCGAGACCTGCAGCCTGTACGGATGGCTCCCCTGCAGCTTGGTTAAGAGCTTGTTGTATTTCAGGCTCCGTGAGCCCTTTGGACTCGAGGAATTGTATGCGTGATATGAGGGAGGAGGATTGCACCTGAGGATGATTGTGCTTGTCAGCGGCGTCTCTGGTCTACCGCCTGTGCTATCCACCTACTTTGGGATCATTCAAGAACAACACAGCATTCTGTAGAAGCTCCTGTCTGTCGGATGACTGCTCCATCCTTGGTTTTGACTAATTAGTGCAGATGAAAGAGATCATAGGCGGCCCGGCTTAGCAAACAACCGGCGGCGCGGGACTCGGGGGACTTCCTCATTACGTACGCAGTCTTGCAGAGCTTTCTGTTTACTTCTGGAGTATGCATTGCAAGCCTGTGGCTGGCAAAAGAGCAACAACATCCCACGACGCGCAGAACTGAATTTAAGTAAATTCGCTATAGGATTATCTAATGATGTTTACTTCACTGGGCCGTCTATGCGATCATTAATCGAATGCTCTTCTAATTCATCACTCAACATGTCAGATCAAATGAGCTTGCCTCCTTCCTGACAGAGCAGAAGTGGGTCGCTAAAAAAACGGATAGCTTTGGCAGGTTGCAGTGCATCTCATGATACTGCTTAAGAGCGGAGTGCTATACATAACTTCAAGCACTTCTTCCTATCTAGTAACAGTACTCGTAGTACGGGCGCCAATGTCTTCTGACTTCTGATGAGACGTATCAATTTTCCTCTGAGGAGGATTCGCTGTCCGACAAGTAGCTTAGCTCAGCACCTGTCATGGTGTCTGTGGATCTCGGCGGGTTCGGATATGCCTCGACTCCCATCTCGAGAGAGGTAACAGGAGGCGTCACCGGTCTGCTACTACTACCATATGTTTCTACCACTCTGAGTGGACGTCCACCATGATTTCTATCGGTGACACTTGGCTCTCTAGAAGTAGCAGCAGAGCTACTGCGAGTATACGGTCCCCAGCGGATATCACTACCAGCGCGTCGATGTGCGGTCCTTGAGACACCGAGTCTTTCACTGGGGGCTGTTGCGGCTGCTGAAGATCTGTTGGCGTCCTCAACCAGAGTGCGTGCTTCTTCCAAGAGGTCTTCCACTGCTTGTGGTAGAGCTGGGGAAAGAAGCAGCGGCAGGTCGTGTGCAGACGGACCTCCACTTGTTGCTGTTAGGCCTTGAGAATCATCAGAGGCCGCAATGTAAGACTCAATCCCAGCAAAAGGATCTATAGGCGTTGACCATTCTCCCCTTCTGTTGCTACCTGTGGTGCGCCCTTGACCCAGCTGCATGTCAAGGTCAGACATGTAGTCTGAGACCGGGTGGGGTGTATTTTGAGGCTGATCGAAACTGGCTTCATCTTCATTGGAAGAATGAGAAACGGATCTGCGCTCTTGGCCAGGGGTATCTGTGTAGCTCAGGTCAGTAGGCGTGGTGTGATACTCGCCCCTATCTTCACCAGAGTTTCCTTCTTGGTCTTCCGGCATGGTGCTGTTGTTACTTCACTTCTCCTGATAACAGATTGTATATATAATGTTCATTCAGAGTGCATGGGTTTTCACTTACTCGCACTACACGCAGCTCCGACGGAATGCCGGGAAAGCAACATAAAAGAGAGCACAATCAGACGCACCCCCTACCGGTTAGACCACCGCTCTTGCCGCCACCACAACAAAGGATGAAGTGCACTCCGCCTTTGGCGCCATGAAAGGATCTCAAGATGACGGAAAGGCTGGCCTTCCGACGCCTTGCTTTGAGGCTCATGACTGAGGTCTTGTGAGCGAGGTACCATTGGCTTGATTTGAGACTCTCTCTTCTGCGTATAGCTTACCGCTGCCTTGCTGTTGTTGCCATCAGACATCCCTACTCCATAGCTTGGTGGTCCTGACCCAAGCCTCGGTCCCCCCTCAGGTCCAGCACGCCCGCCATCCGTCTATAATAGGCCCTCTTTTGCACAATCCTGGGGAGTCAGTAGGAGGGGCCGATCTAGGGAGATATCCTTCAACAGTGTGTCAAGATGCGAGCTTGGTCTGGAGATACGGGCCCTTCAGCGCGGTTCAAACCAGACTCCCAATTCTTACTGTCATTACTGTTGATATTGCCTTGTCTTTGTGGGGTCGCAGCACAGACGAGTAATGCTACTTGCGAGCAAACAGACGAGAATGAATGGATGTTCAACAGCGACGGAGAATCTCCTTGGTATGTCTTCTCTGCTTCCTCTTCTCCCTCTTACTCAATATCGAGAGAACTCACATATCGCTCAGCCTGGTATGGTCCAAGATCCAGTCTCTCTGCGTGTCCTCCGAGTCCTTCATCAACGTGCCCCCACTTCTTGATCCCTCGTGGTCCTATAGTGCCCCCTCAGAGGCGAGTTCAGAGTGTTACTGCAATTCAGTCAGCTATGGTCTGATGGTGAGTGACTCCGACATCCTTCGTACCTTAACGTTAACCAGTGCCAAAGGCAGCATGTACCTATTGCCAGTGGAGCAATTCCAGTATACCAAGCGAGGAGAGCTGGTCTTCCGGTTGCCAAAGTTATAATTCAGATGGGTGCGTATCAGTCACCGTCTCCACCGCTAGTACTGATGACCTATATTTGATACAGGCTGGGATTTGCAGAGAACGTAGAAGACATACCACCCTTCGCTTACCAGACCTGGTCGGGAGCTACTTGGGCAGCAGCGACCGTGTCCTCCGTCACCACAGGCCCAAGCTCGACGCCATCGTACTCAACCACCCTCTCGCGCTCCTTCCCCACGTCGAGCAATCCATTTTCCTCCTCCTCTGCAAGCACCGGCGATTCTCTCACAACAAAGATGGCCTCCTCTACATCCCCTGCATCGTCGTCTACTGCTACATCCTCCGATTCCAGTTCTGACGACAGTGAGGCCAAGTCGAGTACACCCTGGGGAGCGATCATAGGGGGCGTGGGTGGTGGACTATTCGGGTTGATCCTTCTCTTCCTCTTCTGGCGATGGTACAAGAATCGCGACCGCATTCCCAATCCGCGTTCCCCGTTCTCCTCCCCTCGCGACGGTACAGCCCAGAAACGCACCAAGAAAGCTCGTGTGAAATATCCCCTACCCCCACAGAGTTTCCGTGACAGTTTAGCAGCGGGAAAGAACTTCTTGGACATGCTTGTTGGTGGCGGGAGCGGGATTGAGGAAAAGGGCAAGAGGGATACAGAGATGATGAATGATCCTGAAGCGTTTAGTGCGCCTAGGAGAGCTCCACCTGCGCCGAGGAGTCAAGCCGGTTCCGGGTTGGCGTGGAAGACAAGGAGCAAAAGCTTGAGGGACGAAGATTGGAGCCAGAGCGATCAGGAGTATGATGAGGATGCCGACCGGCGGGGCACGAAGAGGAGCACCTGGGTAGATGCATTCCTCCCTAGTGCTCGGGCGGAAAAGAGGGAAAGGGACAAGGAGGATATGCGGTACACAACTACGAGCCAGAGGCTGGCAAGAAAAACACTCACGCCGTCAGAGATGATGGAGGAGGAGAGTGAGGCTGGCATGGAAAGTGCGAGAGGCGACTCCCCGACCCTCCCGGTGAGGGCGAGATACCCACTACCGCCAGCACCACCTCCCCCGGCGCATATCCCACCTCCAGCTCCCGACCAGCTGCCCCTTGACTTCTCCCAAGCTCCATCGCGCCATCCATCCCTCCGGCCGGTATCTGGAAATACCCTCCCCAGTCTGTATGAACCTCCCACAGGCGCGCGCACATACAGAGGGTCAACCATGTACAGTCCTGCGTCGAGGTATCCGGGGAATGCGGAGACCATGTTTGAAGTCAATGACCGAGGGAGGGAGCGACCGATGAGCGAATCGACAATAGGGGCGGCATTGAATAGCGCAAGCGTGCATGGAGGCGGGGGTTGGGGCCGCGATAGTGCGCCGCCTCTACCAACCCCTCAAGGTGACCTGCGATAATTCAGTTCTGCAGAAAATATATGAGCAATCCTTTGGGCTGTAGTCGGTAGTCATGCATGATACGTTACATATAGTCCGAATTCATGATTGTATATCTTCTACTGCGATTAGGCCAAAGAGGCAAAGGGGGCAGGGGAGTGGGTGGAGGTGGAAGAAGAGATTAGAAGAGGAAGACCTGGTCCTCGAGCTTGGACATGGCCCTGGGAGCGGGGTAGCCAATCTGGGCAAGATGTCCCCTGAATCAATCGAGTAAGCTTGATATCAGTGTTGAAGGCCGGCTGCACTCACTTCATGGCAGTGATCATGGGAGGAGGTCCACACATGAGCACCTTGTGGCCCTCACCGTGGGTAGCAGATCCAACACCACCCTCGGGCATGGCCTGCTCGATCATCTCCTTGGTCACGAATCCGACGCCGCCAGTCCAGTTCTCGGGGGCTTTGTTGAGGACGTAGTGGACGGTGAAGCGGCCATTGGAATGGGCCTGGAGGTGATCGAGGTCCTCGCGGAGCACTGCAAATCATGTTCAGAAATGGTTTTTGGGAAGATGATTGACCCACAGATGTCATCCTCCTCAACGTTGGCGTAAATCAAAGAGAGCTTGGTCTTGTCGCCGGGGGTCTGAATTGAGTCTCGGATGATCTGGTACATCGGGGTAATACCAGTCCCGCCAGCAATCATAACAAGAGCGGGGAAAGTGTTGGGACTAGAAAGTTGTCAGCGTATTCCTAGCCTGTGCCAAGAGACGTACGTGTATACAAACTTGCCCTTGGGGCCCTTGACCTTGACCTCCTGACCGATAGTAAGAAGGGAGAGGTATCGGGAGATGTTTCCCTTTTCGTAAGTCTGTCGCGTTTTAGCCAACAATCATTTGATCGTATATCATCGCCGTAATCATACCTTGACGACCAAGTCAAAGTGTCCCTTGTCATTGTCCAAAGTAGTGGGAGTGTAAGACCTCACAACCTGCTTGCCGTCGATTTCGGCCGCGACAGAGATATGCTGCCCTACGGGGAGACCCAGAGAATCGGTAGATCGAGGGAGAGCAAACTTGTAGCTACGTTGGCCATTAAAGATGCACTGAGAGCACGAAAGGGTACTCACAGAGCGGTGTTGTGGGACAAGTGGTCCTTTGCAATGAGCTTGAAAGACCTCCACTCGACAGGGTCAAGAACCTTCCTACTCTTTTCTGCAGAATGAGTCAGATGAGGCCAGTCTTCAAAATTCTCTAATAAAACGACAGAGACACGCGATGACATGAGACACGCGTAAAGTACGCGCTGAAAAACCTCGGAATCAGTAGGACATACCTTGCCTGAAAATGACGAGGCCGAGGATGACAGCCAGAACAAGGCCACCGATAAACCCGGCGTGGGGGTAGAGCTTCTTGGCGAGTTCTTCGAGGGCAGACATGACGGAAAGACGGGCTGTTGGGGAAGAACGCGAAAGAAAGAGAGCATGGGACAATTCGCGCCAGCATCGCACGATGGGGAAGCCACGTGGGGTAGGCGGCCCTCCCCGCTCCCCATGTTAAGTCGTCGGCCGATCCACAGTACATTTGTAGCATCGGCAACAACAACAAAGATGGGTGAACGATGCGATACCATGAACAAGCTATGGATGAACAGGAAAAGTTTTCGCGGTGACTCCCTGAGGCGATAAGCTGAACCCTCTAAGTGCCTCTAGTGACCAGAGGCCATCTGCGAGCACGCCAATGTGACAGCCCTGAGACGAAAAGAAGAGGGGCACGCATCAAGGCGATGCTACTCTGACCGACTTGCCGGGAGAACCAAACAGGGTGCGTGTACTAACCTGAGAACCAAGAGTATACCGACTCGAGCATGGTCCCAGTGGGATACTTTACAAAGTGTCGAAAGCATCTGGCATCCGCGGCATCTAAAGTACAACTGGCTAAAAGCGCGGTCTTCCGAGCCGCTCGGCGCTTATCACGCTATTCGTTTTGTAGGAGATGTCCGAAAGAGGATCCCTTGACAGATAACCCGTTCTTCTCTTCCATCACCATCCTCATCGACATGCCAGCCACCACCCCCCTTCCTCCAGTGGGCGGCGAAGCCACTCAGACCTCCTTGCCGACCCCTCCCCAACATCCCACAACCGGTCTACCTCTCGACTCGGGCTTCTCCCTTTCTCTCTGGCTTCAGACAGTCCGCAACAACCCTCTCCTCGACCATCGTTCCACCGAGTCCCTCCCAGCCGAGGCGGAAGTCGTAGTGATTGGCTCTGGTATCTCAGGCTCTCTCTGCGCGAAGAGCTTGCTGGAAAGCGACAATCCACCAAAGAGTGTGGTCCTGCTGGAGGCTAGGGAGTTGAGCTCTGGAGCTACCGGGAGGAACGCGGGGCATTGTAAGGTAAGGAGCCGGAGTGGATTTTGCTGAAGAACTCGTGCTGACATGGAGACAGCCAGATCAATGGCGTGGATTCACGAAATACGAAGAGTTACATGGCATAGATCAGGCCTTGAAGGCAAGTCTTTCCCTGACAGACGATGTCCTCAATGATGCTGACTTGATGTAGATCTTAGCCAACGAACAGGAGACCTGGGAAGCCCTGGTCAGCTATGTTAAGAAGAATGACGTTCAATGCGACCTTTGGGTCGGCAAGACTGTGCGTGCACATCTGCCTCATGAGCTCAAATTGACAATCATGCTAGCTTGACGTCTGTATGACTGATGGAGTAGCCGACATTGCAGCCAAGACATTCGCAGACTATAAAGCTGCAGGCGGAGACGTGTCCAAGATCGAAGTGACTGCTGATCCTCTCAAGGCCGAACAGGTAGGTCCATTTATGTCAGACCATCGTATGATGCTGACCCATCCGAGGTCTCGAGGATCAAAGGCGCCAAAAGTGTTTACGCTTGGGATGCTTCCACCCTTCACCCCTGGAAACTCGTTGCCCACATCGTTCAGAGCGCCTTGGACCTTGGTCTCAATCTGCAAACCTGGACTCCTGTCACTGCTGTCACCGGCTCTGCCCACCAGTGGACTGTCCATACCGAAAGAGGAGAGATCAAGGCTAGTAAGGTGGTTCACTGTACCAACGCCTATGCCGGAGTGCTGCTGCCAGAAACAAAAGGCGCCATCAATCCTACTCCCCATATGTGTGTCCTCCTGTTCTCCTACTCGAACCACAGCCCATGATCCATACTGACAGGCGTCCAGGTGCAACAAAGTCATTCCTCCCACCTCCCACTCTGGCACAAAAGCCCTTTGCAACTCTTACGCTGTGCTGTATCCTACCGGAATGTACTCCATCAACCCTCGCTTCACCTCCGATGGTGCTGTTCTCTTTGGCGGCTCGGCGCCGAATCAATACAAGCTGCTCGAGTATGTAGCGGAAGATCCAGAGAAGAGGGCGACGGATGACGGACTGATCAATTTTGAGCCTGTTACGGAGGCTGTCCGAAACCTTGGGAGCGATGGATTAGAATGGTGAGTTTGGTTTGATCTTGTCATGTATCGACCAGCACTAACGTCTGGGTTAGGGATCTGGCGCCTGGAGAAAGAGGCACTGCACCTAGATACGACTATGCCTGGAGTGGCATCATCGGAAGAGTGATTTTTCCCATTTCCTGCCCTTATCCTGCTGACAAGAGACATTTACAGAGCGCCGACCGTTTACCGTTCATTGGCGCAGTACCAGACAAGCCGGGACAGTACATGTCTTGTGGTCATAACGGACATGGTATGGTACGTCTTGTCCATTTTCATTGCAAGCCCACAAGTCATTGACGACACTCGTTAGGCGCGTACCTTTACCTGCTCTAAGGGACTGGCTCAAGTGGTCCAAGGCTTGGCTTGGAAGGATACTGGGCTCCCAGAGTCCTTTGAGGTAACCAAAGAGCGGCTGGACAAGCTTCGTAAATAGATGATGGTAAACAAAGCCTTGGGAGATTTTTATAGACATGTACAGTCCGATACAGTATGATCAGAATTGTTGTTTTTCGCTCGCTTTGTGATGATACTTGATGCTTGTCAGTTGAGGATATTTAACGACACTGGAGCATACGTAGTGTAACCGTAGCTATGGAGCAACCATTGCATTGTACATAAGCTGCAAGTACTGTTCCAGTCGGGCTGGAATGGTGAGAGGTCCGAGTGATTGATTGTTTCTTTGCAGTTGCATAATTCACACTCAAAGCCTATTCCACATTTTGGTAACGGTACAAGAACCCGATGATATCCTGATCAAACTCGAAGATGAAGATTTCACCTCATCAGCTACGAAATAACCACGTATATTACCTAGAAACCTCGAGCTTTCCCCTGATAGACCAGACCACCGGTGGCTACAGCCAATAAAGTTACGTACACTGCTCTCCAGCCCCACTTCTTCCTCCAGAGGATAGCCGCCTCAGCCTCCACAGACTCCGGCCTGCCAAACGGAATTCCCACAAACAACATCCACGTCAATACCGTCTGCTGCCAGCTCCCAAGAGGCGGATATCGCAAGCTCATGAGAGGCTCAAAGATATACGGGATCTCAAGGACAGCCTTACTGTGCGAGAACGTGTTGAAACCGTCTACACCGTGGTAGCTCCCCCAGCCGCTTGCGCCGACACCACCGAAAGGGATGTTGCGGGCGAAAGTGGCAAAGCCAAAGTCATTCCAAGTAGCAGAGCCGCTAGTAGTCTCGTGGATGATCTTGGTGAAGATTTGGCGCTTGGAGGAGCAGACATAAAGAGCGAGAGGATGCGGGCCGGCATTGACGTACTTGATCGCGGCATCGACATTCTACAATATGTCAGTGTCATCCGCGACTACTACAGGTCGCGATGCTAACCTCGACGGGGATGATAGCCATCACGGGCCCAAAGATCTCCTCCTCAACAACCTTGCCCGTCTCCCCTACAGCACCTTCAGCAAGCCGAATCACCGAGATTCCCATCTTCTTCTTCTCTTCGTCTCTCTCGCCCTTGTAGACGAGCTTGCCTTCGCGATCTGCTTGGTCAATGTAGCCGACCAGGCGGTCATAAGCAGCGCCGGTTCGGAGGAATGCGTATTGGGGGGTGCTGAGTAGGGAGAGGGGAGACGGAGCGTGAGGATAGAATTCGTCGAGGCTGAACGGGTCGTCAGTTGAATGCAAAATGTCATCATGATCACCACTCACGTCTGTTTGCAGATCTCGACAAACTCATCGACGCGGTCCTTAGCGCATAAGACATAGTCGGGAGACACTGAGAGGGGTCATCATCAGCTGCCTTCTATCATGATACCTCCCCTAGACTCACCACACATCTGGCCAGCTGCCAATGTCTTAATACTGAACATCCTCCTGGCAGCAATTTTCAAGTCTGCACACGAGGAGACAATCACTGGGCTCTTGCCTCCAAGCTAGCACCGCTGTCAGCACATGGCAGCAGGTTGTAGAGCAGAGGATCCCACCTCCAACGTGGATGGCGTCAATGTCTGGGCTGCAGCCTTTGCGACGATCTTGCCAACCTCGCCCCCACCCGTGTAGAAGACTGTGGGGTAGTGTCAGCCACCATTCATAGGTCAGATACACTTCCACCGTACTGTGTCCCCATGGCTTCGCCAATAACGCCTTGGCTACCTCCGAGCCTCCCAACACTGTTCCATAAGCCTCCGAGTCAAGATATCTCGGCAAAATCTCGGCCAACAGGGCGGAAGATGTCGGTGCGTGTTCAGAGGGCTTTACTATGGCAGGACAGCCAGCGGCAATGGCTCCAATCAATGGGGTAAGGGTCAGCTGCCAGAAAAAGTTCCATGTGCTGAGGATCTAGAGGAAGAGGTTAGTGACTCTTCTGCCTGCCTGGAAAGAATTCGAATGTATAGACTGACCAAGGCGACACCCTTCGGCTGCTTTTTCACTCGGGGTCCTGATAAGCCGTCCATTAGCAGCATAGAGGAGATATAGTCTCAACGTACGCATGACTTGCATCGAGAGAATAGAGTCTCCCATTCGACTCTCATCTTTCATCCATGATTCGAGTCTTCGCACAGCAAGCTCGACCTCGTTATAGATGATCCAAATCTGATATCAATATTAGCTTGGATGCCTCCCGCACCCCATCAGTGACTAGAACTCACATCGCCCAGATAGACATCAAAGTCTCCTTTACCAAGGTCCTTCAGCACTGCCGCTTTTATGGCCTCCTCATTGTCCTTGATCATATAGGCAAGCTGTTTGAGGTTGTAGATTCTGTAGGCTGCAGGAAGGGTGGCACCAGTAGTAAATCGATCGTGGAACCTGTCATAGAGCTTGCCCCGTACCCGTTAACTCGGTCTGCTGATAAGGAGGATAAGGAGAAGAGGAACGAGACTCACACCGTCGATCGCACCAGCGGGGGCGTCAATTGGCACTTGAACCTGTGTCATGGTGAGGTGTATAGGCTAGAGAGCGTACGAAGATGAAGACGTGGAAGACAAATAACGATGCAATAATGTTTGAGACATGGCACGCTGTGGTTTTGTACGCGACGCGCGATGCTCGATCAGCGCGCCATTACCGGTGGATTCGATTCGGTGGACCGAGCGAGAGGTCTCAATTGTGCTTGCGAGTTACGTTATGTCAGTTGGGGGTCAGATGCTCACTCACACCAAAAATCACGACTGCATAAATACATAGGTGGTCTCTTCCCTATGCTCCAGCATGCCTGCTCTGATGCAAATCGTTTGGTGTTAGCTCGCTGCTGTATCCGACTCGACCGAATGGGTCGGTTTTGGAAGACGTCGGTCAAGAGGTGTCGACGATTGAATGACTATCAGGTGTATATATGAATTAATGTAGACCGCAATGGTTCCCGTCTGGACCGTCTGTCAGCTATAAAATATCCTCGTTCCTGACTACTCCTCTCTGTGGCCCGTGGTCTGCATGCGATTTGTTGATACATCCTCCTCTCTGAACCGTATCGAATCGAAAGAGCCGTTCTCAGCTCATAGTCGTAATCTGCCAGTGATAGAGTATACCCATCACCTAATTCTTTAGAAACTTCCCTTTCTGAGCAAACGCTCCCGCACCCAGGATCAATCCAACCCCCCACACCGCCCTCCATCCCCACTTCCTCTTCCACAGCCTCCTCGCCTCATCTTCTACAGACTTTGGCCTCCCATACGGCATCCCCGAGAACATCATCCATGTAATCAAGGTCTTTTTGAAACTCGAAAGCGGAGGGTACCTCATAGACATGAGCGGTTCAAAGAGGTACGGGATTTCGAGGATCGCTTTCTGGTGGGTGAAGGTGTTGAAGCCGTCTACACCGTGATAGTTGCCCCAGCCACTAGCGCCAACACCACCGAAGGGGATGTTTCGGGCGAAAGTGGCAAAGCCAAAGTCATTCCAGGTAGCAGAGCCACTGGTGGTCTCGCTGATGACTTTTGTGAAGACGGAGCGCTTGGACGAGCAGACGTAGAGAGCGAGAGGGTGGGGGCGAGCATTGACGTATCTGATAGCAGCGTCGACGTCCTGCCAAATATCAGTGCCTAATCCTTTCTTTCGAGAAAATGCTCACTTCGATGGGAACAATAGCCACTATAGGGCCAAAGATCTCCTCATCCGCCACCCCACCCGACTCGCCAACTCCTCCGTCATTGAGCCGGATCAACGAAATACCGAAGCGCCTCTTGGTTTCGTCCCTTTCGCCCTTGTAGACGAGCTTGCCCTCCTTCTCCGCCTTGTCCACATAGCCAGCGATGCGGGCGTAATCAGACGCGTTACGAAGCGAAGATGTATGAGGGGAGTTGAGGAGCGAGGATGGGGATGGGTAAGGAGGGTAGAACTCATCGAGGCTGGCAATCTCAGTGAGCGATGTCAGAGAGTCAGTAGAAAAAAAGCTTACGTCTGCCTGCACGCTGCTATAAACTCATCCACTCGGTCCTTGGGGCAAAGCACATAATCGGGGGCCACTGTCAGAAGGTATCAGATGTATCTATCAGGGCATCATTATGTGACTCACCACACATCTGGCCCGCAGTCATGACTTTGATACTGAACATTCGCCTAGCAGCAATTTTGAGGTTGGCGCAGGGGGAGATGATGACAGGGCTCTTGCCTCCGAGCTGTATGGAGACACATTAGCCGGCGACAAAGAGTCAAATTTCGGTACCGACCTCCAAAGTAGATGGGGTCAGAGTCTCTGCTGCAGCCTTGGCGACGATTTTGCCAACTTCACCACCTCCCGTGTAAAGGACTACCAATGCGTCAGTCTGTACACCCCATGACAAAGGCCCGGGAAGCTCACTATGTCCCCAACCCTTCTGCAAAAGTGCTTTGCTTTCGTCCGCGTCCCCCAACACAACACCATAGGCCTCGGGATCGAGGTATCTGGGCAAAAGCTCGGCCAGAAGGGCAGAAGAAGTAGGTGCGTGCTCCGAAGGTTTGACGATGGCCGGGCATCCGGCGGCTATAGCTCCCACAAGAGGGTTGAGAGAGAGCTGCCAGGGGAAGTTCCAAGTACTGATGATCTGAGAGGTGTCAGCTGAAATTGGCGTGCGCCGGATCTTCACTGACCAAGGCGACACCCTTGGGCTGCTTTCTCACTCGAGGACCTGAAGAGGAGTACTGTCAGAGCATGTGTGGGTTGAAATCTGTGTGTCTTACGCATGGACTGCATTGAGAGCAAAGCGTCGCCCATTCGACCTTCGTCCTTCATCCATGTCTCAACCTTTCTCACAGCGAGTTCAATTTCATTGAAGATAATCCAAAGCTAGCACGGTGTAAGCTCAGTCTTATCCATCATTGCATCAAGGGATCCCTCCCATGCGAAGCATACTCACGTCGCCATTGAGCACATCGAAGCCACCCTTCCCAATATCCTTCTCGACCGCCGCCTGGATACGCTCGAGATTGTCATTGACCAAGTGACCGAGCTGTTTGAGGTTGTAGAGTCTAAAAGCAAGTGTCTGAGTCGCACCTGATGCGAATCTTTTGTTGAGCGTATCGTATAGCTATTCATGGAACGCGTCGTCAGCTGGGCCCTGTGCGCGAGTGGATGGCTAAGCGACTTACAGCGTCGATTTGAGCGAGTGAGGTGTTGACGTGTTCTGGGAAGCCCGACATGATGTTTGCAGTTCTGACTCCTGTTGACCAGATGAGAGGAGATGTGAAAGAGGAATAATATTAATTAGAGCGATTAGACTGCCGTAGTACTCCCGGGCTGCTCCCGACCTGAATGGACACAGCCCGAGCCTTTGTTCCACGTCATGGCTTCACTCGGCTGCCCGACCCCTTCAAATTGACTGTTGCCTTCAAACCCATTTTCACGCGACACGCATCTCAAAGTTTCGGATCTTCTCTAACACAAGCAAAGTTTGAGAACGCACATTCACCACGGATTATCCCACATATCCCAGCTCCCATTGTATCCCACTTCCCAAACACCTCTCGCACATCACAGCCACCAATCACTCCCCACTCTTCCAGGCAGCCTACATATTGCGCGCAATCCTTCGTTCGAACCCCATGACCCATCAAGTTCAAGCATATACCTCACACCTACAGCATTCGCTTATCCCTGAGCTGGAGGGGACGCGGCGTCATCTTTCTGCCGTGGACTTTGATATTTCAGAGTAGTAAGCATAAGAATTGTTCATCGAGCTGCAAAATGATATTCATTGCTGATCGATCACTTTCACAGTGATTCCCTACTGGGGAGAATCAAGCTCCTGGAAGACGAAAAGAGTCCATCACTGGATACAATGAGCGAACTGGGAGCTGGTGTCTGGGTCCACACACGGATGTGAGTTGTGCTGTATTACCGAGGTACTTGAGATCTAGCGATAGTCGTAGCTGACTCTCCATATCCAGACCAGATCATGATCAACTCACTCTCGATCTTGGCGTGGCCGGTTTACACGCTGACATGAGTCTCGGAGAGGCTACTGCCTACATCAAAAGTCTTCTCGCGATCCTGAAAAAGTACATCGAGGCGGGACCCATCTTTGATGACCTGGCTGACTGATAGTGTAGGAGACAGGAAGTGTTGTCGCAGAAGGAGGAGTTCTTGGTCTGGCAGATGGGACAAGTGGGTCTCAGTTTGATGTCTGCTGGATACTGCTGACTTGCCTCGAAGTTCCATCATATCTTGTCAGCCCCGCCAGAGTCCAACGTTGCCTCTTCAGCTCTGTAGTATTATGCGCTGTTTTCGTACTCATTGCCAAAGACTGCGTACATCCTCTTGGTCCTTCATTACCCGCTCAAAAGCCCGCCGAAGGGGGCGAGCCTGCCAAGCACGAAGGGGTCACTTCTCAAAAGTGACAAGAAGGGGTCAATTCCCGTCTTCTACAGGGCTTGCCCAGTCAAGACATACTGTAGCATGCATCATGATGGGACTGAAGCTCCAATTCTCGCCGGGACAGACTCGCCGGGACAGAGATATATAGTAGTGTTTCCCGAGCCATGTAGTCTCAAGACGTGACAGACAACACGCGGACGGCAATAGGCAATTCTGCCTATATGGCATCTCACGAGGGTTCGGAAGCGTGATTGGTGGATGCTGCCATACGCAAAGGTTTCGATATATGAGATGAGAACTCCAAGGGGAACTGTAAGATGCTTGTATCACTGACCTTTAATGCATCCTGAAAATGCAACGATTGCAAGAGGACATGCGCGCGCCACGTTCAGTAAACACCGGCAAATGCCGCCATCGCCACGTGGGTTCGATGTAAACAATCAACAAGCAGCGCGACTGACCTTCGCGTTTTATTGTTTTTGCCAGTCATTGCCGTCGACACTTTGACATTCTGTATCCCGCCCCATCGTTAAGCATGTCAAGGCGGCCAACCACATCCCGAACGGGTATCTCCCGCACGGCATCTTCAGCATCTATCGCCATGCCTCCGCCATCCCGAGTTCCCAACCGCCCGCCCTCTGCAATGTCGATATCGCAAGCTTCGCAAAGAGGGGAGGACGCCGAGGGAAGACCAACAAGTCCTTCCAGGAGGACAAGAAAGGTGACGGGAGGCTCGGTCAGCTCAAAGAAGGGCGATCAAGGGCTGCATCTGAATGAGAATGGAGAGATCAACATCCAGGTTGTCGTGCGATGCCGGTCAGTCATCTCAGTAAATGAAACACCTGACAAATAGCTTACGTGTAGAGTAGAGGACGTTCAACACAAGAAGTGACACAAGCGTCACCGATAATCACCACGACTGGCGGACCTCTATCGAAGCAAGTCACCGTTGAAACCACTCCCCAGATCTCCTCGACGATGTCGTCCTTCACAACAGCTTCGACCTATGGAGGTTCCCACCAGCCTTCGACTAAAACTTATCCATTTGACAAGGTGTTCGGCCCCGAAGCAGATCAAACGATGGTCTTTGACGAAGTGGCCGAGAACATGCTTGCAGAGGTCTTGGCGGGCTACAACTGTACCATCTTCGCCTATGGACAGACTGGTACTGGTAAAACCTACACCATGCAAGGTGACCTTGAGCTCACCAATCTCGGCGCCCCGAAATCTACTGCTGGTATTGTCCCTCGGGTCCTCCATCGACTATTCAACATCCTGGAAGCTGATACGGAGTCTGAATACTCTGTCAAATGCTCGTATGTCGAGCTCTACAACGAAGAGCTTCGGGATCTACTAGCTCCCGAGTACAAAGGGGAACAAAGTGGGAATGCAGGGCTCAAGTTGTACGAAGATGGAAAGAAGGGAGTCAATATACAGGGACTGGAGGAGGCGGGAGCGAGGACTCTGAAGGAGGCGTTGGGCATCGTGGACAAGGGTGTTAAGAGGAGGCAGACTGCCGAGACAAAGATGAATACGGAGTCATCGTGAGTTCAATGTTGCCAAAATAGACGTTTCTGATGTCATCTTAGACGATCACACACCATCCTGACCGTCACCGTCCACGTCAAAGAGAGCAGCATGCAGCGTGGCGGGGAAGACATGCTTCGAATCGGTAAATTCAACCTTGTCGACCTGGCTGGTTCTGAAGCCATTGGCCGTTCGGGGGCTACCGATAAGCGTGCGAGAGAAGCTGGTATGATCAACCAGTCGCTCTTGACATTAGGCCGAGTCATCTCCGCCCTAGTCGAGAAGGGAAACCACATCCCTTATCGCGAGTCCAAACTCACCCGACTTTTACAAGACTCGTTGGGTGGCAGAACCAAGACCACCATCGTGGCTACCATCAGTCCCACCCGATCCAACATGGAAGAGACTCTCTCTACCCTCGACTATGCTATCCGTGCCAAGTCTATCCGCAATCGACCAGAGGTCAATGCCCACATGACAAAAGCCGGTTTGCTCAAAGAATACGTCGGCGACATAGAGAAGCTCAAAGCGGAGTTGACGGCCACGAGGGAGAAGAATGGTATCTACATACCGGAGGACCAGTGGCGCGAGCTCCAAGCGGTTCAACATAGGCAAAAGTCCGACTTTGACGAGGCTCGCGAGCGAGCTGGCGCCATCGAAGTGGCTCTCAAGACTGCCAAAAAGGAATTTGATGAGATTAGCGTCAAACTCATAACCACTTCCGATGAGCTCGCGCAGGTCCGAGAAGTAGAGAGGACACTGAATGAGATGCTGGATGAGACCAAATTGGTTCTTGCCCAAATGAAAGTGAAGCTGGACGAGGAAGAGGCAGTCAGCCAGGCCTATATGCAGGGGGAGGACAGGCTGGATGCTGTTGCCGGAAGCCTGAAGCAGGTTGCCACAGAAAGCGTCAACGACGTTGGTAGTCTCTTCGAAAAGATTGGTGAGTGCAGTAGTTTCATCATTTCCATCGCCGCTGACACAAAACAGCTCGAAAGGCAAAGGTCCTTGGATCCAATGCCGATGCCGCAACGGCGTTCGGCAGTCAAATGCAAGGCCTCTCACAGGGCCTCAACGCCGGTCTTGCCCAACTTCTCAACGCCCATAGTGCGTTTGGCGACAGCGTCCGGTCCGAGATGAGCGCCCTCGCCCTTACAGGACAACAAGCGACTCAACATGACCTCGCACATCTTGACAAGTCATTTGCTGCCTTCACCGACCTCGCACAGAAGTTATCTGCTTCCAACGAAAAGGGTCAGCGCGAGTCTGCCGACATGAGCAAGTCACTCCTGGCTGTCAAAGACGAGGTGCAGAGTTCTGTGAGAGAATGGGCACAGGGCGTGAGCGAAAGGAGCAAGTCAATGGTTGATGAGCTGTTGGAACATCAGCAATTGCATCTCACAGCTGTCGGCTCTGTCCTCGCATCAACATCGGACCTGGTAGAGGCCATCATCGCCACCTCACAGCAACATCTCGCTACGGAAGCTGCCGCTGCCTTACGCGCCCGAGAGCTGGCCGTCCAACGCTCAGCCTCTGAAGCTGAACGTTTGCGCTCCCAGAACAACCTCCTGATGACTCTCCTGGCCAATGAAAAATCCAAGACCGCCAAGCTCCGAACGGAGTTGGTTGGCAACTTGACAAGCATGATCGAGGACTTTACGGATGCACAAGACAAGGGATGGAGTGAAGCAGTGGAGAAGGCCAAGAGAGAGAACCAGGCCGGAATCGTCTCGCTGGAAAGATTTAGAGATGAAGTAGGAGAAGCGTGGACAGAGGGTGAGGAAAGGCGAAAGGTGTTTGAGACCGAGGCCACCACTGGCCGCGAAGCAGGTGCTCGACAAAAAGAATTCGGCGAACAGGTGTGTTGCATTAGGACCCCTCACACTTACGACTAACAATTGTATAGGCTCTTGGTCAAGTGCGCGAAGGGCTTCGACAACGGCTGGTAGACTATGGACAAGAGACCATGGGTGAGGCCGAGAAGCACGTCCAGGTCGTCGACGGCTTCTGCGTGAAGTTGACCAAAGGGGCGAGCAATGGTGAGCTTCAGTCCTACCATCTATATATCGCCGCTGATCAAACAAACAGTGGCGAGCAAGACGTCCGCAAGAGGCAAGAAAAACTCGGAACTGGTAGAGGCTATGACCAAGAATGCTTCTTCCACGCACGAGGCATCCAAAGCTAGGACAACGGCCATGGCTGGCTCAATCGAGGCTTTGACATCGACCCTTCTGGCTTCGGTGAGTTTTTCGAGCTTGCCAAGTATCAAGCTCATAAGTTATAGCAATCGAATGCGTCTGCCACATTCGCTCAAAATCATTCATCGGCCGAGTCATCCCTCCAAGCGATCATGTCCTCAGCCGCTACCTTCCTCCAGTCCGGCATCGAAGAGGACGTACCTACTGGTATCACGCCTCGGAAGAAGACATGGAATGTGCAATCGAGCTGGGGCAGAACAGGGCCCAGGGAAGCCATATTGGCGGACTGGAGAAGGCGACAAGGAATACCTGAAGCTGAATTTGAGACATCGGGGCATGCGGAAGAATCGTCTATTGGGACTGACGACACCGTCAAGGGAGTTATTGGCGACTTGTCTAGTTCATCTCAACCGATATCTCGAGAGGGCAGCATGGTATTCCCTTCTCAAACAAGCTCTCGTGAGCCTACGCCTTCTTCAATACCACCGCCATCTTCCCTTAACGCCAGCACTCGCCAAGCTTCAGGCCCGACTGTCCCCAAGACGAAGGCCTTGAGATTACCTGCAGGAAAGAAGTTGAGCCGTGATGCTGCGGATGAGCCTCGGCCGGTGGTGGCAGTGCTGGGGGAAGGAGGAGTCAATCTACCCAGGCGCGCGGGTCGACGTGGGAATTGAGCTGGACGGATGGACAGTAGATTTTTTGAATGGGCTGTTGACTCTCTTTAATAATTGTTCAATCTTGGATTTGATATGTAATCTTTGTATGCAAATGAGAGTGATTGAGATCTTATGCCTATCATCGTTGCATCATATATTATATACGGGTATGACCCGGGGCATGTCTCTGTAGACATGAGAGAGTGATTCGAGGTGCGTATGTAGGAAACAAAAGTGGTTTTTGGTAACAGTACAAGTAGAGAGACCCATTATAGTAGCAATAAACCCGGAAAGTAACACTCTAAAGCCTCTCGCAAACAGTTCCGTTCAAAGCCCTTGCCCATCCAGGCTTGCAAGAATAGACTTCACACGCCCCGCTGTTGCAGCCCATCCACCTCGCACCTGGAATAGCTGTGCAGTCCTGACCCGAACCCAAGCTCGCGCAACCACCGCAAGACTGCAAGTCCGATGTAGAGTCGAGGCACTCGTACTGGTCAAGAGCGGCACCAGGGATAGGGCAAGCAGCGAGACCCTTGGGACAGAGGGCACCAGCAGAGTTCTCGGGCATGCCATAGGAAGCGACGAAGGCCGCGGCCTTGAGCTGAATTTGCTCGGCGAAGAAACGTCTGTTGTGCCAAGCGATCGTAGTAGTGGCACCGGAGGGGGAAGTGCAGACACCGTTGGCGACAACGGAGCCAGTAGGGCAGCAGACGCCGGTAGACCCAACCTCTGGCTTGTCGACAGGGCAGCATACGGTAGAGCAAGCCTTGTGGCTCTTCTGGCAGCAGATGCCGGAGCCTTTGTAGGTAGTCTGGTAGGTGTAGCCGTTGGAAGTGTCGCAGGTAGCCTCGCACTTGCCCTTGGCCGAGTTGTACTCTTGACCAGAAGGACATTGAGAGATACACTTGCCAGTAGAGCCGTTTTCGATCTGACCCTTGGGGCAGCAGACGGTGCTGTAGCCCGTGTAGCCAGAAGTACCGCTAGGGCAGCAGACGCCGTTGGAAGAGTACGTCTTACAGGTGAGGGCTGGCGTACACTTCTCCTGACCAAAGTTGCAGCCAACAGAGCCACAGCACTTGCCGTTCTTGTAGGTCTGGCCGCGAGGACAGCAGCCGCCGTTGGTGGAGTACTTGCCGGCTTCGCAGGTGGAAGTGCCACAGCCCTTGGAGGTGATAGAGAGGGACCCGCAGTTGTAGCCGCCGTTGCCGTCACAAGTGGGTTGCGCGTTTGCAGGATAGAATTTGCTCAAGCCCTTGGAGCTGATCTTTGGATCATAGTCAGCATACAATCTATGAGAGAAGAGGGCAACTCACATAGGACTTGAGCACGGACTTGAAAGAAGAGTCAATGTTGTTGTTGGAGCAAAAGGAGTCAATATCTTCATGGCAGAGACAGCCAAAGTTGTAGGCGAAACCGAGCCAGTTACCAGAGACGCTGACACAGGTCAGATATGCGCCGGAGAAAGACGAGCCCCGAGCCCCGAGTGTGGTGTTAGAGACTGCTCGAGCGTAGGTAGAGCTGATGAGGGAGAGGACGAGGATAAGTCCAGGGAAGGTGATGGGAGAGAGGCGGACCATGGTGAAGAGGCTTCAGACGAGAGGTTTTGGTGGTTCCGAGCGGATCGCTTTGTTTTGAGGCTGCAGAGTAGCAGTGGGATGCGGCGGTGGAATTTGAGATTGACGGGTGAAGGTGGGGAAACATCTGTCTGTCGAGGTTATGTAGTCTCAGAGAGGTCCTTGGGAGGGCCTCGAAGTCCGAGTAAGCAAAAAGGGTACTCATATGGGCCAGCTCTTCCATAAGAGCGGCCTCATATCCACTTAGAACGGGAGACATGTCCATTTCTTACACAATACTGTTGCTGGCATGAGGATCCCGTATCTCAAGAAGACGGATCTCAGGTGTTCCTGCGAACGATACTACTGAGACAAAGGAATGAGCCCGAGGAATCGAGGAAACATTAGAAAGGGACACCAGCTCATAGAAATGCCGTGGTAGATATCAGGACATAGACGAGATGTGAAGCCCGCCATATCGAGAGTATCGTAAACGCCGCCCCTATAGATGAGTGATATATGGACATATGAGCTATGATCAGTACCGGTAATCAGCCAGTGACCGTGGAAATGTCGCCAAGTTTTAGAGCCCAGAGAACGAAGAGAATGAGGGACAGGCAAAGTGGTCGATGAATTTGCGGGAAGCGGGCGGGAGCTGCCGACGAGATTTTCGATTTTCGAGTCTCCCGATCAATAAGATGACTGATTTTGACAACCGTCCTCGTCGGGTGCCTCGTACTTGACACCTGGTGCACCTGGGCGACATGTGCATGTATACTCGCTCAGCCAACCAAAACGACAGCGGCTGGTGCAGCCAGGAAGACGGCGAGGCGGCAGAGCCGCAGCAGGGGAAGGTAGTAGACGACCATCTATACTTCTGCGCCCTTTCCCGAACCGCGCGGCCCGAGGACCTGTATGCCCAAATCCTATAAGACCTTTCAAGGGAGGAGCCTCGAGGGCAACATGAACTCCGTTTGGATCTGAGATCTCGATAGACATGCTCCGGCGATGCACTCGCAATCGCACATCCTACATCAGTCGGCCAGAGAGGGCTTGTAGTACGACGATGTGAGCAGTTGCTCCGCGGACTAACTTCTATTTTGATACGATCGCTCAACGTACTTTACCAAACCCTTGGTTCCCGTGAGCTCCGCACAGCTCTGGCAGGAGGTGGTGCAGATCATGTTCTGGATTCTGGATCCTCTCACCAACATGCAACCGATCAATGCGGATGTAAATCACATGAGTCAATTACCTCACTTTCCAAGCAGATGTCTGTCCGAAACCGGCATATATGGTAACATGCCGACAACGCGATTGTATGCTTCTTCTGCTGGCTGGTGCAGCTGACGTGCAAGCCTCAGAGCCTATAAGGAGGTGGGATCTGAAACTGTACCGAGAGTCCCATGCCAGCCCGAGTCCTGTGCATAGGGTAATAATGGTTCGCACCGGTATCCCGTTCATCTTGCTTGTGCCCCGGTGGATCATCCTGGTTGCCATGTACACACGAATTGATCTCTCTTTGGGCCTCTCGGGGTATATTGTTTGTTGCTTTGCATGGCACGACAAGCAACATGGGCGTGGAAGAGAAGGGGCTATGGAAGCTGCAAAAGAGATGTCAAGTAGGATCTCTTGCGAGCCTGCTGCATTACGTTGATGCGACGCGTTGACCAGTAATCTATGTCCGCCGGCGATGGACGTCGTGTATCTCGTGGATTGTCCCGTGACCCGTCTATAGCCCGGGCATCCCGGCCGGTCGGCATGCTGAAAGAACTTATCTTGTCATCTACAGCGAGGCGAGATATGTCTCGAGGATGATATAGTGGATATACAGCATGACCAGACCCTCAGCTAATCTGTCTCTAGCTTGTTGTACGCGGGCAGAGGAACTAGTAGGAAGGGGAGATCTCCGTCCACCCATATGGCATCATGTAGTACGTGAAAGGCCGGTGAAAGGTCTTCCTCTGAAAGTTCCTGTACAGCCGATCTCCGTCTTGATTATATGCTGCATTAAAAGTAAGGTACTACCAAATCGATGAGGAGGCCCAGGGCCCCCCCGAAAGATGTGCTGTGGGCATCAACAAGTTGAACAAGGGCGAACCCTCGGGACACCGATCGATGATGAGGATGTATGAATCGCAATCTCTTTCAAGTTCGAGCACAAATGAATGGCTCTAGTTCCACCATGTAGCAGAATTTCCTCGTGCAGGTCAATCAACCTTTACACAGCACCAGCAGATCATTCAGCAGTGGGCGGCAGATGCCGCGGGGATGAAGAGGACCGGGTGTTCTTTATGCCGGCCGGGTACTCTTAGTCCTGTGACCCCACGAGAATCAGCCATCTCGATTCTGCATTTGCATCTCTACAATCTATGCACTCTCTCACCCTCCAGCACACCAGCAGCATATGAGATCGCTTTCGTTCATGGACTCTGGTAAGAACCTTTTTGGTGTCGATGAATGGAGACTCATGATTTATAGTACGGAGATCTTCACTCATTTACGACTGCACCACCCACTCCATCAAGATCTACCTCGTTTCATCCCACTATCAGAGGCACGCGAGTGAGCCACCTCATTAGCTTGCAGAGGACACACTCGGCCCCGTGCTCGACAACTCCCATGAGGCAACTGCTCTGTGAGAGCCCAACAACAAGAGGCGCAGACACTTCAGTTCATCTTTACTTCTATCATCTACAATCTACAAACTATAACACACGCTTCTCTATTCACTGGTTCAAGATCAAAGACCTGTTTTGACGACTATAGAACAACAACACAAGACCACTTCTTACTCCTTGGCGACCTCTAGAACGATACGGCCAGCGATCTTGCCGGCTTCGAGGTCCTCGTAGACGCTGCGGTACGTGTCAGCTCTATCATTATCAGATCAAGTCAAAAGTACTCACTCCTTCAAGTCGGCAAGGGTCTTTTGCTCGTACACGACCTTGACCTTGCCGGCAGCAGCAATCTCGAGAGCCTCGTAGGCGTCCTGCCTGTTACCGACGTACGAACCCTGGATTCGGATCGACTTGAAGACGGTCCAGAATACGTTGGCACCCATCTCGGCATCGGGCATACCGACAGCGACAAGGGTACCGGAAGGCTTCAGATAGTCGATAGCCTGAGTGTAACCAGACTTGTTGGCGGCGGTCACAAGAGCAGCAGATGGGCCGAGACCGCCAGTGATAGCCTTGACGTCACCGACGAGGTCCTTGGTGGTCCTAAAGTCCACCCAAGCATCGGCACCGAGAGACTTGACGAGCTTCTCCTTGGCATCACCAGTGTCAATGGCGATGACCTTGAGGCCCATAGCCTTGGCGTACTGGACGGCCAAGTGACCGAGACCACCACCGGCACCGGGAAGGGCGACCCAGTCGCCAACCTTGGTGTTGGAGACCTTGAGGGCTTTGTAGGTGGTAACACCGGCACAAAGGATGGAGGCGGCGCCGGCAGAGTCGAGACCCTTGGGGATGGGGGTGACGTGGCGGGTGTAGGAGACGACGTATTCAGAGAAGGTACCGTCGACAGTGTAGCCAGAAAGCTGGGCGTTGGGGCAGTCTATCACCGTACGTCAGCGTTTGTCACTTGTCCCATGATACAAGGTCCTTTGCGAGGTGGGTACAGCTGGTGTACAAATGGGAAAAAGTGACTCACTCATCTCATAGCCACGTCGACAAAGCTCGCAGTCCAAACAAGAGTCGGCGAGCCACTTGATACCGACTCGGTCACCAAGCTTGACGGGGGAAGTCTCGGCAGGCTCAGCAAGGGCGACGACGATACCGACACCTACAGACCAATCATCAGCGCCTATCCCTCTGCAACCTTATTGCACCGCAGCCCGAGACGAGTTACTCACCTTCGTGTCCACCGATGAGAGGGTGGGAGGCGGGCACAGGCCAATCGCCGGTCTTGGCGTGAAGGTCGGTGTGGCAGACACCGGTGTGAGAGATCTTGATCAAGCACTGGCCGGGCTTGAGCTCTTCGGCGGTCTTGACGGCATGGTTGTGGTCCATCTTGAGCTCGGCCCCGAGGCCCTCTACGACGGCGGCGGTCTGAGTCTTGGGGATGGTGAAGCCTTGGAGAGTAGACATGGTGGGTTTGGTTGGTTTGCAGTGGTGGATGGGTGTGTTGTGGAAGTGTTTGTAGTGATGAAGAAGAGAAGGAGGGGATGCGAAAGCTCTGGTTGATATACGGGCCGAAGTCGGGAATGACCGGGCGGCACGCGGCAAGGACATTCTCGGGTGGTGCGTCAAAGTGTAGATCTAGAGCGGTTTCGGCCGTCTAAGCGTGTAGGTGGAGAGCTTCTGTCTGGGAACTTAGTAGACTGCCGTATATCGGGACACACAGAAAGAAGGAGAGACGCGGGTATGCCACAAGCGGCGGGACGTACAGTAAAGGGGGACGCCCAGATCTGTTGACAGAAATAGGTCCAGCAGATGAATGTTGAAAGCTGAGATGGCAACAGGAAAGGGGGTGTAGGGTATGCATTTCGATGACTCGAGTATAAAACCGAGGACCAGGTCCCAGTGCCCGTGGGGTGGCTTGCTGGTAAACTGCATATAAACTTCTGTGCGGCTGCTCCTCGGCTGCCATCTCTGTTCAAGGGACAGCCGCGGAGATTTGCTGCTCAATAGAAGAACGGTACGGACGGCATCGTCGCGCTCGGCTATGTCGCTAGGAAGATGTGGGACAAGCTGTGGGTGCTCTTCGGGTCGCTGGCCACTGGCCAAATGCATTCAAGCCTCATCCATTCCTCCCCGAGAGCACCCGACTGCCGCATCCCCCGGCTATCCGCCCTGCCGCAACCTTGATAACGGACCCTTATTTGATACTGCGTACCTGTCACCGAGGAGATGGCGGCCATGTCCGCGCTAGCCGGAAGCATTTCCCTCCACTCGCTCACCTCCACTTCAGCTTTCTCTCTACCGAACTCTTGTCAGATCATCTCAAAGGCAAAGCTGCAGCCTCAGAGCGTATGCCAACCACATGCTAGCATTGGCGGACCTGCGGATACTCCGCACTCAGACAACTCTTCGATGGGCTCGGGCACTCGCAACACAGGCCAAATCACCGGATGATGGCTGGCAGACAGTCATTGGTCTCGAAATCCATGCCCAGATTAAGACAGGGCGAAAGCTATTCTCAAGTAAGCTTGGACTTCCCTCGAGTAAACTATCCGCTTAACCTATCCTATGTGCAGAAGCATCAACTTCATATGGGCATGTGCCGAATACGAATGTCGACCTTCATGATGCTGCCTTTCCTGGTACTCTTCCGGTACGCTCCTTGTCAGCAAACGACTTTGAGATTGCTGACGAGGTATATTAGAAACTGGACCTTAAAGCTGTTCAACTATCAATTATGACCGCGCTAGCCTTGAACTGCGATATAGTAAGCCCCTCGCCAATCATCGTGGCCAAGCTGACCATACCCCAGAATCCCCGCTCGACATTCGACCGAAAGCACTACTTTTACCACGACATTCCATCCTCATACCAGATAACTCAGCACTACAGTTCGTTTCTCCATCACCTTCTGATCAAGTCTAACGCGTCGCAGATCCACTCGCCCGGAACGGCCACCTCCAAATAGCCAAAGGCGACAATGCCTCCCCACGCACCTTCTCCGTCGGCATTCACCAGCTCCAAATTGAACAAGACACTGCCAAATCACAGACCGTCGGTGACTCTGTCCTAGTAGATCTGAATAGAGCTGGTACGGGGTTGATGGAGATCGTAACAAAACCGGATATGCGCACGCCAGAGGAGGCTGGGGCGTTTGTGAAGAAATTGCAAGGACTGCTGAGAAGAGTCGGGTCGGCGGATGGTGATATGGAAAAAGTAAGTGTGCCAAGAGCGCTTGCCCGCTGTGAAGCTCATGTGTCACACAGGGGAATCTGAGAGTCGATGTGAACGTTTCTGTCCATCAAGACGGTAAACCGTTCGGAACCCGCTGTGAGGTGAAGAATATCAACTCTGTCCGCTTCCTCCAAGCAGCCATCGGTAAATCGTGTTTTTGTATCTTCTGGAACACTTAATGACCCATCACAGAGTCTGAGCGTCGACGACATATCGCCCACTATACCTCCTTCCCTTCCACACCCATCCTCCAAGAGACCCGCGGCTTCAATGAACTCACCCTGGAGACTTTTTCTCTCCGCTCCAAAGAGGAGGCTACAGATTACCGCTATATGCCGGATTCCAACCTGCCCGCTATGATCATAGAACCTGCAAGTTTGACTCAATCATAAGCTAGGGAGGGAAGGAAGCTAACAGCGGGTGTAGGAGTATCTGATAGAGCTGAGAGAAGGTTTGCCAGAGATGCCGTGGGAGAGCGTGAAGCGGCTCGGGGATGATTACGGAGTGACCAAGAGAGATGCCGAGACGCTCTTGGGTCTGGACGAGTATCACGCCACAGGCATCGCTTACTATGAGCAAGTTGTCTCGGGTGAGAACAAGATTGCCAAAAAGGCTACAAACTGGTGAGCTTACATACTTATCTCGTTCTCGATAAGCGTGCTGACAGTGATCAAGGCTCGTCCATGAGCTCTTGGGTCAACTGGGAAAGGTTGATAGGGAATGGACGCCGCATGTCGTCCCAGCGCCGCTCATGCGCGAGCTTGTACTTGCCGTCGAAGGACGAAAGATCACGGGTACTACCGGCAAAGCTCTCATCAAACATTTTGCCTCCTTATCCCCTTCTTCCGAACTCCCCGCCACCCTGGGTCCCATTCTCGACCAGCTCGGCCTGACCCCGTCCCTTGAAACTTCCGAGGATCTCTCAGAAACATGCAGGAAAGCCCTCGCCAACCAGCCAAAGGCGGTTGCGGATTTCAAAAAGGGCAATGAGAAAGTAGTGATGCGTCTGGTTGGAGAGGTTATGAAGATCTCTAGTGGCCGAGCAGATGCTATGAAGGCAAAAGAGTGTCTTCTAGAGTTGCTGAAGGAGTAGATGAGAGAAGAAAAGAAGTCTTGTACTGTATGTACTTATGCATTTAATGAGTTGACTGATGATTGATGATGGTCATGTCGTATTTGTCGTTGGGTCATTGTTGAAATTGTCTACTTGCAGCCATGTCTTTCCAGTACTTGGCATGCTCGTCGCTCGTCGCTCCCTTTCCAGCTCCTGTCCATCGAGCTGAGAGGGCCCTCATGACGTCCCCGTGTGAGGCCGAAGGCATCGCCGCCTTGGCATTCTTCATATTCTCCTTCAGGTATACTATTGCACATTAGCTGCGTAGCAAGCGCGCTCACATCCTGTCACGTACGCTGGAACCCGGAGGCAGCCTTCTGGCTAGCCTCGAAGAGAGGGGCAAGTTTACTACGACAAGTACCACATACTTGTTTGGTGATGTCGATTGCTACATGGCTGTCAGGACAGGAAACAACAAGACACGGCCGGCTTACACTTGGATTGCCGCTTGTATCTACATACTCTGTCAGCCTCTGCTCTCTTGGCTATTGCATCCCACTTACATCGCACCACACGTTGCGTTCGAGCACTTCCACTCGTACTTGTACTCGATGACATAGTTGTGACGCGTCTGAGATAAAGCAGGATCGTCAGTTCCCACCGCACGAAGTTATCACTCTCCGACTTACTGTGACCTCTATGTCGCCTCGTACATTCATGACGGCATTCGCCCTATTTTCTTCGTAAGCTCTTGCCAAGACATCATGAGACTGGTCTCACCAGCTTTTGAAGTGCTTTCCATGTGGGTTCTTGAGATCGCCGCTGATAGCCCATGTGGCCACTGCCGAGGGTCAGCCTATTGCCCTTGCATGGTCTTATTGGCAATCACTGACGGTGGCACATCTCATGAGCAAGAGTGTTCTTGATCCGAGCTGGAAGACTGGCATCAACTCTGCACCGTATTGTCATGAGATTTCCGCTCACATTCATCTGTCAGCACCTTCTCCGAGAGCTCGATAAGATACACTGTCGAGACGGTGCCGTCCTTGAGCACGGGTCTACTTCATAACATTAGCATTGTATCGATGGAAGTTGGGCATCACACACCTTATTTGTCTCGCCATGCCGGCCGTCTTCAACAGGCGACTATTCCACTCAATAGTCGCTTTCGCACCCTTCTCCCCGAGCTTCTTTTGGAACACCGTTTCGTCCAGCTCTCTGAACAGGCTGCTCGCGATTTTCTCTCTCTCTTGGTTCCAGCCCTTCTTCGTCATGTCCGCCCTTGCCTTGGAAGAGGGAGTGTCTGGAGGCTTGGCTTTGATTTTGACTGGTTTTTTTGGCTTGTTTGGGGTATGGATGGGTACAGGGTCGTCCGATTCGGAGTCGGTGCCATCGATGATGGTCAGTGACTTGATGTTCAAGTCGGAAACTTGAACCGGGCGGCGAGGTGGCGAGTAGTGTAGAAGGTCATTCGTATCCTCGTCACCCCAGCTGATACCTCGAGTCCCTCCAGAGCCTTCATCATCCTCTGGCAGCTCTCCAGCCTCCTCAATGTCTTGGGGCGGCTGTCTTGACTTCTTCCGATCACTCCTGGACTGAAAGTCTTCTTCATCCGACTCGTCCGATGGAGGAGCTTCGGTGTAGTCATCTGCGTCGCTATCATTGACGATGAAGTCTCGCAGGGAGCCGTACGAGTCGTCCTCGTCATAGTAGCCATCCTCCCCATCCTCAACCTCCTCGTCCTCTACATCTGCAGCTAGATCCAGAAAGAGGGAAACATTGGGGCGCTTGGATTTGGCTACGGTCCTGCCCATTGGCAGCCCCTCTGTCTCCTCTTCGTCGTCGGAAAGGATGAGCCTCTTGGCTTTGCCGAGGGTCCTGCGAGGAGTCCGAGTGGGCACCCAATCCTCTTCAGAGTCGCTCTCGCAGTCTAAAGACGAGGCGCTCTTTCCAGATACGGGGGGAGGGGCGAGAGGTAAGGAAGAGGTGAGGAGAGAGGGAAGCTTGGCGGAAGGACGGCGAGTTGGCCTGTAAAGACGCACACTAGGGTCAGACAAAGGACAAGGCGACATCGGCAGAGGACTCTTACGAGCTCAGTACATCCCCTGCACTTGCCAAATCATCATCAATATCGACTCCAAAGCTCCTTCCTACTATCATATCTGGATCCCCAATTTTCAACTGGTCTCTACAGCTGAAAGTCAGTCAGACCGCTATCATGCTGGGCAATAGGACCCACAGGCCAAGAGACTTCACGTCCATGTCGTCTTCGCTATCGCTGATGACGATGGCCTTTTTCTGAGGAGCAGGTGACTTCGTGAATTTGGCAATGGGCTTCTTGGTAGCTGGGGTGATGTTGGGCTTCGAACCGACCGAGTCGGGCTTCGCTGGGGACGGAGCAAACACGACAGTGCGGCGAGGGGATAGAGGCATCTTACTGTTCGGCTTTGAGATAGGTACGATGGTGGACTCTGAGACAAAGGTAAGTGGTCATGAATGTCTATGAGTCTGATGTGCTCACTTCCTGCTTTTCGAGAAAGTGCCTTGGGTTTGGGGAGCACGTCGAGGTCGTCCTCGGAATCGGAGATCACGATGATGGGGCGCTCCCTAAAGCCACCGCGGGACATGCTGAACAGTATTATCTGGCTGGTCAGATCTGGACGTAGCAGATGCGACGGAGTCGTATGGCAATGGAGCGAGGAGATTGAGGTGTTTGTTTGTGGAAGACGCGTAAAAACAGTCGCGTGCGGGACTGTCGCGGGAAGACCAAAATAGGCAGCAGCAGCGATTAGGCGCGCGGAATGAACCAACGTTAACGAATGCAAGCAACAGTGCTCGCAAAGTTCTGTACTTACATGTACAAGGCTCCGATAGCATTTGACATGCTTGCACTTGAGCGCTGCGTACGATATCATACAATACGAGTACATGAAGAACTCCGGAAGCATCTATAAGTCTATTCCTCCTTATGCTTCTCCTGGCTCCCCACCTCCACCCATCCCCATCTCCTCGTCAAAGCCCCTTGCATTAATCCGAAAAACACCGCCATCACTGTCGAGCTCATAACAATCACATTATAAGGCATCGAAAAGTCTGGCGTAGGGATATCTAGCAGTAGACGAGGACTGTAAACCCTCGCACGACCAGATTTCAGAACGTTCGAGATACTGCCCGAAGTGCCGGTCAAATCTTCGCCCACGAGATCAAGGAGCGTCAGAACGCTGGAGGGGATCTCTTGGCCTCTTTCAGCATCGGGACGGTGGTCGGTGTACTTGAGCATGAGCTTGGTGAACGGTATCCGAAGTACTACCGTGGATTGCGGCGGAAGCGTGAGAGACAGGTGGACCGTTGTCGTTGATACTCGAGGGGGAGAGGAAGGGTCATGTGCTATACTCTGGACAAGGCCGTCTGTATACTATCAGCTTGGGTCCATCCCCTATTCTGAACCGCTTACCGGTCTGTCTCCTGTCCTCGGTGTAGACTTCAATCTCACTTATCCATCCCTTGACCCACCAAGGCCAGATTTCACTGTATACTGCCTCGCGAGATATGTTGGCATTGTTGGATAACTTGATCTGGAAAGTGCCGTCGGAAGCTTGAGCATCGACCACTGTCCGTGAGACGCTGATAGGTGGACGGGTGAAAGTCCGGGCTGATGAAATGGATCAGATCAATGGGTAGTAGAGCAGTCTGCACTCACGGTATCTGAACTTGTCCTCATCCCAAGATACGAGAATATCTTCTCCAGCCATGCCACTCTCTTTCAAATCCCACTCTATGACCTCCTTCTCGATCCCGTCTATCCAAACTCGCTCGCTTGTCCCTTCGGGCTCAGTTTTGACTACCTCATTTTCAGGCAACACCAGCCTCACGACAGAGCTTTCCGCCTCCGGACACGCTTTTGGTATCCGTTTTCCGAAAAGCTTCTGTAAGCTCGTATCTCTCTTGACGTGCTTGGTTCCGGCGCCTGGTGGTATGAGGTCGACAACTCCTTCCCACCAGCCGGTCCACTGTCCTTCCGGCTCTTCATCCGAAGGCATGACTACTTCGATACCCTCAGATTTGAATCCCCACGAAAAGATCACTCCTGGTTGGGCTAAGAGGGCCGAGAGGCCAGAAAGGCCTTTCGAAGGAAGCAGCGAGAGAAAAGGAGTCAGATTCTCGGTACAAAGATTGTGATGCGGGTGGGATAGAAGGAAGTGTTCCATGTCTACATTGCGGTCAGCGAGTATTCACTAAAGTATGCACGACTTCGTACCAGACTCTTCTCCCCTTTGCGGAGGATAGACATCTCCAAAAGTTTTGACATTCTCCCCATCCTCCCTCGGCCCCAAGCCAGCACAAAAGAGCCCTCCAAGGGCATGCGTCACTTCCCCCCACCGCTGTTCTTCGTCTCCCTCGCCATTACGAACCCAGCCTCTTACTTCTACTCCTCCTCCACCAGAACCGTAACTGAGAGGCCCCGAGAGAGAGGAGCGATGTGGATCCCACCGACCAGAAGTGAATGAGATTGTGAGCTCGGAGATGTTTAGATTTTGTAGCGGTAAAAAGAGGGAGGGAGGTGTCAAGGTGTGGTGAGATTGTGCTGATCAGAGTCAGCAGCGAGCTTACAGATGTATTGCACGCACATATGGAAGAAGAAGAAGGTTGTGATAGGGTGAAATAGGTGGTGAACTTGAAGAGGACGGAAAGCTTGCCGTCTGGAAGTGGATGCAGGGTGAGGGATTCCTGGAAAGAGTCGAGAGCTGACACCAGGGCCGGGGCCAGGAGCCAGATATGGGACAGGCGCATCCTGAACCGGGCAGTGAGAGGTGGACTGTGGGACGATTGGAAGAAGAATTAGCTGCAAGACATGGAATTTGCGCGTCGACGCGGCTGGTTTGACATCGGCCTTCCGCAAAAGCACAGCCTGCAGATGGAACAAGCAGCCAATTTTCAGCGCTCCTTCATGCCCGACCTTCTACGACCACTATCTTATATATATATTGAATTTAACCTGGCTGTCGTACACATCCTTTCAAGCCAAGTTCGGAATGTTTTCAGGGGTCACCGACGTCCTCCAGAACTTCCTCTACGGCAGCTGCTGTCTCTCCTTCATTAGAGGCTGTCAGATCTTCCCCCGCCCTTTGGCGAGCAGACTCAAATGCCGCCGAAAGAGCCGCTCCGTTCACGCTGAACGCGCTTTCAAAGGCGATCCTGCTGTCGTCTGGATCAACCCACAAGAACGCGTTGTCCAAAACTTCTCCCCGGGGATTGACTTTGCTGAAAGTAGTGGGAGCATCTTTTTTAAGCTCGCTGACCAGTCTCCTAGTACCATCACAATCGGTGCCAGAGAGCTCATAAAGCTCGCGGACAAGGACAGAGCTGGCGCAGACGCCGTGAGCTGTAGGCTTGAGATTTTGGTCTTGCCCGAGGTGAACGTTGACCCCCCTTGGTTCCAAGATGTCGGCGTACTTGGAGAGATACTGTGAGACCTCTTCCCCTTGATGTGACCCGCTCATCAAGGCCGATCCGTTTGGCCGACCAGTGAAAATCTCTCCCGTAGGAGTCATCGTCGTCCTCCGATTCGCAGAGTACTCTCCAAACCGAGAGTGCTGAGACTGTAGCTTTAGCTTACCAGCCTCAGGCGTCAATGAAACGTCGTCCCCCATAGTAGTAACCACGAGGTACTGCTTTCCGTCGTCGGAAGCCGCCGTCCTGATGCTCATGGCATGATCACTTGGGAGAGTACAAAAGAGCGACTCGGTCTTAGGAAGGTACGTGAGCTGAGTCGGGCTTCGCAACGAATCGGAGAGACTAAGGCCAGGAGAGACTACTCGTGACGCTCTGGAAATGATGCTCGCCATTGTGAGTCTGTGCTTTTTGAGTTGTGAGATTGTCGACCTGGAGCCGCCAAGGCTGGTTTTATACGTCTGGTGCTGCTCAGGCATGCTATCATAATCGTCTCCCCTTATCACGTCCAAACTCAGCACGAGAGATCTAAACGATACCCAGCTTGTGAACCTTTGTGACGGCTCATCCATGAAAAGTACAAGCAGATAAGACATTTTTTTCTGGTGCACATCTGTATTTTCACAGTGTGAAGCACCGTTATCGTCGTACTCGTTACGCTGTGTCGTACACCAAGGGATTCTTCTGGTCCCCAATTACTTACAAAGGACATTGATACGTATCACATCTCTGGAAGATTATAGAACAAACTCAATATCTGCACTCCGCTTTACCAGAAAGGTATGCTATCGCGAGTGCACGTTGTTGATTTGCCGGCGGATCCTTGCCTGATGTCGAGAGCCGGCGGGATTTGCAAGGCTTTTGCGTAGGAAATCAATTCCAGGTAATGAGGAGCTTGGTTGGTTGCTCTTAAAGTATGGGAAAGCGAAGTACATACTTACAGACTCGAGATCCAAGGCCGGCTCACCATGGCCATGGGCCAACAAGCCAATGTATTTCCCATCCATCAATTTCCCACTTTTCTCCCGCGCGTTCTATCGTCTCTTTCCTTGTCGACATTTCAGAATTCGGACTATCAAAACTCGGTGCCCCTCTCGCCATGTCTCTATTGTTCAGAAGCGCTGTCAGGGCGTCCTCGTCCCGCCTACCGATGGCTTCCATCGCCCCTGCTCTCCCCCGACGCAGACTACCCCTACCAGCCCAGAACATCACCGTCCCTCTTCTGTCGAGGTTCAATTCTTCGCTTCCCAAAGCCACGGTGACCACGCTCGAGCCTCAATCACAGGTTCAATCGCAGCTCGAAGAATCGCAGCGCGATAGCACCAGAGGCGCGGGTTTCGACATCAAAGACGTTCGCATCCCCGAATCCTCATCTAAATCCTCTCTCCAATCCCCCAACTCCCCGTCCGGCCTCTCCGATCCCACCTCCGAAGATTGGTGGATGCACTTTTCCTCCAAACCATCCGATGCGTCTCTTCATCGATCCTCGTCCGGACTGCCTTCAAAATACTTTTCTGGCAGGTCCATCGCCCTCACAAGAGGGGGCGACTTCATGCAAGGGTACAGGAGGCTGCAATCCGTGGTGCGATCGGGTAACATGAAGAAGGAAGCGAGGCTGAACGAGTTTTACGAAAAGCCGAGTCTCAGGAGGAGAAGGCTGAGGAGCGAGAGACACAGAAGAAGGTTCAAGGAGATGGTAAGTATCGCGCTCAGGACGTGGCAGGGTTGTGCTGACATCATAACGTAGGTGAGGACCAAGGTCCAACAGGCATTGGCCATGAGAAGCAAGGCGTAGCGAGCATATGCAATATTCATGGAATTGGTATCTACTGGTGACATTGCGCCATCACAAGACGCCATAACTATCTAGTACACTCCTATTCATCTCTCAGCTTGATCGGTGCTATGCTCTCGCTGTATTTGTTCTTATCCTTCTCCGTCCTTCTCCTCTTGTCAATCTCATACGCTTTGAAGGTCTCTTCTGCGTCTTCACTCATTTCCCAGCTATCTGTGTCCATGCCCAAGTTCTTCAGCTCTGCCAGCCACAGCGGCAAAGTCGGCTCCCAAAGGGGGTGCACGTTCGTGGGGTCCACTGGGCAGGCCCATACCACCCTGTCGACTTCGCCGTGTACGGAGGGCGCTTCAGAACCAGCTTTCATAGCGGGCGTGATGTCGATGAAAGTAAAGATATCTGGATACTTGGCGCAGAAGGCAGAAAGGATAGAATTGTAATGATTCGTCATCTTGACTCGTACAGGAAGAGTACACAGTGGAGGGTCGTGTTCGAGTAGAGTGGTGATAGGGGTTTTTGTTCGGGATGTTGGAGAAGGAGCGTACAAAGAGGGCTCAGTCGGAGCGGTCGAAATAGCACTCGCGGTGGTAGGCAGTGGCGAATCGACAGTAGATATCTCTGATCCTCTCGGGCTGACCTCGGGCCTAGTGACCGGATCGTCGCTGACCTTGAGGCTTGACATGCCGTCAATCCACTCATCACCCTTTCCACCTCGCCAAGTGTTTCTTCCCGCGGCATTAAGGCTTTCTAATGCCCTGTGTTGCTTCCCCAAATCTTCTTCCAGCCTTTCGACGTATTTTTCGGGAATACGGGGGAGCATGTGGTCCTCGATAAGAGGGGGCAGGGCACTGGCTATGAGAATCTTGGATCCAGCGCCTATCGCTGTAGCAGGGTCGGCCTGTCGACGCTTGGAAAGAGAAACCAAGCGTTCGCCGATGGCGCTGTTCACAATCTCCCGCTCAAGCCAGCTAGTGTAGGCACCAGCGACGGCCTTGATGAAGTCTTCGGGACCCAAAGCTGGACCGGCAGAGGACGTTTCGGTGGCAGAAGCTAGGATATCGGAAGAGGAAGTGCGACGAGGCTCAGATGGTCGTTCATCTTTGACTTCCAACGGGGCGCTATACGTGGAGGAGAGAGTTTCAATGGGTTTGTTGGCCAATTGCCAGACGTAGTTGATTTGAAGATCAACCTGAAACAGATTAGATGACATTCTCTCTAGATAGACCGAACGTACATTACCGAAAACCAACATGGCTGATCGACCGCGATTAGACTGATAAGCGTAGGGGGGAGGGACGAGCAGACTGTTCAATATGGGCAGCAGCTCCGTTGACACTTGCTTGATTGATCTCGGATTGTTCAATCCCTACGGCTTATCAGCATCTATCATTCATAGCTCAATGTACTTACCTTCGCTGAAGCCCCTTTGAACGTCTTGATTTGTACATAGTCGGCATTGACCAGTTTCATCGGTCCCACAAAGCTGTCACCAAAGACATGGAGCTGTGCTGGCGAATTCTGAGTGTACAACTTGGGATTGCGGGGCCGAGAGGGTGAGTCGTTCCAGCCGTTGCCATTACTACGTCCCCCTCGAGGGGTACCGTAGCTGGACCCTGGGGTGCTGCCGTTCGACCTGGGGGCGAAATGTGACCTCCCTGGGTGAGAGCTATCCGACACAGATTGCGACCATTGGTTGTAGGACCTTCCTTGAGACTGGGGTGTACGGTTGTCCTGACTGAATGAGCTGGTGGACGAGGCGCCCTGGCTGCTGGGAGTTGTGGGAGTCGGTTTGTTGCGAAGATGGGGGGGCACGTAGGCGGGCATTGTAGGTTGTTGGGGATATCCCTACCGCTCTCAATAGATGTGCGATTGAAAAGGCAAATATGTCATCGCGGTACATCCAAGAAGCCGGCGGCGATCGCCGCAGTGCCACAATGCCGCCGAAAAAGAGCAACTCGTCATCTCGACGGCTTTCTTCCAAGATAATCCACAAATCCATCTGATCCGTCTGCACCAAAAATGGCCTCTATCAGCCCCGTCAGAGTCGTCGGCACTGTTGCCGCCCTAGCTGCCACCGGTTTCCTCGGTTACGCCGTCTACTTCGACTACCAGCGAAGGAACTCGGCTACCTTCAGAAAAAGCCTTAGTGCGCACATCTTCTCTCATTGTCTGGGGCAGATCAGCTGATCGATATGTGTGGTATGATTAGAGAAGCAAGAGAAGAAGCTTGCTGCTGTTGCCGAGGCTGACGCCAAGCAGCAAAAGGAGAAGGACAACCTCGTATGGAACATCCTACATAAATCTGCTGATGGCATGCTGACTCGCTTTGCAGGCTCTCAGGGAAGGTTTCCTTAGGACCCAGTTGGAGCCCGTTCCCAGCTCTCCCGACCAGCAAGAGGCCTACTTTGCTGAACAGGCCAACAGCGGTGAACTCGCCATTGCCAAGGGTCCCGAGCACTACGTCGAGGCAGCTTTGCACTTCTTCAAAGCTTTGAGAGTCTACCACTCTCCTGGAGAGCTGCTTGCTGGTAAGCTATTCCTTTCCCTACAGTAGACTCGCGGCGGAATGCTAACATATGCAAAGTCTATCAGCGAGTCTGCCCTCCCGAGGTCCTCGAGATGGTTGTTCGCTTGATCGGTCTTTCTCAGGGCGTCGCCTCCTCTCTTGAAACTCCTGAGCGTGAGCCCGCCAGCGTCAACGACATTGACGACACTCCTTCTGCCTCCGCACAGGCCAAGGCCGTGGAAGAGGGCAAGGCCGCCGCTACTGCCGCTGTAGCTGAGGCTGTTGCCGAGAGCGAGAAGGAGAAGGGGGAAGAGAAGAAGGAAGAGGAGGAGGAGGTTTCGAGCCCCAAGACTGCCAGCCAGGGGAGCGGTGCCGAATGGGAGAACGTGAACGAGAAGCCCGAGGAAGAGTCTGCCTAAGTATGAATGGAGACTGCGAGAGCGAATGTTGCGATGATGGGTATCAGAAGACAGGGGGACAAGCATTACGATCTTTTAGTCTGCTTTGAGTTTGTATATCCAAGCAAGTACAATTGGGGAGGTCCATAGACAATCGCGGAGCTACGATCGGGTTTACAGAGTTTGCGCATCACATCTCATATCATATGAATAACCTGTAGCCTTTTTGCACCTCGGCATAGTCTATCGCTTCTCGTCCAGGCAAGTGTCCTATATACGCGCTAGGTGCCCCTCGTAGATCTACAGGACGATGGTCGCTTTGTAGTTCTCATGAGTGACCCATCCTACTGGATAACCCGCTTTCTCCCCCTGGTGACACGCACTTCGTCACTGAACCACTATGACCCCTGTCAATAGCTGATGTACCAATAAGTTATGCCAAGTAGGTCTCGGGATTGTACCCAGCAGGCAGTGGCGGTACTATCCCGGGCATTGGAGGGGTTGGTCGTACGCGAGATGATCTGAACAATGTGTAAATCATGACATCGAAATCCCCCCGGCGGATCAAGGATAAAGTACGAAGAAAAGTGAAAGTAAAGTGACACAAAGATAGTCATCAGCAGGCGAGGTTTCAACGCGTAAGAGGCAGATAAGGGGGGCATGGAGGCTGTAAGTAGTCAAGGAGAAGGAAGAAGAAGGGCCTTGAATTCAATCGAAAAAAATATACCTTTCCGATGGCTTGCCACAAGGCACACGTATATATGCTTCAGAGCCGGTTCTTCCCATGCTGCTTGCAGGCGTGGCAGGCGTTCAGCGAAAGATAAGGTGGCGTGCAGCAGTACAGCCTTTGGCCCTTCGGTGCGATAGCCCGTGCAACGGCGACAACGAATGTCTGAAGATTATAACCTGGCAGACTTGCCAGACCTCGACAATTGCCATGCACTGAGGTTGGAAGCGTTGTTCGGTTGTGTAGGAGGGCTGATGAGATGTGAGCTGTGTCAGTCAATTGATCGTGCTGAAGGCGCGTGTCCCACGCCATGCTGCCCATTTGAGACCTGTTCTCAAGTTCCCGAATCATTTTGTGGCGTCAAGTTTCGCTCACCACTCGCAGACCGTTCAACACACGCAATCATGGTCACAAGGTGCACAAGGCTCTCATCATAGACACACATTCTCATGAGGCGTCTCATGGCCTTCACGGCTGACGGCCCTCTTCGGCCTCCTCGGCCTCCTTGGCCTCGTCGCTCCTCCCTTCTCATTTCTGCGTTCCCTCCATGCCATGCTCTGTCATGCCGCGGGCCCCGGGGAAGCCCGGGAACACCGCGTTGGCCCCCGAGTGCCCCCATATGGCGCACGCTTGCAATCCCTTCTTCTCCCGCAAAATTGACCAAAAAGGACCCTAACTGACGCCCACCCCCAGCTTCTCCAGAGCTTCTCCACAAGTGCCACGCCCGCAAAACCCCAACATCTTCCTCTCAGCTCTCCGCCCGAAGGCCTCGCAGTTTTCGGACAAGACCGAAATGCACGGAAAAATGGTGCCCAGTTTAGCTCACATGTGCCTTCAACTGCCGCAGAGCTTGGGACGGATGGTGTGAAAAACCTCGTTTGACAGCCCTGCCAAATGCCGCAAAGGGCCGCTCGTAACCCGGCTTACCCAATCATCCTGAGCCATGACGACCAAATGCTGGATCCGAGTTCGGCCGTTAGACAGGCACTTGTCAAGAATCGCCTAAGCCGGCGGCAATGGCAAAACAGACCCTTATTCCCTGAGATTTGTGCCTCCTTTCCCTGAGACAGTCGTTTATCTTGTCGGGACCTGTCGCTCTTTGCCACCAAAAATCTTCCAAATCTCACCAACAGCTCTGCGAATGGGCCAAACCGAGCATGAAATCATCCTATGCGCTGTCTGGTACGCACGATCTCAAGCGGGGTTCGACCACGGTCCACCCCGCCCCCGGGGAGAAGCGAATGGGGAAAACCTTGGACCCTTTGCGAGCTCCCCAGGTTCGTTAATATATATAAGAACGGGGTCTTGCCTGGGCGACGTGTTTTCTTCTTCCTTTCCAGTCTTCAAACATTCATTTCTCTTTTGTATACTCACCACCCTTGCAGTTCGGTCACTGGTAGTCTTTTGACTTATCACGCAACTTAGATTCAATAGACTCTTAGAATCTGGCTTTTAACAGCCGACCTCCACCAACCACCCCACTCGATCTTATATATTCACACCCGCCAGTCAAAATTGATTTGTCCTTTGCCTCTTTACAATCTATAACTATCTACTACAACAACTTTCGACAACTCGACACTCACCTTCATCATGCCCGGTAGCGACAAGAAGGCTTTGATCCTATGTCTCTTCCAGAGTTTCGCTGGTCTCCTCTTCGGTTGGAGTAACGCTGAGGGCTCTGGTTTAGTACGTCGCTCGCACCATATCTCTCTCACGCCAGCGCGCTGACACCTCTCTAGTTCTCCATGTCCCAGTACCAGTCTCGATTCGGCACATGTGACGCCTCTGGCAGTTGCGCCCTCAGCACCACCCGTCAATCTGCCATCACTGGTCTCCTCTCGGTCGGCGCCACCATTGGTGCCGTGGGCTCTGGTTCCATCGCTGACAGGGTAAGTCTCATCTCACACCGGACTCGACATGGCGTTGCGTCCATCGGTCCTCGGTTGTTTGTGGAATTGGTGTGGTTTATGCTGACACCTCCGCAGTTCGGTCTTCGTATCACATGTCTTGCCTTCATCTTCATCTACCTGATTGGTGCTGCTATTGAGGTGCGTTTGTCGGACGCCTCTTTTTTCCTCAATGCTGACGTCTGGGAATCCCACTCCCAACCGTCACACCCATCCCTGTCGATTTTTCACCCTGCTTACGTGTCGCACCAACAAATTCCTCACACGTCATAACCACTCCACCGCCCACAGACTTCTGCCCAGCACGAGTATGGTCAGATCCTCGTGGCCCGTCTTCTCACCGGTCTCGGTGTTGGCGCCACCTCTGGTCTCGTTCCCGTCTTCCAGGCTGAGGCTTCTCCTCCCCGATGGAGAGGTCTCGTCACCGGTTCTTTCCAGCTTTGTGTCACTCTTGGTATCTGGGGTGTGTCCATGACGAACTGGGGAATGAGCACTCACGCTGGTGACATCTCGTGAGTCTTCCAACTTCATCCGCGATGCATCGGAGGCGTCGTGTCGGAGATTGGCAGAGATCAGGGCTGACGTGTTTCGTAGCTGGAGAATTCCCGTTGCTCTCCAGATGGTGTGGGCTCTTCTCTTGTTCATCGGTTTCGCCCTTTCTCCCGAGTCTCCCCGTTTCCTCGCCAAGAAGGGCAAGTGGGACCACTGCAGGAAGAACCTCGCCAATCTTCGTGGTCTTGCCATCGACGATCCTGAGATCGATGTAAGTTTTGCTCCCGTCGCGGCATCGCCTTTTGCGGCCCTCACCGACCTTTACCGTTCGATCTGTGCTGACTTTTTGAAAGGCTGAAATGAAGGAAGTTGAAGCTGCTACTATCAGGGACCAGGAGCAGGGTGATGCCCACTACGGTGAATGCTTCTCCCCCAAGGACCGTATTCTCTGGCGTACCATGATCGGTCTCCTTATCCAGGCCGGTCAGCAATTGACTGGTATCAACTTCTTCTTCTCTTACGGTGTCCAATTCGCCCAGACTGCCGGTATCGACAACACCTACATCTTCCAAATCATTCTCGCTTCCGTCAACGTTGTCTTCTCTTTCCCTGGTGTCATTGCTGTTGACAAGGCTGGTCGACGACCCGTCCTTCTTTACGGTGCTGCCATCATGTTCATCGGTCAGATCGTTGTTGGATCCGTCTCCAAGGCCTATCCCGATGACAAGGTCGCCGGTGACGTCCTCATCGCCTTCACCTGTATGTTTGTCGCCTCGTTCGCCGCCTCATGGGGTCCCGTTGCTTGGGTCGTCTGTGGTGAAGCTTTCCCTATCCGATTGAGTTCTTTGTGTGTCACTCTTGTAAGTCTTTTGCCTTGCGCAAGTTTTCCTCTGCTTACACATCTCTCTCAGTGCACCGCTTCCAACTGGCTCTTCAACCTCATCATTGCTTTCGCCGCCCCCCAGATCCAGGCCATCATCGGTACCGGTATCACCTTCATCTGGGGCGGTTGCCTCGCCCTCTTCTTCATCTTTGTCTTCTTCTGTGTCCCCGAGACCCGAGGTCTTTCCATCGAGGAAGTTGACGCTCTCTACCTCTCCCGAACTCCCGCCTGGAGGTCTAACAAGTTTGCCGAGGACCAGGCTCAGACCGCCAAGAGGGCCAGCGAGAAGCACTACTCTCGATCTGTCCACAACGAGAACGCCGCTGTCAAGGCTTCTGCCGCGACCTCTGCTGCCAACTCGGACGACGGCAACCTGGTGTAAGAAAGAGAATTGTGAGAGCTGCCTTTGAAATATGAAGAAAACAAACGCGAGAAGGGATTGTAATTGAATGTTGTGCTGTATCATCCTCCCTCCCTCATCGACCTCGGTCCTGTCAAGGTTCTGAGGTTCGATTGATTCTACCACGCAATTGCATTTTTGATTCTCTTCAATACTATTATTATTATGGCTACCATTACAGGATATTCGCTTGGTCCGCATCATTCCATACCCATATTCACATTGCTCAGTACAAGTACAAGTCTACCGTGTCTCTATATCGTATGTCCAATGCACGAATCGTTCATGTCGAACCAACTCTCGCGTAGTCATACAACCAATGCATCTTTGTAGTACAGATAGAGACAGTCGTTTCCCAAGATTCATGTCCGTTGCCAGCCGGTAGCTCACAGTCCCTTTCCCTTTTTCCAATCCCGCGCCATCTTCCAACAGATCCAGCCCCCTATAGCCGCGCTGACGCCCCCGATCCTGAATATCAACCCCACCGCATCCGAAGACGATACCTCGGGCTCAATCTCTCTCTTCCAAGCATCCAGCCCCCTCTTGAGTATCTCGCCCACGGCATCTTCCACTTCAGCCGCAGCAGTCGTGTTGGTCATGGGGACGGTACCGGGGTGATGGACCGGCAGTGTGCGGTCAGGCTCCATGAGCCAAAAGATGACGGCACTAAGCACCGTCACGATGAATTGCGGCAAGACCAAGAACACATTGTGGATACCCAATATCACACCTGCCTTGTCTGCTGTGCTCTCCTCTGCTCCTGCTTCTGGCGAGTCTCGACCGGCACGGGAGAAATGGGAAGAGGTAGAGCTGTGCCGCAGATGTGAAGGTGGGGTTGTTGGGGAAGAAGATGAGAAGTCGTCAGAGTGCCGAAGGACGACGGTGGAGCCTAGCGGCGGCTCGACTGGCTGCTCGCCCTGTATCACCAGGGGTGAAAGTCCACTCTGGAGGGAGAGCGACAGCTGCGGCCTATGTCCCTTTGGTTTCTTCTCGTCTGGGCTGGGCGGCCGACTCGGACCGCGTGAGGGATTGGGTGATGTGCGTGAAGGATACCGGGAATGGAGAGGGGTGGAACGGGATGAAATGTCGGAGCGGTGGAGTGGGGTGGAATCTTCCTCTTCCTCATCTTCTTCGCGAGCTTGGAAAAGGGTGAATATAGGGCCTGCTTCGGAAGACGCCATTGGGGCGAGACCGATGGTCTCATCGCGAGGGGCGGTGCCGTCGATGAGGATCAGCTCGCCGAGGAGAGAGTAGGGCGCCCATTGCGATAGAGCCCAGCAGAAGCCTGTTGTGGCGATGACGGCGTAGGCACCGTGTACAGTGGTTACAAACCTGTTTCATCAGCTTTGTATCTGGAATGAGACGGAAAAACACTCACCAGCTGGCAGCCATAGCCCCGGCAAAGACGAATTGCGATACCCACCAGACCCTTACCAACGTCAAGCCCTTGATCGGCAAGCCCCATTCCCCGCTTTTCACGTCGTCTAGCAGGTCTCTCAGCCTGATGATGGTCTTTTGGGTAAAGCTGCTCCCGGCGAGATCTTGGCGCGTCCGGTTCCAGGTAGCCGAGCTGAGTGGAGCTTCAGACATTGTGCCGTTGATCCCAAGACCGATGGGGGCATACTCGCCACCTGTCTGAGCTTCGGCTTGTACCCCTGATTCGGATACGAGGAAAGGCATGCCGATGGAGGTGGCAATGTTGACTAACGCCTGTAGTAGGAGGGCGCGAGAGCCAGAACGGACGGCGTCTGATTCAAAGACGGCCTGGTCGATCCCTTCCGAGGGTACGGACGCTTTGTATATCTCGGACACCCAGACGGTGGTAAAGAAGAGAATAGGAAACCATCCCAGGCTGCTGATGTCAGACAAATCTCGAAGCCGACAATGCGACGTACGAAGCAAAGAATTGGATCAAGCAGACAGTGCGGATACCGGTGGGCAAAGAGAACATGTTGTCCCAAATAGCTTTGAGGTTGGATTTCAAACCACTCTGAGATTGAGGCCGGCTGATTGTCAGCATGATCCAACGATACGACAACTCACTCGTCCCGCAACAAGACTCGCTCAGAAACAGCCCAAGAGGTAAATGTATGGGTTACCATCAGGATGACGCTCGTAATGAACGACAGGATCTGCAGCTGCGTCTTGCCCAGCCACGGCAGCGTTCCCGTCAAGTCCAGCGTCCCTCTAGCTCTCTGTCAGCACCCCTTCGACTGCGACTGCGCCGTAGCACTCACACCCAAAACCCAGCAACACTGCCAAATCCAAACATTCTCCCAGCCCACGCAGAGCCTTCCTCCTGCTCCTTTGGCGGTAGCGTATCCACCACCAGCGCCCTGTCCGTACTCATCACCGCATTGATACTGAAATCGACGCAGTAGATGGCCCATACTGCGAGCGCGATAGCCATCCACTGCCCAGCACCAAAGAAGCCCGCAATCTCGCGCGTCCATCCCAAGAGCATCATTGCAGAGACACAGATTGCACAGCCAGCCAGCATGAACGGCCGTCTTCTGCCAAGAGCTGAGCGGGAGCGGTCTGCAAAGATGCCTACGAGGGGCTGGACGATGAGGCCGGACAGCGGACCGGCCATGAAGACGAGGGACATGAATGACTTTGAGAGGCCGAGCTCGAGGAGGTATGGGGAGGCGTAGCCCATTTCTATTGACCACACGCACTGCCGGGGGTAAGCTATGGCACGAAAGATGTATCGACGCACCTGTATGCCGAGCATGCCGACTGTGAGCAAGGGCAGGCGTGCCCAGCGTGGCCCCTTGACGGCGGCAGTGCCGACCCACTGTACGGCATGGGCATCCTCGAAATCACGCTCTGTGTCTGTGGGGAAGAAAGCGGCGCCGGTCATTGCAAGGTCATTGTGATGGAGAGACGCCGCGTTCGAAAGCAGCAACAACACCCCGGTGCTCCGCGACACCCACGTGGTTGTGTACGTAACACCATTAAAAACATTTTCTCCCGCCGCCTCCCTCCACCTGGGATAATATCCTCTTCCATCTTTTCCATCACCCCAAAACCCCTCGCATTCCAAACCCAAGGCCTAGGATCTTCGTGTGAGGTCATCCTTCTTATCTGTAACCCAACAACTACCCGAAAAACACAAATCATCAACCAGAATGGCTTCTCAACCCAACCCCAAGGCTTTCCCTTTGGCCAACGCCCAGCTCACCAACCAGGTACGTACGGATGTCATGTTGGGCGAGTGGTAGTGGATGGAGGGGGATTAGAGGGACGCGGATGCATGGTGCAAAAGACGAATGCTCATCGATTTGACAGATCCTCGACTTGATCCAGCAGGCGCAGCACTACAAGCAGCTCAAGAAGGGTGCCAACGAGGCTACCAAGACCCTCAACCGAGGTATCTGCGAGTTCATCGTCATGACTGCCGACGTCGAGCCCATCGAGATTGTGCTCCACCTTCCCCTCCTCTGTGAGGACAAGAACGTGCCCTACGTCTTCTTGCCCTCCAAGACTGCCTTGGGCAGGGCTTGTGGTGTCTCTAGGCCCGTCATCGCTGCTAGTGTGACCACCAACGAGGCTAGGGAGCTGAACGCTCAGATCCAGGCTGTCAAGGTGAGTTTTCTACACGTTTTGATGTAGGGTAGAAGGCTGATGAAATTTGTAGAACGAAATTGAGAAGCTCCTCATCTAAGTTTTCGACTTGTCTCTGGCGTCATGATGGTGTGGCGAAAAGAAGTATTTGAGACTTTAGCTAGTCTTGATGCACATTCTGTCTACTCTAGTTGAGCTTTTGTTGCCACTTGAGTACATGAGCCTTCTCTGGCTGCCTTTTCTGTCCCAGTTGCAGCTTCCCATCAAGCGTTCTATCCACATAGCTCACGGTACACTAAGGTCCCTCCTGGTTCTCTATTTGCAAGATACATGTTGTTATATCTATCTCTTGCACTTTGATCATGTAATGTGACGCTCAAAACACCCAAAGTGTTACGTCTGGCCTGACAGGCGATGTATCCCAGCCCGACCTTTCGCTTCGTCACCCACCAAGGTCTTCCAGTCACTTCAGGCCAAGTCAGCACAGCTCTGCGAGTCCTCGGTCCAGCCATCGTCAGCATACTCGCCCAGAGCTGCAGAGCTGCAGAGTGGCGGACGTCGCCGGCGGCCGAACCTCTTGCCAAGGACAAAGTCGGCACGCATCAACAAATCGACATCGCCTCGCTCGTCCTATCCTATAATACCCCCTCCCTCCCATATTCCCCTCGCCACCCGCCCACTCTATACCCTCCAAACACTCTCCAGACCATGGGAAACTGCTTCTCCGACCCCTCGCACACGCCAAAACCAAAGGGCAAAGGCCAAGTCCTCGGTTCTGCCCCCGCCCCCTCTTCCACTCCTCATCAACCGCAACAACAAGGATACTCGCAGAGCACAGCGGGGTCGCAGAGACAGGGTGGAGGGAGGATCAATAGCCATCCAGCGCAGAGTTTGGGAGGAAGTGTGAATGGGGGAGGAGGAGGGGATGCGAGGGATAGAGCGTTGAGGGCTGCTGAAGAGAGAGCCAAAGCTGTGCGTTTGCATCTTTGCAACGCAGAAATATGAAGATGGGGCTGACGACGATGATCAGGCGCAAGGAAAGGGAGTGCACGCTTCCAACCCCAAAGCCGGGCAATTATCCGGCAAGCTGGCGGCACAAGGACGGACGAGTGCTGCGCAAGGGAACCAGAATGAGCGAATGATGGTGAGCTTGATACTCTCAGTCAGCTGAGGCTGGGGCCGGGGGTCAGCACTGATACAATGTTCGTTGTTCAGGATGCAGGGCAGTGGAATTGAGGGGTGGATCTGCCATCAGGCATCAGGGGGATTTCCGGGAGTGCGGATGCCTTTGAGGTGTCTACACGAGATGGACAGGGCAGGTGGCTGAAAGAGATGGGAGATAAGGACTGTAATGATTTGTGGCCAGTTGTACTATACATGGACCTCGTATTTTGGCAGGAGAGCGAAATGAGGGACGGCTACCCGGCTGAACTGGATATGTGGTCATGGGACACAGGGGCACGTATCTGGGGCCCGTATGCGCCGGGGGGATGCCTGGGTATGGGGGGCACGGCGAGAAAACGGGAGAACGGTGTGCAGTTGTGGTGACAAGTGCATGCGGGGGATCTGACAATGGACCTTGTGCGAGTACCCCAGATCGCCCCGTTGTCCATGCTGCATGCTATCAAGCTATGCAAGGCCGTATCTCGCTCGCTGTATCGGGCGGGCAGGCGAGATAAGGAGCAAGATAAGGAGGGAAAAGGAGACGAGGAAAGGAGTCGAGTTGACCCCCAGATGAGATAAGGGTTGAAAGGAAATCAGTCGTACACCGTCACCGGCAGGCGCATCTCTTATCGGCCCGGTCACGACATATATAGCAGCGATGCATGCCCATCATTCACCATCCACCACACATCCAGCCATCCGGATTCCCCCAAGACTCCCCCCTTACACCCAGAGCCAATAGGTGAGTGCTGAGCCATCCCCTCTTCTCCATTCGCTGCCCACCGGCTATCTCCCGGCCACCCGGTGCGTCGTGCCAGCGAGCATACTGCCCAGATCCATCCCCTGCCCCGTCCATCTGCATACTCTCCATCCCACATGGATATCATCTCTACGACCTCCCGACCCCAGAGCCCCAGAGACAGGGACAGCCGAGCTCAAGCAGGCGACGAAGGCCCGCGCTTAGTGCGAGTCGATTAACGGATGATAACACTTTTCGTTTCTTTATCTCTCTCCATCCTTTCATCTTCTGTCGCTGACGCCTACTCTTTTCATCTCCCACATGCCGCGTATCGCCCTCCCTCGCCTTCCCCTACGCCAGCAGTCCAGCCGACGCACTTTTACATCCACCATGGCTCCCTTCAAGCCTGCCCTGTCTATCGACACTATCAACCCTGCCGTCCTTTCCGTCCACTATGCCGTCAGAGGCGAGCTCGCTACCAAAGCCGACGACTATGCCCAAATCCTCAAGACCCCCACTTCATCCCCCGCCTCATCGCCAGGCGGTGTCTCGCGGTCCGACCTGCCCTTCGAAAAAATCGTCACTGCCAATATCGGCAACCCCCAGCAGGCTGGGCTGGATCAGGTGCCCCTGACGTTCTGGCGCCAGGTCATCTCGCTGCTCGAGTACCCCGATTTGATGACGACACACAAGGCGTTGGCAAAGCAGATCTACCCGGAAGATGTGCTGGAACGGGCCGAGAGTCTGTACAGGGATATTGGCAGTGTGGGCGCGTATACGCATTCCAAGGGGGTGCTTCAGGTCCGGCAACGAGTCGCCAAGTTTATTGAATGTGAGTCTACGCCTGCCTCTGGTGGGATGTCACTGACAGATTTGAAGCGCGCGATGGCTACCCCGCCGACCCCGAGTCCATCTACCTCACTGCCGGTGCTTCTGCCGGTGTCTCCTCCATCCTCGGCGTCGCCCTCCGCAAGGGCGATGGCTGCATGATCCCCATCCCCCAGTACCCCCTCTACACCGCCACCCTCGCCTACCTCGAAGCTGAGCCTTTACCCTACTATCTCTCTGAGGCCGACGACTGGTCTATGAGCCACGACTCACTTTTGAAGAGTGTGGAGGAAGGCAAGAAGGCTGGGAAACCCGTCAAGGCATTGGTCATCATCAACCCTGGAAACCCCACGGGTGCTTGTCTGAGTTTGGAGGCGATGGAGGCCGTGGTCAGGCTTTGTTATGAGGAAGGCATCCTCCTCCTCGCGGACGAAGTCTACCAGGCCAATATCTACGACCCTTCCCACCGCCCATTCATCTCGTTCAAAAAGGTCCTCCGGAGCATGCCTGAAGAGATTGCAAACAGTGTCGAGCTTGTGTCGTTCCACTCCATCTCGAAGGGTGTCAGCGGAGAGTGTGGAAGGCGAGGAGGGTACTTTGAGTGTGTCAATATTGATAGCGAGGTGATGGACCAGGTGTACAAGATGGCTAGTATCTCTCTGTGTCCCCCGGTCTCTGGTCAAGTAAGTCCCTGTGTCCTCTCAGCGTGATTTCCAGCTGACTCTTGCAGGTCGGTGTCGACCTCATGGTCTCTCCTCCCACCGAAGGCTCTCCTTCCTATCCCCTCTGGTCCCAAGAAACCTCCCTCATCCACAACAATCTCAAATCCCGCTCCTTCCTCATGGCCGAGCATTTCAACAAGATGCAAGGCGTCACTTGCAACAATGCCGAAGGCGCCATGTACCTCTTCCCCAAGATTGACATGCCGGAGAAGGCGGTGGCCAAGGCCAAGGAAATTGGAAAGGAGGTGGATGTGATGTATGCTTTGGACCTTCTTGGTAAGTCTTCCTATGTTTCTTTATACACGAGACAGAGGCTGATGGGGGTATAGATGCGACGGGTATCTGTGCGGTCGCCGGCAGTGGGTTTGGACAAGAACCGGGGACGTATCATCTCCGAGTCACCGCTTTGTGCCCAGACACTGCCGAGTTTATTGGCAGGTTTGAAAAGTTCCACCAGGACTTTATGGCCAAGTATGCCTAAAAAGGGCCTTTGTATGAGAGGTCAGGATTGTTTTCATAGGGTTGCGCCGGGGCATCGACGGTGGTCGATTTGTAAACAACATACTCAGACAGGAAAGGTGAGAGAGGAGCTGTGAAGAAGGGCGAAAGAGAGAACTGTGTAATTATGAAAGAAGTCTATACTCTACATTTTTGTTCATGACATGGACTTGGGTTTATCATGCCTCGATTGGAAACAAGGCCACGAGATATACCGTGCTGGCGCTCTTTCGAACCAAACGGCCGCCCTGTGAGTAAAGAGTGACATGTCATGTCCTCACAGCCGACCTTTGTGTCAGTGTCTCCTAGGTGGGAAGATCTCTTTCCTTTAGATGGGCGATTGAAGGAAGAAGCAATTCAGGGAGGCACTAGGGCGGGGTCTGCTGCTGACCATGGAAGGGGCATTGGTATGTTTCCCATGGTCATGATCTGGACAGGCGCTGTCCGCTGATTAGTCGACAGATACCTCTGAGGCCTTGGACTTTGGCTCCCCCCCATATACCACCCCTACAACCTTCGACACAACCTCTCGCGATTGGTGTGGGAGAATGAACGACGCATAACTGCTGTGAACGACGATGTGTACTCGAGTTGTAGGGTGTGTCGTATATGTGGCAGCGGTGTTTCAGTATTTCATTACTTTTCTTCTCTTGACTGGTTCTTACTTCGTATCTTCGAGTTTCCTGGCTCTCTGCATTAGCCTCTGATTTTCCATGTCGACCAGCATCATGTGTACTGTCTCCTGAATGATTGGTTCAACCATAACGTCCTCCTTCTGGCGTGGGTGCTTACGCGAGAGCAACAATAGAACAGCCGAACAGCGCAGGCACTGCAGCAATTGGCAGCTGCGGTCTTTGACGTCCCGAATAGACATCCGTGGACGCCCACCAAAGGGGATCCGAATACATAGCTGTTCCCTCGCGACAGCATGCACACACTGAGGTTGACCACGAATTGCAAGAGAAGATGGAATTTACCGATTTCGGCTGTCACCCCCATGGAGTTGTTTACGCTTTTCACTCAGGGTCCCGAGGCACGCGCCAGGATATCTAAAGTTAAGTTTCTGTCGCCTGAGTTGTAAATCGCGCCCATCTCTTTCATCTCTCTTCCCACCCCCCAAAATGGCCCCCTACACCCCCGCCTCCTCGCGCCCCCATACTCCCCTGGGCCTCTCCCCCAGAGGATCGTACACCAACCTCGCCAGCGCTGCGTACGAGGCCTCCACGCCTTCCGGGCTCGTGTCGCCCGGGGGTAACGCGCTCGGCGCGATCAACGACGAAAAAGAGAGGATGAGGGCCGAGAGGGAGGTGCAAGAGGCTCTACAAAAAGCGCAGGATGAGGAGGAGAAGGCCAAGAAGCAGGAGGCTCCTGCTCCTGCGGGCTCGCCGGGTGAGTTTCAAAATTGGCGGTGGCTATAGAGCGGACTCTGATATTTTGACAGTGCTTCCTATATTGGCTTACTGCATGGCGTCCATCATGATGACCGTTGTCAACAAGTTTGTCGTGTCTGGCAGGCAATTCAACATGACATTCCTTCGTACGGACTAGCCTCGCCAGCTTTGGAACGAAGACTGACAGCTATCCTATAGTCCTAGCCATTCAGTCCTTCGTTTGCGTTGCCTGTGTCTGGGTAGCTAAGCGGATTGGCATGATCACTTGTAAGTTGTCCTGGCACGCCCACAGCGACTGTGAGCTCACAAGTGTGCAGTCCGCGATTGGGATATCACCGATGCTAAGGCTTGGTTCCCCGTCTCTTCACTTCTGGTCGCTGTCATATACACTGGAAGTAAATCCCTCCAATTCCTTTCCATCCCCGTCTACACGTAAGCTATCAGACATTTCTTTATGGTCACTGCTGACATTGCAACAGTATCTTCAAGAACCTCACTATCATCCTCATCGCCTACGGCGAGGTCCTCTGGTTCGGAGGTAATGTCACCCCCTTGACCCTCGTCTCATTCTTCCTCATGGTCGGCTCTTCCGTCATCGCCGCCTGGTCCGACATTTCGTCCACTCTTGCTCGTATGTCGGCTGGAATGGCCGTGGTGGACCCCACGAGCGGTGCCGATGTGCCTTTGATCGCGCAGGCGGGTCTCGGCGGGTTCAACGTGGGATACGCTTGGATGGCCATCAACTGTGCTGCTTCTGCTGCCTACGTACGTATCTCTTCCATTGGGCTGGGCCGTAGCTGATGGACAAAAGGTCCTCTTCATGAGGAAGCGAATCAAGGTCACTGGCTTCAAGGACTGGGACTCCATGTTCTACAACAACCTGTTGTCTATCCCTGTCCTCTTCATCGCCTCTCTTGTAGTTGAAGACTGGTCAGCTGCTTCCTTCTCCCGCAACTTGTGAGCTTTCCTCTGGACCTGATGAACTGTAGACTGATGTCCTTGCAGCCCTATCGAAGGCAGGACCTTCCTCCTCTCCGCCATTGCCTTCTCCGGCGCTGCCGCCGTGTTCATCTCCTACTCCACCGCCTGGTGTGTCCGTATCACAGGATCCACCACCTACTCCATGGTTGGCGCTCTCAACAAACTCCCCGTTGCCGCGAGTGGTATCCTCTTCTTTGGCGACCCCGCTTCATTCGGCAACTGTGCCGCCATCGCTGTTGGAGGAGTCGCGGGAATTGTGTATGCCGTGGCCAAGATCAACCAGGGCAAGGAGAAGGAGAGGGAGAAGAACGGGAGGAAGGGAGACAGCAAGGTGTAAAAAAGTGGCAAGGGTGCGCCACATGCGTGGTTGCAGAGTATTTAGTTTTATAGCTGGGCTTTCAATGCCTGTCGTGTAGTCTTGGTACGAATATAGATGCGTTATATACATGCTATTTCTTTCAGATCTTTCTCGACGTGACCGGCAACACAGGCTACAGCACTCTTGCCTTATTGTGACTCGAACTCCGATTCTGTTCAGCGCAATATCTGCGCCGCATGATGCTGAATCATGATTAAGTTCATACCTCCGAGCTCTTCACTACCGTCATCATTAACGTCTTCCTGGTCCAAATAAACCCTGGTAGCCCCTCTGGTATCCTCCCTGGTAGTGACCATTGTTCTTCCCCATAAACTGACTGGCAGACCTCGAACCAATCTTCGGTAGCTCCAGGGTTGGGGGATCTACGCTCGTCTGGTGCCCTCTACCTTTTTTCTTGACACCGGGCTCGTCTTTGCCATCGTCCACCATCTCCACCTCAGGCGCACCCGTCTTCTCCACAATCCTGCTCCTCTCTTCGGCAGAGGATGAAGTCACGCGCGATTTGTTTTGTCCGGCAGCATTCAGTATAGAAAGCTCGCTACTTTTGTGAGCGCCCAGGAAAGAGATAGGTCTGCGAGGTTCATCCGGCTTGGGAGAAGACCCAGGGGTAGGGAGGGAAGAGCTACTGGCAATGCCGCGGATTGAGAAACTCTTGGCAGGCGGTGGGGCATCAGCCGGCTCTAGGATAGGCGCTGAAGCCTCGACAGAGGTGGAAGATGGGTCAGAAGGGAACGGGGCTGCCCCCCTTTTGTCAAGTCGGTCGAGAAGGCGGCCCTTTGCCGGAGCGGCCGAAGGCCGAGGCGCCGTCTCAGACTGACCTTCGCTGGCGGGAGGAAGTGGTAGCGCATCAGGAGCCGACGTGGGAGGAAGAGACGGACTATCCCTCGGCCCCAGTCTGGACAGTAGGCTAGGAACTGCCCCGCTTGGAGCAGTGAGCCTTTCCTCCTTCTCTTTCGTCTCCTTGATCTCTGACTTGCGTTTCTTTGCCGGCCGTCCAGCATTGTTGCTTTCTTCTCCATTGCCTGTCTGCGCAGGGAGGGCCCCGCCAGTTCTGGCGGTGCTTGTAGAGGCGGGCGGGAGGGAAGAGGTGGAGAGGATCGCGGCTTTGGGACCCTTGGGAGGTGGTTTGGAAAAAGCAGCGGCGGGACCAGGCTGAGAGAGAGCGTCGTGCGGGCGTTTGCCGGCTGTGTTGGACATCGATGGTATCGATACGGCATTCACCTCCGCTACCACCACGGGCCGAGTTGGCGCTGGAGCAGTCTCCTTCACATCCACCTCCATCTCACTCTCGTCCTTGACCTCCACCTCCATCTCACTCTTGTCCTTGACCCCGCCATTGCCAACCATCAACGGGGCACTCGCATCCCTTCCAGAGCCATTGACCGGCGCCGAAACTCCTTGGTTCCGGGCACCTGGCGGGGGATGTGACTTTGAAGGGCCAGAGGGAGGGTTAAACCCGTTCCTAGGGCCCGAAGGACCAGGAGTGCCATTAGAAGCGTTGGGCATCCCTCTCGAATCTGATCTGTGCCCGCCGTGCATGTGCCCTTGCTGCTGCATTCTCCCTTGGCCGCGATGGGGCATCTGCCCTCTACCCCGATGGTTGACGCCTGGCTGGAAAGAGTTGTGTTGGGGTGGGTTTTGGGAGCGCCATGAGGGAAAGAATTCTCGCACTAGAGGAGTAGCAGGATTCGACAAGACCTATGAGGCATCAGTACCACATCACCGAGAAAAAGGGAGAAATTCGCACAACTAAAAACTGATGTATGTTCCGCCATAACTCCTGTTGTGGATGATTGCGGGATTTAATGTCTGCCTGGAGCATGAGGGTCCGGAAATCGAGCACGCGAAGGAGGTCGGGCAGTATGAGCCCACGTATGTCGGGCTACATGGATGATCAATCATTTGCGAGATACAGACGTGCCTTTGGCAACTCACCTTGGTGGCCAGCTTGTAGAAAGACCAAAATAGTATCTCAAACAGAGCAATGGTATTTCTGTCAACATTTTCGGCACAAAAGATCTGTTTGCCGTTGATCTTTTAAGTCTTCCATCAGCATAATGTCAACTTTTTTGTAGACAGACGCACCGACGACCCTAACCAAAGCTGCTCAATGACCCCCTTCGCCAATCTAACTTTGTCCAAGCAGGGATCTCTGACCTGCCCGAACGACCACGATACTTCTGCCTGCGCCATCCACTCTTTCAGCCCCTCCAACAGCCCCTTGGCACGGCCATCGCCTTCAGGCTTGAAGACGCTAAAAGTCAAGCCAGCACCGTGGGCGCTGAAAAAGTAGAGAATGTACCGCGCATCGTATGGGGGATTGTTGGGGTGATATTGATGCAGCCTGTCGACAAGCTCTTTTATGATGTGGGTGACGCGCGCTTTGTCGGCGATGGGGGTCATGGAAGGGATGCTGTCGGTGAGGAGCTTGATGAACCGGTTTGTACTCTCTGTCCGAGCATTGGCCCCAGACACAGTCGAGAGAGGGACGAGCAGGCTGATCACTGTCATCTTCTCCTCCAGCCCCAGTCCACTACTGCTCAAAACTCCCTCAAACTCGTTTCTAAACCTCTCCTCCGCATTCCTGTGATTGCCCGAATGCAGTAGCTTCTTCAAGGCGGGAGCGCCCTGGTACTTGAGAAATCTCAGAATATTGTCGCGAGAAGCGCCGGTCTCTGCCTCGGACCCTTTACAGTCATCTGCCATGACGCTGAACACATCGAGAGGAGCGATGAAGAGGAGGTCAACGAGGGCTTGTGTGACTGCTTCCAGCTCTCGAGGTGCTGAATCACTCTACCGTCAGCAACTGCTCTTCACTTTTGCCCCTGGTGTAAGAAATAGACGTACGGCTTGCAAGAAGCTGCAGCAACACCCCAGTATTCCCCTTGACCCATCTCGGATCCGCCTTTGCTGTTGGTCCCAGCCCCTTGATACCAACGATCCGCATATCCTCATCTTCATCTTCACACAGATCCAGCAAAGCGTCGATGGCTTGATCTTGCAGATCCTCAAACTCGGCAAAAAACGTAGGGATGTTGGAGCCAAAGAAGTGTTTGGCATTGGAAGATCCAACAGAGGGGAGAGCGATGAGGGCAGAGTGGCATTGTCGGCGCTGAAGGGTGGCGGACGGTCAGCGGGAGGGAATGGAGGAAATGTACAAGCATGACCTACAATCTCGGGACTGGAATTGGGTGCTGTAGCGTCGTCGTACAGGTACCGAGCCCGGCGGAGAGGGTCGCTGGACATGCTGGAGGGACGGACGACGGAAAGAAGGATGGATGAAGAGAAAGATCAACAAGCGTCAAGTGAGGATGCGAGCCGACGCGAAAAGTCCCCGTCGGCGGCGGCCACAACGATACATGTCGCTGAACCTGCTCTGCACGTCATGTATGGTATTGCATCAATAGTATCGTGAACGGCTCTGAATTCTACACTATATTACAAGTATGCCCTCAAACCTATTCATCGCTGTCCTCAGCGCCCACCAGACCAGCCTCGCGCAATATCAACCGCAGCCATCTCAGAACCTCCCCCTCTTCAACACCGCCAGATTCGTCTATTAGCTCGCCTATTCCTCGTCCGACGACGACGCGGGATTTGTGAATCAGGGATTTGCCCTTGTTGGAAGTGGTGGAAAGGCTGAGGTGAACAAGGTAGGAAGGGCCCGTGGCAAGCTCCGAGTCGGTAGAGCTTGCAAGTGCCGACGCCTTGGTAGAAAAGGAGGGGGAGGCGAGTTTGATAGGAGACTGGGACAGAGAGGGAGAAGTCGGGCTGGACGAAGGGGAAGAGGGACGGGTGTGGGGAGAGAAGGAGACCACAGGGGCTGGGGGAGGTGTGAGGGGGGTAGATGTGATGATTTGTACGTGGTCGGTCTCAATCTGGGCCCTGTCAGCACAATCATAGTAAAGCCCAAGTTTGCTTACCCTCTTGACCATTCGTCTCCGCTTGCCCTTGAACACCTCGCCCTTCTCGACCCACCGCTTCCACGCCCACAGAGCGGTTTGCAACACGGCATAGGATATGACCGCGACCCATAATACCGTCTTGGAGTCTTCAAAGCTGACTCTGAAAGAGTACAGCGCTGCAGAGAGTGCAATCACCACTGAGGAGTATCCAAGGCTGAGATGGACTGTTGGGTGAAGTAACGACGGCGTGAACTCTTGGTCCAGCATGTACTGTATGATGTCAGCTTGGTATGATTTCAGGTGAGAGACGCATACCTTCTTGACAATGTTATCGAGGGCAGCCTTGACTTCCTGGAGGTTTGCTGTATTCACGGTGACTGTCGGGAGGGGGTCTGTGTTGAGGGTTGTCGAGATGACCTGGGCGGGGAGTGCAATGTCGGCGGGGACTGGCTTGTCTGCCCCGCTTTTCCTTGCTGCTTTGCGTGGCGGCATCGATACGAATGATTCAAGAGATATAGACGATTCAAGAAGAAAGAGCGGCCAGGGCAAGAGACAGCGCTACATACAAATACTGACGTGGCATTTGATCCCGCCCTCATCTCGCTCTCCTAGTATTCTTCCCTTTCAGATGCAGACTCTCTTGCATCCCTCCATATCTCTCCCACGAAGCCACTGGCCATGGCAGACATCACTGACCTCCCCAGTCCCCGGGCAAAGCGCTCACGAGTCAAGTCCCAGAAGGTCCTCGAGAATGAAGAAACAAGACGCGCTCTGCACGCCGCCCAAGCTGCCGCCGCCGCATACGCCCCCTCAAGCCCTGCTCCCCCAGCTCAGCCGAGGGCCAAGAGACAGAAAAAGGAAGCCGACACCTACTGCCTCTGCAAGAAGGATACAGAAGGCCCCATGATTGAATGCGATCACTGTAACGACTGGTAGGTTTTTGTAAGCGGAACTGGACCACACTGACACATCTTCAGGTATCACTTTGTCTGTATACACATGCACGAGGCAGAAGCAGAGCGTATCCGTAAGGTTGACCCGACTCGCACTCCGGTCGATACTCACCGCGGAGCAGACAGCTATATTTGCCCATTATGTTCGGAAAGCACGACCATGCGAACCACCTGTAAGTGTCCGTCTTCCCATAGCCACATAGTGTTTTAGCATAGAATCATTGCTTTATTCATTCATGATCCCCTCGGTTCATCTTTGTGCAAGTCTGCTGCATTTCCACGGCTTTCTTGTGGCATCAAGGCCACTGCGTGTGTCCTGTTCCGCACATTCAACTGTTGACGCTGTGCACGACTCTTCCGAGTTCGTACGCGCTGGCCGTCCTTTGCTATCACAGTCGTGCATGAAGGGAATGGCCGATTGTCTGCTGTCATGTCTAGTCAGGGGCTGTCGATCATGTCGAGGACCCACTCTTTGCCCTTGTTGACTAGAATGTCGACTTGCGAGGTGCCGATGTGCCTCCTATACTTGTCCCTGGCCCATACATCCCCCATGCTTGTCTCGTGATGTATATGCTCATGAAGATACACAGACATCAACGATATCTCGACATACGCCTCACCATCACCACCCGCTGGCCTCAACATTGCCCCATCAGCAACGACCAAACGAAAGAAAAAGGTCTGTGCTGAATCTTTTCCCATCTGTAGTACTCACGACTGACATGTGACAGGCCGTCGAATCTCCCGCCACACCCACCCACTCCAGCCCCTCTGGTTCATCCCACCGGCCCTCAAACAGCTCCCGCTCCCCATCTCCCCCGGAATCTCCCGCCCTCAAACGTCAGCGTGTCCCGTCAACCTCAAAACCGACCCCAGTGTCCGCCAAGCGATTTTCAACTAGCCAACGCAAGACGAGTCTCGCCAAAGCCGACACAGCGGCTCTGCCTCCTATTCGTACCTATGTCCGGTCCAAGCTCTTGCCTCTTATCCAGAACATCTTTGAGGGGAATATGGAAGGTAAAGATGTGGAGGAGTATGTGAATCAAGTGGAAGACGCCATGTATATGCATTTTAGAGAGGTCGTAAAGGGAAAAGAAACTGTTGGGAACCGATACAAGTGAGTAAACATTGACCTCTTTTGACTACATATTGCTGACACGGCGATAGGACACAATTCAGTCTTCTCAGCAACTCTATGACCAAAGGTCTCCGCCCGTCTCTTCTCTCCTCTATAGTAGCCAAGACCCTCTCACCCTCCGCATTTGCACTCCTCTCCTCTGCCGACCTCGCCTCCGATGAACAGCTCGCCGCCATCTCTGCTGCCAAACAAGCCATCCTGGAGCAGACCGTCAAGGGCAACAAGGTCAAAGAAGAAGAGCGCGCGGGACAAGCGATCCGTATAGGCCGAGATGGGTTTGAAAAGGCCGAAGACTGGAAAGAGCGAGAAATGCGAGAAGTCATGCAAGTGGAAGATCGAGAGAAGCGGAGGGATGAAGAGGCAAAGAGAAAGAGGGAGATGATGGATGTAGACAGCGAGAGGATGGTGCATACCGATCTCGATGAAAGACCCGTGTCGATAGGCAAGAGTGAACCTACGTTATCCTCCAGGCCAGAGGTGCTGCCCAAACGCTCTTCTTCCACCACGGTCAAGCCCGTAGCTGGCTCGCCACAGTCGGGATCGCCGTCGGTCAACAGACCGACTTTTGCGTTACAGTCGGCTTGGTCTGCGGGATCGGGGAGCGGCGAGCATGAGCATGCTTTCCTTGGTTCTGGTGCACAAGACCAGGGGGAGATTGAACTTGACCTGGGTGATATTGCTGTTGCCGAGGTTGATGTTGATTACTCGGTGGAATATGGACACACCGAAGAGGAGCAGGGAGAGTCGGCGCAGTTGAGTGATATGCAGAGGTTTGAATCAAAGACTATCGCATGGAGAGGAGGCGTAAGTAATCATGGATCTTATCTGGCTCGTGCTGACATGGTTGTAGCTCGTAAACCCAGCTGCCCCCTCCCCTCAAATCCCGCCTACGGTCCTTCGACTCGTCTCTCCCGCCGCACCACACAATCAAATATCCCCCTTGATCCTCCCTCACCCCAATATCGAAATCACCGGACGTGTCCCTACCAAGAACTCTCTCAAGTTTCTGAGTGATATGCGCATGAGTCCAGCAAAGGAGCTTGTCTGTGGTATCTTTAGTCTGGGTGATGAGGCTAGCGAGGAGGAGAAGGGACGATGGGATGAGATGATTGGAGATTACCTGTCGAGAGAGTGAGTCCTTCCCCTTCAACTCGTATTGCGCCTAACAGAGAATTACAGTCGCCACGCCATCTACCTACCCTACGGCCAACACCCTCTTCCAGGCGCCATCAAAGAGATCTACATGATACCCCTTCGGCCTACCGACGCATTGCCCGATTTCACCGACCTCATAGACGGCTTGGACGTGCCGAAGGAAGGACGGACGGGGAACGTCTTCTTAGGCGTGCTGGTGGGGAGTAGGAAACCCCCTGTGGTGGGCAGGCCTGCCGGGCAACAAGGAGTAACACCGCCGCATGATCCCAGGGCGGCTGCGCGTGTATCATCAGCATCTTCCTCGCACCCAACTTCCAAGCCATCATCCCTCCCTGCCCCTCCCCCGTCTCTCCCATCTCGGCCTCAGGTGGAACAACCACCCCTTCCGGCTGCGGTACAGCCAAACCCAGTGGCAGCTGCCAGTCCTCTAGCGGGCATACAGAATGAAAAACTCCAGGCGCTCATGGCGAGTCTGAACCCCGCCGCTCTGGCGGGACTCTCACCTCCCCAACCGTCACTGTCAACGCCCGCACCGGCGCCTGCGCCGGGAGGATCTACCTCAAACGGCCCTCATGCTGGCTATCCTCAGCAGGGTCAAGCATATGGTTACACGCCGCCCCCGCCGCCAGCTGGCCATGGCGCACATAATGGGACACCACCATCGTTCCCGCCTAGAGGGTACCCTCCGCAGAATGCGCGAGAGGGCGAACCGTATCCTGGATTCCCTTTCCAGCCTCCTCCACAGAATATTGGCAGGGGCGCTGGGGGAAATGGTGGAAATAGGTGGGGGTATTGAGTCTGATGAGAAGGGTCACTTGGACGACAAGTGGGATTGTACAGGAGGCGCTGGCGATGCTGCGTGCGTGCTTTGAACGTGGCGAGGTGCCTATGTAGTTGATTTTCATTTATGTAGTTTAATAGTGGGTCAGAGCCACCCTTGAACAGACCGCATTAAACTTGAGAACGCATTCAACTGACAGAAAAATGCGACGGCGGCGTTGACAATTTATTTCTTTTTTCTATCCATCGCAAAATCACCCCTTCCACTCCCCTTTCATCAAACACCAACCACATTTATCCACTATCAACATGCCAACCCACGCTGCTAACAAGTCGAAGGGCAAAGCAACCACCCGGCGCCGCTCCTATGACACCAGCCAAGGCGCCTCGCCCGCCCCCAAGCGGGCCCATACTGCTACCTCCTCATCAAGCCGTCCAGCCCCAGTGCTGGTCTTAGACTGCAAGGCGTCGATGTAACTCGTTCTCAACGAGGCGATCTATAGGTTGTCAAAGTGATGATCTGCATAGGCTATGGCGGTCGAATGAAAGCTCACCTTCGTCTTGACAGTCTCCGGCTTCCGCTGGCTGGAGCAGCCCTTCTCCACGAGGTACTGAATCGCCCCTGGTGAAGGTTGGCGCGACCCCCGTTGCCGCCTTTGGGCGCTTTCCTCCAGCGGTCCCAATTGCTCTCATGGAAGTCCCACTGCGCATGATGAGCCACTGCACAAGATGGTACTCGGCAGAGTTCCCATCTGTGCCCAGATCTTTGCTCCAATTAGCAGTGCGGGCCCGCTTGGGGGCGGGCGAGGTGCCTTGGCTGGCGTCATAGGAGCGGCGCCGGGTGGTTGCTGTGCCCTTCGACTTGTTAGCAGCGTGGGTTGGCATGTTGAGAGTGGATAAATGTGGTTGGTGTTTGATGAAAGGGGAGTGGAAGGGGTGATTTTGCGATGGATAGAGAAGAGGAATAAAATGTCAATGCCGCCGTCTTGCCGCCGTCGTAAGCGTTCTCAAGTTTAATGCGGTCAAGAGTGGCTCTCATCTTAAACGGTTTAACGCGGCCTTAAACCCCAAATTGAATTCCCCTACTGTATTTCAAGCGCCTACCGCGGGATAGAGGATAGCCGTGATTGCCATGCTATAGATACATTTATGTATGTGTGATCTAACCATAAATTGTTTGCCAAATCCCAAGATGCTCTTCTGCGACACTGTATTTTCTGCTCTTTGTACTTCTCCGCCCTTCTATAACACACCTTGGCTGCCGGCATCATCAGCAATAACTCTTTGGGTATCTTCTGATACTCAAAACTCACGAGTAGTACTGGAAAGTATCATACAGTCTCGTGTAGTTGCTTCCCGTGGAAGAGACAATGAGTCTATCCATATATGCGTCCACAGCCTGGGTCGTGAGACCAAGCTGGAAACGTTCGCGGAAGTGCGCTGAAGTCTGCTCGCCAAACAGGACGAAACAATCGAGCCTGGAGTCTACAAACATCATTGTTAGCCTTCCATAATTGGAGCATAGCAAGCGGAAATCAAAATGAGATAGTTACTCACTTCTCTGCATGAGTTCCACGATAGCTGAGCCAACATCAGCATTGTACCTCACAGTTGCACTCGAGCTAGACTTACTGATCAGACTATCAGAGTGTTTCCTCGCAGCCTCGAAACCTTGCTTGAACAGCTTTCTGAAATACGCATATCCAGGGCTATCCAAACCACCCATGATATCAACATATTCCTTGGAAAACTTGTCAGCACTAGTCCTAGAGGTAGCAACAGTAACTTACAAGTGGCATCTTGAAAGGCGCGGCCTCGAAGCCCATATTTCCGGGAGAGTTGCTCAGCATAAACCCGAAATCAATATGTATCAGATGCCCATCCTGATCGACCAGGATGTTACCGTTGTGTCGATCCTTGATCTGGAGGAGGTAGGTTATGATGGAGTATCCGGCCAGAGAGCGGATGAAATTGCGTTGAGCGCGGGCGAATCGGCCAGAGTCGGGCTTGCCATAGGTCTACAGTAGATCAGCATTTGTCCAGAGATGGCTACCGAAACACTGACATTGACGTAGTAGTCCATGAGTGACACGTGTCCGATAGCTCCACCCTCTGCCACCCGTTTGGCATACTCTCCTCTTTTGATAGAATGCACAGAGACAGCATCTGTGACTGTCTCGACCAGCCCAGATGTCTCTCCTGTAATCAATATCCTGAAGCTATTTTCGCATTAGTAGCTACTCTTTAGATGCATAGCACTTGACTCACAATCTTGCCCAGCATTCACAATTTTCTTCCTTCCAGATCCGGGCAAACTGTTTGATGAGTTGTGTCGCAAGCTGTTCCTGCCTCAAGTCGGCACCAGTCTTCACAATCACCGAAATCACCTGACACCGTTCATCAGCTTCTGACATTCAAATAAAAGGCATTCCACTCACATCCCAGTTGACCAGATGTCCCCATGGACTGGCTGCTCTAATCCTACTCTTTTTCGCCGTCCAGCTCTCCTTGAAGACTGCCGCCGACGGATCGGCCTTGTTCAACTCCCTTCTTACAATTCCTTCATCCTCCGCTGTTCCTCCTGACCCGTTGCCGCCTTGGTCTCCGCCCTCAGTGATCTCTACCCCTTGTGGGCGATCCGTCATTCGCTCTACGCGTTCTTCCTCGAGCGCCATCATCTCTTCCATAATACGCTGTTTGATTGCAGCCGCCTGAATGGCAGCAAGCTTGAGCTTGCCTCCAGTAGAACCTGGTGCGGGCTCTTTTCCGTTCGCTCCGCTGCCATCGGGTGGTAATTGTGACTTGTCTTTCCGGGAAATCCAGCCTGTACCAGGAATCCAAGAAGACGATGAACCCTGGTTCTCGACACTCGCTTCGATCAGAGATGCGTTTAGTTGTGCGAGCATCACTGCTGCTGTACGCATACGCTCAGAGTAGTCTTCAAGCGAGATTGCCTTTTTCGGCGACTGAGGAGGACCGACGGTGGTTGTGGGAAGTGATCCAGGCGTGGAAGGCGCAGAAGGACCAGAAGGACCAGCAGGGATGGGCGAGCTGATAGAGGGCACCACCTGGTTGGGCTGTGGCGAAGGCGAGCCGATTGCGGAGGCGGAGCCATAGTTGTACCCTCCGCCAACCCCAGGTGTGCTCACGGGCGACCCGCGCTCCCACGCTTGCAGATCCAGCTGCTTGTTTTTCGGGCCGCTTGGTAGAGGGATGGTCTCGGTCAAGTCAGGCAGCTCGTCGTGTACTGACAGCTTGGCGCCGTACATCTGCTCCACCAGGTCTACCTCCTCCACTTCTGCTACGTTGACGTTTCTGCTTGGTGTCGATGGAGAGATGGGAGGTTTTGATTTTGGTTGTTGAGGGGCTGGGTTGGGAGAAGGGGGCTCAGCAGGGATTGAGCTTGGCATCAACGAGCCGAACCCATCCTGCCCATGTATCGTGCCCTTCAACCCATGCCCCAGCCCGTACACGTCTTTTCCTCCACCAAGCCCCGCTTTCTTCCGCCTCTTCATATCTTCCTGCACCACGATCTTCTTCAACAACTCTCTATTCTCGCGCTTGGTCGGGTCAAAGTCGAGGTCGCCTTCAAGAATCTCAACATGCAAGAGGTACGGCGCACGTTCGGCAGAGTTGAGAACGACAGAGTCGCCTGGAGAGATGCGGACAACGCGAGAGTGACCTTTGCCGGAAATGCGTTCACGGAAAGTGCGGGGTTTTTGGGAAGAATTGGACGGTGCTTCTTGCTCGTGAGAATGATCAGCAGTACACCACAGAGGCATGCAAACCTAATCAATGTCAGTACATGTTGTTTGTTACTTGTCAGACGCACCTCGGCAGGGAGATTGTGATTCAAACTGGTCAACTCGGCCCTCAAAGCGCTGACACGCGCGGGCTTGGGAATCACCAAAAGTCTGTTGCTAATGTCCTCTAGCAGGAGCAAGAACCTCACTTCACTCCTGCAGTAATGACTTCTCAGCAGCTGCTTTTGCGCCTCCAGATCGTAGGCAGCCAAGATGGCTTCCGCTGAAGGGGGACGATCTCCCGAGTATCTTCCATTTACCCCACCATTAGGGGAACGCGAGACGAGCAGTTCGGGAACAGAGTAGAATGGCTGGTGGGCGGACTTGGGGGGAGTGTCGCTTGAACCGGGACTCTGTTGAGGTTGCATTTGGCCGAAAGGATCGGAGCCTTTTCGTTTGAGCCTGGCAGTGAATTTGTCTTCGACTATCTCTGGCTCGGGCTCAGGCGTTCGCGGTGGGGAGTAGAGGTCAGGTGCAGTTTGCGCTGGATGGCGAAGCTGCGTAGTAGATGCGTTGTAGCCGAGGTCGTAGGCCTTTGGTTTCTGACCCTTTTCAGGAGCGCTATCTTCCTCGTCCGACCCATCGCTATCTTCCTTCTCCTTGATCTGTATTCTCCGCCCGAGTTTGTCAGGCTGCACGTCTACGCCTCCCTCAGTGTCCACCTCTACTCGGTTCCTCCCGCCGGTCGAATCATCTATCGGTCTCCTCCCCTGCGTTACAGCCCAGTCACCCACCAGGTCGACCATCGCGGGCATTCCTGGTGTACCAGCAAGCACCACACCCATTCCGACAAGCGCGGCTGGAATATGAGGGTTCACTCTGCCATGTTCTGCTCCTTTTCTCGCACTGCTGTCACTCAGATTTCCACTTCCCGAAGGCGCCTGCCCCAAGGCAAGAGCCGAAGAAGCCTGGGGCAGTGACCGGTAAGGCGAGCGAGAGGGTTCGGGTGGGTCGCCAAAGATGATGGAATGGCAGCGGTGGAGGATACGCTGGCAGATGGCGAATGGGATTGGGTTTGCTTGACGGGTGGGGGTGAGGTCGCGGAGTGCAGCTTGCATGAACCAGAATGTCTGCAACGCGTTAGGTGGGGCGCGTCTCTTCACTGACGACGTACGAGCATGGCTGAATGGGTGCTTTCTTCAGCGCGCTGGATGATGAAGGATTCAAGGGCATTGGATGAAGTGGGGTATGTGAGCAGCAGGTGGCTATCAGAAAGTCAGCATTGGTACGATACATGGTGCGTATGCCACATACCAGATTTGGGGCCAATAAAATTCGACTTCATCGGGTGGCATTCTCTTCATCCTCCAACAGAGATAATGTGATATGCCTATATTGTCCGGGTATGTCTTGAGGTACTGCATGGCGATGGAGATGGAGAAGAAGGGGGATAAGAACAGTCGGAGACTGGGGCAGAGACGCGTGTCAGCGGAACAGCGAGGGGGAGGGCGGACGGGGGCTTACAGCAATGCGTGAGACATGTTGGGCAGCAGATTGGCAGCATGAAGCGCCGGGAGAGGATGTCAACAGAAGAAGGGGGTGTTACAGCCGTGCAATGGAAATAGGGAGGTTGTGGATTGAAAGAGGAGATGGCCGCAATACGCGTGGCACCGTCACAGTCACGACCAGATCTGAGTTTGTCATTTTAGGGGTTCTCGTTTACTGATCATTCTCATACATCGCATCAAGCTGTAATCACTGTGTAAGTCGCCCTGATCACATAGAGGATACTTGACTTATACATTACAGAACACCATGCTTGATCGAAGTTGCAACGTCTGCATAGCACTCGTATTGAGTACTGACGCGCACGTACAAACGAGGGATCTCCTTCCTCGAGTGGCTGCTGACTGGGGTATGGACCATTCTTTACGTTCTTCGATCAGGACGGCATCTCTTCAATGTCTTGTGATCCTATCGGAGCTCAGTCCTAGGGCCGACGGCACGCGAATTACTGCCTAGGTATGGAAGGCTAACCGCATTCACCACTGTATCTTTATGGAAGTCTCCTTCTATTCGAGAGTGAAGTAATCAAAAGATCAGCTCAGACAACCAATTATCCAATGGATACCAAAGGCTATCAGACGAAGTATATCTATCCTGCAGCCTGCCGAGGGCTATCTTCAGGACGATATATGCAAGGGTATTCGGTTGAGAGACGGCCCGGCTACGGAGGGCGAGGACGGTGTCTGGACCTACAAAGGTTCATTGGCCGGAACGACAGCATGTCCTGAAGATATCGCGGAGGGAGATGAATCAGCAAAGTCTCCTTGGAAGATGGACTAGGTGGGAAAGGCGAAAGACAAGAGGAGTGTGAGAGGAGGGCTCATAGGGTATAAAAGAGGGCGTCATGCTGGTCCCCGTACTCGCCTGTAGTCTCCCACCGTGATAGATGCAGTCCTGCCTCTAGTCTTCTGTCAGACATCATAGGCTGTTTGTGCAAGTCACTCGTATGAGTCGTTTTAGTGCAGCAGGTAATAATCAACGACGAGGCATGGTTTCCACCCCATACGGCCACAGTCGTCGCAGTGACGCGCCTGTGCTACGTGCTATATGGAGACATATATGCACTGTGGAAATGCTGAGCTAGTAACTGCGTGCAAGCTGTCCACGTTGAGGGGCCAAAAAAGACGGCAAGGTAGCATGTAGATAGCCGCAAATACTCCGCATAGAGATTAGAGATTGTGGCAAGCTGAGCACATTGGCCAAACCTTCACATCGTGATTCTACACCGGGCATGGAGCCGAAGTATCCCTAGCATGGATAGTCGTGCAGCAACGGCCGGCACATCTTGCTGACGCCCCTGATACCCCGGGCCCTCTCCACTCGGTGTCGAGCAGCACCCTCGGTCCTCCCTGCCCGACCCCCCGACCTCTCGCTATCGCAGCATCACCCTCGGCCTGCCATACAGCCAGCATGGATGTGTCAGACAGTTGCTCGGTTATTTGCGTCTAGCATGGCAATATGGGCCATAGGCCGCGGAAAACAGGGGAGGCTCGGAAATGAGCGTTTAGTGCGCGGTGGTGTCAATTGCGAGCTGCACATATATAAGTACCTCAAGCAAGGACGGCCATTCCCCTGATCTCTCAACCCCTCACCAGCTTACTTAGGCCGACATGACGCTCATACCTGCAGACGATACCGCCCCGAAGCATCTGGTCCTTGTGCCAGTCGCCATGTGGTAGGTCCAGTGTCCTACGATAGATGCACCAGCTGACTGCATATAGGGGCCACATTCGTCCTCTCCTCCATCTCGTCGTCAACCTCCTCACCCTCCACCCAAACCTCCACGCCACCTTCCTGCTCACCCCCTCCATCGCCCCGCGTCTCGAGAAAGATCTCGAGCACCTCACGAGCCATCTCGGACAGCAGTCTGTCGTCGACATCTCAACTGGTTCCAAGCCCATCGCCGAAAGGCTGCAGACCTTTACATGTGCGCATGAAGGGACTGAGCCCTCCAAAGAGTTTACGCCGGATGTCATGAAGAAGGAAGGTGTGGATTTCGCCAATGTGCTGCCAGGCATCATCAGTGGCTTGTACGACGGCAAGCACAACATTGGAGGAACCTTGAACAAGTTCGAGGGCTTGCCTCCCACCTTGTTCCTATTCGATGTGGGTTCCATCCCACAAGCTCCAGAGACCAAAGCTGAACCTGGAACAGATGTTCCAAACCTTGATTCCAGACCTCATGGTCAACACTCTTGGTCCTCTCAACATCCCTGTCCCTCCTCTGGTCATGTTCTGCCCTAGCTCTCCTGCCCACGTATGGCAGTAAGTCAAAGATCCAGCCGCTTGGGCTGTTCACCTTCCTGACATGTCAAATAGTTCGTTCAGCCCCGAAGAACGAGGAGGTACCTTTGGCAGAATGCTGCGTTTGGCGGAGGAAGATATTGCAAAGGGCGTAGACTCCATTGAAGCGTTCGAGAGGGTATGTGCTGTGTGCATACGTTGTATCATTGCTGATCAGTCTCGTAGTATGGGTTCAAGGGCACTGGGCAAGTGGCTGCCCTTCCAGGTCTGCCTGTCAAGTATGACTGTGAGCACTCTCACTCCACCGTCCCGGAACAAACACTGACCGTGCGTTCGTAGACGAATGGTGTATGTCACTGCCCAGTGTGAACCCAAGGAAACCAGCTGACTCCCCGCAGGGCCGCATGGTGATACAGTCGTGCTTGGTGGCCAGGTTCTTGCAGCTACCTTGCCCGCATATAGGGCCTTCCTGCACAAAAACACAGTCGGTATAACCATGGCATTCACTGGCGAACTGGAGCCAGAGGCAGTAGCCGCCTTGGAGTCGGAGCTCGGCAAGACCATCTTTACCGTCGGGTAAGTCGTGTTGGGATTTGATTGGCATGATACTGACTATAATTTAGCCCTCAGTTCCCGGAAGAGATGTGGGAAGAGGACTTCTCCGTTAAAGCAGACAGCGATGACGACCGGAGGGTTGTCGCTTTCCTTGACCACATGCAAGAGAAGCATGGCTCAAGGAGCGTATGCTACATCAGGTATCACAAGATTACTCTTCGTCCATCTGTTGGCTGTGCTAACTCTCTTTGTCCAGCTTCGGGTCCCTCTTCTTCCCTCTCTTGCGCCCCGAGCTCATCCGCTATATCCTCCAGACATTACAGGAGTCCGGCATTCCCTTTGTCTTTGCCTACGCTTCCGGCGTCGCACCTGTACCTCCCGAGCTCATTGAAGAATTCGTCGGGCTGGAAGACGCTTGCTTGGTCAAGTTTGCGCCTCAGTGGGCCGTCTTGAAACACGCCGCCACCGGGTTCTTTATTGTGAGTTCTTGGGTATGTATACCAGTCATTTGCTAACGGATACATAGACTCACTGTGGCAGTAACAGTACCCACGAGGTAAGTTGTGATGATCGGCACCGCATGCACTAGCTGATGCCCAGCGACAGACCATCTTGGCCGAAGTCCCAATAGTCTCCATGCCCTTCATTGCAGACCAAGGCGAGATCGCAGCCCTTCTCACCGAAGTTCTCCATGTCGGCATCGACCTCAAGCAGACCAAGACTTTCACCAATCCCCCATTCAATAAACTGTACGACGGTACCGTCATTGTGGGCACTGAAGTAGCGATCAAGGACGAGATGAAGACCGTCTGGGAGAGGATGAAGGGGAAAGAAGGGGAGGAGATGAGGAAGAGAATGGGCGAGGTGAAGAAGACGTTGAGGGAGAGTATCACGAATGGAAGGGGAAAGCGGGATATGATGAAGTTGGGCCAGTGTCGTTGGTAGTGATTGGCCTCGACTCGTCGCATGTCGTGGATTCGATTTTGTAGCATACGTGCCTTTAGCCATAGGCCTTTGTGAATGAGACATAACAATGAGACAGACGACAGAGCGGAGTACGATACAAAATGCATCATCTAAAGGCGTGGTCGGATATCGCCGATATAGCCGAGAATTATCGGTGTCTCAAGTCTGGGATCCTTCTTTTGCGTGTTTGCGTATCTTTTGCAAGTTTTGCATGCTACACCCTGTATAGTCTTCTTGTCTTTTTCTTGTCACTTGTACACGACTCTATAATATCCTCAATCTCCCACTCTCCTCGGCCGACTCATGAGACCAGCCATCGCGACATCCCTCAGAAAAGCCTCGACTTCCAGAGCAGCTTCTATTCCCCTGTCCGTCCTCAGATCGTCGCGACCTCTTGTAAAGCTCAGCCAGCAACGCAAATGTGGAAGCTGTGAAAGAAGGATCCATACCTCTTCGGTGGTATATGAGGAGGGTGCGAAGGCCACGCCTCACCCGAGCTCGTCCATACACGGTGCAGAGGCACGCGCTTCCTTTCACGGTGAGCTATCTCCGCCATGATGGCCGACCTATAGCTCATTGCTTCGATAGATCCTATGACTAGATATGAGCACCTGGTGAGAGACAAGGTGCTTCGCCCAGATGATGATCAGAAAGCCATCCTTGGGAGACTACAGCGGTTATGGGATGACTTGAAGGGTTATGACCCTGGACCTGTCCCTCCGAAGGCGCCGGAGCCGTCATCATCCCCGTCTTTTGTAAGCTGCCTCATGCAATCATCAGAGTCGTGCTGATCAGTATCACAAGTTTGGCAAGCTGTTTTCGAAAGCCCCTGCCCATCCGGAACCCACTGTCGCCCTTGAGAATGTTCCGAAAGGGCTCTATCTCTACGGCTCGGTCGGCACTGGTAAAACCATGCTCATGGACCTGTTCCACTCTACCGTCCCCCATCAATTCCGACCCGTATCTCAAGGCGGATACGGTTCAACTAGAATACATTTTCACTCCTTCATGCTCGACGTCCTCCAGCGACAGCACAAGGCGGCGGCAAAGTACGAGGCGGCGGGCCTGAAGAAGAGGGATGTCATGCCAGAAGTGGCTCGGAGTTTGGCAGAAGAGGGACGGGTGTTATGTTTTGATGAGTTCCAGGTCACGGACATTGTCACTGCGATGATCTTGAGGGGCCTCTTGGAGAGACTTATGGGTTTCGGGGTCGTGTGCATCATGACGTCCAAGTGAGTTTCCCTGTGTTTTATATCTGGCGTAACTAACTGGTTGGCTAGTCGACATCCTGACGAGCTCTACATCAACGGCATCCAGCGTGAATCCTTCATCCCGGCCATCGAACTCATCAAAGAGTGTTTCGAAGTGGTCGACCTCAACTCTGGTACAGACTATCGAAAAATACCTCGCGCGCTCAACAAAGTCTACTTTGATCCCCTGACCCCCGCTGTCCGCTCAGAGATATCAAAGCTATTCAGCTCCCTCGCTTCAAGGGATCCAGTATCGACAGAAATCGTGCACAACAGGAAGATCGAGCTATGGGGACGAAAGTTGACAGTACCAGAGTCTTCGGGGAGTGTCGCAAAGTTCCAGTTCAGTGATCTCTGTGACAAGCCTCTGAGTGCGGCGGACTATCTTGAAGTGACGGGCAAATTTGGGACAGTCTTTGTGGAAGATATTCCCAGACTAGGCCTGAGCGAGAGAGATCAGGCGAGACGGTTCATCACCTTTATCGATGGTAAGTCTTGTTCTTCTTGCTCGAACAGCACTGATGACGGTACTAGCCTGCTATGAAAACAAGACGAAGCTGTTCTGCTCAAGTGACGTACCCATATTCCAAGTCTTCTCGGACAAACATGGAGCCGGCTCAGCAGCAGACGACGAGCAGGTCAAGACGGTGATGGACGACCTTGTAAGTATACGAGCCGACGCAAGAAACCGAATGCTGACTAGCTTTTGACAGGGGCTGGACGCGAAAGCGGTTGGATCTTCGTCACTCTTCTCAGGTGACGAAGAGTTGTTTGCGTTTGCGAGATGTGTCAGCCGACTATCGCAGATGGGGACCAAAGAGTGGTCAGAAACGTCAGGCAGATGAGCGTGGTAGTGGTACATCGGTACAGTGCATAGATATATGTGATCGCATATGGCGTAGACGGCAAACAGAACGACTTTAAAAGAGAGCCACGACCCAGACTAAGCGCTCGAGGGATGATGCCAATGGCGGGGTCAAGGCTACTGATCTCCAGTCTTGATGTAGCATGCGATATGTGACGTTCTCTATGCCAAACATGGTCATGCCAGCCTGTTCCGTTGGAACGCGGGACGACAAAGAAGAGTACGTGTCATTCTGCTCGGCCGTCGGTGCGCCGAGGTACTCAACTAGTCACGGTGTTCTCGTCGCTGGAAGGACGTGGGGTGCTGGAACAAGTGTCCTATGAGCTCCTTATCATACCTCTACCCTTGTTTGCATGTGCGGACGTGGCAGCCTGCATTGATTCTCTCCAGTCCGCAATAGCACAGCAGTTCATAGCAACGACGCGGGTAGCGGCTGTGTCCGCCGCAGAAAGTCGCCTGACAGGTTCCCTTTTCGCTGAGAGTTGCGACTTCCAGTGCAGCCATCCGCCATGTCTGCCCGCAGCGGCACCATCCCCCACTATGCCCCCCGCCAGCCACACATAAAGACACCCGGCTCAAACTCCAACTTCTTCAACACAAACTTCAAAGCATCCGCAGGCCATCGCCAAATGTCCACCCCAGCAGCAAGACTCAACTTGTCCAGACCAGTCACGAGGGCGTTGCTCGTCGGCGTCTTCCTGCTGGGTCTCATACTCCTTACGCGGAGTACAGGCGAAAGTCAAGAAGGCTCCTGGGACACGTCGACGATACACGAGCTGCGAGCTGGGGGCGCGCCGGTCGCTGGCAGAAGCTCCTGGTGGAACAGCAAACCAAGGCTCGTGACCGACGTTCGTGTTCCTCGCCCTATCAAGACCCGCCAGAACACCACCCTTCCGAGACCAACTCACCCGGGCAAGTCACGGCGAGTCAAGGCCGGCTCAGATCCAGACGACCCGCAGTACATCATAGGCCCGCTGCCCACACTCGACGAAGCCTGGGCGTTCTTGCATCCTTTATTACGAGAAGCAAAGGAGATGACACCAGAAGTGCCACGGGAGCATGAATTGACAGAACCAATATTCCCGCCGTTCTTGACGGCCGATTTGGAGGAAAGATTTAGGCACTTGAGAGATGTCTATGACTTGAGTACCGGGCAGTGGGTGAGGGGGCCGGAAAGGAGATGGTTCATGGTGACGGTATGTCGGCAGGTGGCTGGTGAGTACATTTACGGGGTGCTGTGGCCGTGTACTCAATACTCTGTAGGCATGCTTGCGGACTGGTTTGCTGCTTGGACAATCCTTGCCGACTTTCTAGGACCCGAGTCATTAGCTTTCTCTCTCATAGAAGGCGATTCGCAGGATGGCAGGTGCGTCAATCCCGCTCGATGTGGTGCATTGCTGATCCGACCGCAGTGGCGAGATCCTGGCGCATGCAATGCGCGCCCACCTCCTCAATATCGGTGTACCCCCCGCCAACATTCATATCCAAACCGGCATGCCCGCAGTCGACTGGGACGCGAGCCACCGAATCGAACTCCTCGCCTCCATGCGGAACGCAGGAATGCAGCCCTTCTACGACACCATGCCCGAAGGTCTCGCGCCAGATGGGCACCCTTGGACTGCGGTCATCTTCTTCAACGATGTGTACATCTCTGCTACACATTTCTTGGAGTTGATGCACCAGCACTTTAAGCAGGACGCGGATATGACTTGTGGATGGGATCACGCGGGGAAGTGGTTCTATGATGGCTGGGTCGGAAGGGATATGAGCGGAGATCTTTACACTCCCTTCCCGGTGAAGGAAGAGGACAAGGATCTGCCCCAAAAGGTACGTCACGTGTACCATTTAAAATCCACGCTTACCCTATGTGCAGCTCTTCCCTTCGTCCCCCGAATCGCTCCGCCGCTACAACCGCATGCTCCCCTTTCAAGTCTTTGCCGCCTGGAACGGCGTCGCCGTCATGTCCGCCGAACCCTTCCTACCCCCATACAACGTCCGCTTCCGCCGTGCCGCCCCTCGGACCGACGATTTCTGGGAATGTCAGGCTTCTGAAAGCTCCTTCATTTCGTGGGACTTTTGGAAGTATGGATTTGGCAGGATAGCGGTGGTGCCGGGGGCGCATGCGACGTATGGGAAAGAGGATGCGATGATGAGGGGGTGGGTGGATTTCCCGGATGAAGGGGATGGACAGGTGGAGGAGATCAGGTGGAATGATTAGTGAGTCTCTCTTCAGCTCGAAGCGGGTCGAATGCTGATCTGCGTGCAGTCCACCGAAGAGGATCAGGTGTCATGATTGGCCGGATAAGCCTGGGAAGGGATACTGGGCTTGGGTGAGTTCTAGTATCATCTCGGGAAGGGCTTGGTGCTGACCCACGACAGGATACGGTACGATGGGTCGAGCCGCCACCCCTTGAAACTCCTTTGCGCGAGGACGAATATCCCGAGCGTCCTTGATCTCACGACACCTCATCTATGGACCTCATCAGCAAAATATTGATCGGCATGTTCGCTTCAAGCGCACTGTATTTGTACGAGCAGAGAAAGCTCTCAGCATGAAAAGAAACGACTGAAGAAAGTATAGTCAGCATAGATACCCAGCATCAAACGGAAAGAAGTGTACTTTTGGGCATGTATCGCTTGCATTGCATTCGTCAACCGGTGGGCGGGCTATCTATCCGACTTCACTGACCATTCTATTTGTTTGCGTGGAGAAGGCTTATCAAATGACCGCCGCACTACCTTTATGCTGGCTCTTCATTCTCATCGCCCAATGCTCTCAATTCCAAAACTCTCCTTTGCCATATTCGGACGATAATGGCCGGTGATAGATTCATCAAAGGGTTTCGAATGTCCGCAGCTTCATGACGAGTGCGGTAATGAATACAAGACGACTGTAAGCATTTCGGAGTGCTAACGTGATGGCTGATTGTAGGTTCCGACTCCTCTTCGACGGCAGCATCATAAAGACGCAGGACCTCCGTACGTGTAAAACCTCATCTAATCCTTCCGAAATCACCGACGCATTCGCAACGATATGCAGGGAGGTTATTCGTACTCACAGGGTGGTTACCGTACGTTCATCTCTACCCTCTTCTATTCAACTGACACCTCGTAGCACCGTACAGCACAGCTCCTAGAACACATCCCTACTTCTCTCCCACTGCTGATTCCTACTACGCCACACGCCCCGGATCATTCTCAGCCAGAGGGTCGTCGGCCGTGCCAGGGTATACCACCCCTCACTATGGCTCAAATCAAGGCAGGCGCCCTTCAGGAGTGTGGATGGGTAGCATGCCTTATGGATCGCCGCTTATCCGGTCGAACACGTATGCTAGCTCAAGAGGTGCTTTCTCAGGCGAAGAGGACGAGCCCGAGTACGAGCATTCTCGACCAGACATGCCGGATTGGGAATTGACTATTGGGAATTGACTCCTGAATACGATTCTCCAGAAGAAGAATCAGACGCTGATTCCGATTATGACGGACCGCCTCGTGCACCCATGCCGCCCACACTCAGGCGTCCTAAAAAGAAGAGTTCGGGGAGCGAGTACATCGTTGAAGAGATGGATAATGAAGGGGAGACTGTCAGGATGGACTACCCTGCACCGAGGCGGAGTGGGAGGAGGCGAACTACAGCGGATGGATGGCGCAGACAGAGCAATGGTGCAGCAGCGACATCTTCCCGATCTGAACCAGCAGCCACGTCCGCCCCTGCCCCCTCCCTTCCCAGATGGACAGTGCGCAATCTCACCAAGAATCACGAGCACAGCTCGAGTGATCGGACGGTCATCATCATACAGGATCGAACTTGCTACAGGCTTTGGGAGAGTCAACTTCCTGGGGCGAGACAGAAGGGCGAAGGGGAGAGGATGCACCCCGATAAGATAGCCATTGCGCGAGCAGAAAGCTGGTTGAGTGAACGTCCCGGGACTTCGCTCTCGGGTGGCCGTTATATCCCAGCAAAATTCTACGCTGCAGACACTGGCCGAGACACCGATACCGTATTTGCCGTCCCCTCCCCGTACATCACCTCTCGTGGCGAGGAAGAGAAGAAAGCATGGGTTCAAAGTTGCTGCTCAAGTCTCTGGCCTTGTTTGAGACCCGAATTTGATCAGCAAGATGGGGGACGTAGTATGATCAAGAAGATGAAGAAGGGCTCACAAACCTTCTTTGCCAGCCAATTCAAACATTACGCTAAACAAGATCTTGGACCAGAAGAAGAAAGCGATGACGAGGATGAGGTGGTCATGCAAGGGAGATACTGAGACGAGCATAGTAGGAAGACGAGCGAGTTTACAAACATATCACATTGAAGATGGCTATGCAGCTTATCGGTTCTCGAGGATGATCAGATCGCCGACCTGATCAACAAGTGCGTCACAAACAATCAGCTATAAGGTACATGTGCACGTTATGAGCAGTACTTTTACAGCAATCTTTCTATTATACTTATAAGACAACATCTTCCTCCTTCGGCTGATGTAGAGCCGATATCTGCTACAGCGGGCGATCAATCACACAGCCATGTCGCACCGCAGTCTTGATGTATACACGTCTATTGACAATGCTGGAACGGGAGTGGCGCGCTCGCTATGAGTCAACGTCGCCCATCCCGCTCCAAGACCCGTTCGCCCACCGCGTGACTGGGTCTGTATAGTCCATTGAGGAGCTGCTCTCTATATACTGAGTGGTGTCAGGAGACTTTCGACCTCGAAGAGTTGATACACTCACAGCTAGCCTGAAATAGTTGTCCACACTCTCATCTATGAGCCCATTAAGGGATATCGCTATATCCTCGTCAGTCTCTCAGCCTCTCGAGAAAGCGGTCGCGCTTACTGGAGGCTGTCCAGTTGTCGTAAATCTGCATGTCGTTGACCAAAAGAGAGTAGGCAGTCACATTCAGAGCCTCCAGCTCTTCTGTGATCGGTGACCATCCAAGTGTAGTGGACGTGGTGACACTGTCCCAGAAGACGGGCGTATAAGAGCCCGAGTTGGCATCTCCCACCAGCTATTGATCTCATGAGTACGAATCCCGCTTGAGACGAGGATGGATAGACATACCGAAGTGGTCTCCTGCAGTATCCCATCCCAGCCCCACCTCCCCACACCATCCAGCCACAATCCCAACATGAACGCCCCCCAGAACAAACTGACCCTATTCGGCAGAGACAGCACGGGTATCGCCGCAAGGGCCAAAAGATAATGGTGCAGTCTCAAAGTATAGTTGGGTATGTTGGCGAGAATGATGAGGATGGGGATGAGGGGGAGGTAGCGGATGAGGTAGTAGCGGACCAGGCCGGCGCGGCGGAAGGACCAAGCTTGGATTGCTACGACGATCACGGCTATGACTATGATCCAGGTCAAGGCGATGATGCCGGCAGGGTCCAGAGAGTCGTAACCTAGACGCGAAATGGGGAGTCTGGCGAATACGGTACTGCTCTCTATCCCTATCCAGTAGCCTGCGCCTTGCCAGAAAGCGAGGTCGAAGGGCAGCTTGGTGAAGCCGCGGAGCGTAAACTTGAAGGCCTGGTTCCAGATCCAGTAGCCCACTAGAAGTACAGGGATGAGGCCGGCAAATACATCCTCCCATGAGGGAGGGGTACTGGACGGGTCACTGAATAGGAGGATGTGAAAGTATCCCATGACTAGTAGGACACAGAACAGGAGTGAAGGGGGTGGGCGAAGGAAGAGCGTGAATATCAGTAGACAGGCGGCATTGAACCCCGTCATGATGAAATGTAGATCCAAGCAGCCGAAAGGCGAGACACGGGAGAGAGTGTATGCTCCTGGGAAGGAGGGGCTGAATCCGGTGGAGGTGAGACCATTGCTTGACGAAGAGACAAAGTTGGAGGAGCCGGCGGGATAGGGTAACGGATTGATGGAAACGCAGCCACCCAAAAGTGGCGATATGAGCTTGGCATGAATTGCAGAGGCGCATACCCAAGAGTCTGCTCTTTGTCAAGTGTCAATATGACTGAAGTGAAGCAGTGCAGTAACTCACCTGTACGTCCCGTCCACATCTCCTCCGCCAACTATAAGCGGTTCTCCATCGACTCTCTCCCCACCTATCCACCTCTCATTGCCCAACGTCGTATCTTTACATCCTCCCATACATCTGAACGTCTCCCCTGCTAATCCCGCCAGGTCATCCTGACAATTCGTGCCATTGATACCGCACGTATCCGGGGGCCAGTCGTCCCAGGGCGCCGAGGTGCAGCTGATGATAGTCGGTGATGATGGAATATAGTATTGTTGCCGTATCAGAAGGATCCAAGCGGTTATCCAGAGCAGCAGAAATGGGTATAACAGTCGAGGAAAAGACCGCCGCAGGAAGAAGCGGTCGACTGAGCCAGACATGGACCTGTGGCCGACAGTGACGGATGCTGCGCAGGAAGGCTGTGGCAGCTGTATTTCTTCTGGGGCTGGGGTGGCGGGGCCGAGGATTTTTACAGCCAGGGCGTTGAGTCTTCTGGTGATCCGCCTCACTCTCGGGGGGAGCATCGCAGCGCCATACAATCGACACAATGAATGTATGGTGCACCTCTTATTGCTTTTGTTGCTGTCGTCGCCAGGCGTGCTTATGTAAGACCGTCGGCCATCCACGCAGATGACGTAACGCGGTGTCTGCCGCCTCCGCATACATCGCCTCTTCTTGGCCACTCTTTTCTATCCTGCTCTCTCTTTCTCATCATCAACCACCATGCCACCCCCACCCATCCCCACCAGCTCCCGCCCCACCAGCTACAACCCCTTCCGCTCATCCAACACCACCATCCCCCCCGTTGCCCCCGCCACGCCCCCTCCTCCATCCTACGGCACCCACACCGCCCACCCCACTCAGCCTCCACAGCACACCTCGTACGATGCCTACGAACCCGTCCAGTACTCGTCTCTTTCAGATCTACAGAAGAACAAGCCTCCAAAGAATACGTCCACGCAGACGAGCGGGTGGGGAGGCCGCGGGAGCTCACATGGGAGAGGTGATTCGTCGGCTGGGGCGAGCTCGAGTGGAGGCAGAAGAGTACCGCCCATACCTCAAGAAGGGATGATGCCTGCTGTCCCTTCGGCCCCTCCTAGGCGAGACGTATCTACGACCGCTGCTACTGCCCGTGAGCTGCGTCCGTTCTCGTCCAATAAAAAAAACTGACGACGAGGCCCCACAGCACCCCCTGTACCTCCGCGCAACTCTTCAGGATTACAATCATACATACCCGAAAGCGCAAAGAGCGGATTCAATACAGCGTCAGAGAGGGTCGTAGACGGGTGGAACTCGGTGGCCACTGTCCAGAGAAAGGATCAGGTGGGTAGTCTTGGCGTGGATTTGGCAGAGGCTGATGAACGGAAACGTAGGTCTTGTCCGGAGTTGGAAAGCTTGGTGCGGGAGCTTTCAAGTTGGCTGGTAAGGGTGTATACCAGGTTGGCAAGTTTGCTGCCAAGTAGATGGAGAGCGTAGTTTATCACCTTGTATTTTTTGTATTCTACTGATCTTTCAGACCACATCAGACACACGCAGAATTTATGCACCCATGTATGCTGTTCTTCAAGGCGGCCAGCAGGTGTGGGCGATTTATTATACATTTCATGACCATGTCGGTGCTATGAAGAATCGATACAAGTGACGTACTCCCTAGATGAGGGGTCTCTGTGATATATACTATGAGTGTCAATACGGATCCCTCTATGATATGGTATGCCGATGCAAACCCCACTCTGACTTTCTCTAATGACTTTATTCGATGTTGACGGGGGTTCAATGGGCGGGCGGACGTTGATGAGGCATGCTGATGAGAGACACATTACGGTGTCGAGCGAGGCGCTATTGGGTTTGAAGGTCGAAAACTACTTGAGCTCCTGTCGACTCGCCAGTCGTTCAAAGGGCCGCGAGTCTATGTAGCTCCCGGTAGCATCCACAAGCGTCCACAACAAGCCATGCGTCAACATTGACCGGATCATCGATATGCCCAATCTACCGCCCAGGTCAGCTCTTGCCCCATGATCCCACGGTGGAAAAGACTCACCCTCGATAGAGACGGGCCATGCCAGTGAGGAAAGGTTTGGGGTTGGACTTGTCGGTGCCGCGGACGAGGCGGGAGAGTTGTTCGATCGGTGTGCGCATAGGGAGGCCTGAGAGGGCTCGTTGTTGCGCCTTTGTCTATACACCTGTTAGTATCACCACCAGCATTTGCGAGCTATATATACCTTGATTGCCTGTGATAACGTCAGCGAGTGACCCAGAAATAGTCGGAAAGAAGACTCACATCAACAGGATAGATCAGAGCCCAACTTGTGACCCCCGCCAGACTTCCACACAAGAACGGTATCATCCCCTTCATGATCCAACCCCTACACCACTCTGGTACATCCCCCTGCACATCATCACCGAATCCTCCTCCTCCGCCTTCCCCATCCCGCCTCTCCTTCTTTGCACGTCCCAGGTAATACCGCATGACGTCGTATTCGGCAAAGTAGAGCGCAGTACCCAAAGTGTCACGGATAAAGTGAAGTCGCCAGCCGGTATAGAGGCCCAAAGGTCCAGAGGAAGCGAGGATGAGGCGTACAGCTTGGATAGTTGTGGGGGGTTGGAAAGGGGCAGTGCCCTTTGGAAGGGCAGAGTTTGGAATGGGTGTGGGAGGGAAATTTCGGAGCTCGGGGCGAGAGTCACGGTAGATTTGATACTCCAGCTGCCGCCTCACCTATGTCAAAGTTAGCTAGATAGCCATGGAGTTATAGAAAAGACATACTTTGACGAGCTCGAACGGCGCACTTCCAACACAGACGACCGCTCCACTCGCGCCGCCCGCGAGCATACTCGTGATGGCGATATCCTTCGCATTGTCCCCAGAGAACATGCCCAGCCGCAGGCCGATCCACGGATCCTTGACTTTTTCCTCATCGACCTCTGGTCCCTTCTGGCTTGCCTCTCCCGTCCCTGTGCCCCAGCCCTTGTCCAGCCGATCGCCAAAGGCAGCTTCTTCACTCTGTCGTGAGGCATCGGAAAGCGCTGGGACGGCGTTGAGGATGCGTTTGGTGGAAGAGTAGATGGTGAATGAGATAGTGCGGACGATGGAGATGGTGACGAGTGGTAATCTGAGCGCATGTCAGCATTATACTGGATCACACTTGCTGGGATATGGTCCATCCACACGGGGCCCGGGAAAAGACGTACGGGAACCCTCGCCATAGACTGCAACGTTATCAGCATGATACCAAGGGCAATAACAGGATAGCGAGATGTACTTACCCTCCGATCCCTTCTTCTTTGATGACTCCAGCAGCCAAACGGGGGATCGAGACCTTTTCTCTTGACGATTGTAGCCTCGACTTGAGCGAGTCGAGAGGAAAGCCGGTGAATGTGGAGATGAGAGATGCTGAGGTAGCAGACACAACCTAGAGAGAGTCAGATTTACCCTTTACCTACCAGCGGGGCTATACCTACCACCTTGTGCACTGCAGAGCTGTCAGCATGGCATCTCACGCAACAGACTCGACTCACGATGCAGCCACTCGTCAGCGTCCGCAGCTCTCTTCGTCCACACTCCCTGGTAGGGCGGTCTGCGCTGTGCGGAGGTGTCCGCCATGGTGAGATTGTGGCGATGGAGGGGTGTAGATGGGCGAACGAGAATTGTCTGGTTTTGTTGATGATGACGGTGGAGGAGCCGGCCTCGGCGACCTCCGAGCTCCGAGCCGGCGGGGCACAAGGGGACGCTGCGAGGCTGCTTCCGTATGCAAGGGGGCAGAGACTTCAGATGCATGGAAGTGGAGTGGGGAGAAGGCATGGCATAAAAGAGAGCCTTGGACATGCATGAGACCATGGAGTAGGGAAGTGGGGCTATCATAAATAAGCACAGAGAGATCCGGACACCGCAAGGACGCGACGCGCGTGACTCCTCATGATGCGTGTGATTCTCACCAAAACAATCTACTAGGCCCCTTTCCTGTATCCATCGCCGCCCCCATTGTCCTCTTGTCCTGCCCATGCAGGTTTAGTGCCCAACTGAAATGCTGCCAAGCGTGTACACGTGCCAAGCGCCAGCTACTAACAGACTTCTCACGCCCTCCCATCAGTGTCCCACACTCCCCATTCTTTGGTACGCTAACAGACAAAATGGGGGGCGGGATCCCGACGGGACACATGTGAACCCGAATGTCCGGAGCGAGTGTATATAAGGTCAAGTAGCGCTCATCCCCTCTTTCCCATCTATCTCCACAACCCACCGATACCACCATGTCCATCACAGGTGCTTCTCCGGCTCACGTCGTCGTCATCCCCGTCGCCATCACGTATGTACTCCTTCAACATCCACCGTGTGCTCGCTGACTCTCATTAAAGCGGACACCTTCGACCTCTCCTCCAGCTGGTCCTCAACCTTCTCCAAGCCCACCCCAATCTACACGCCTCCCTCCTCGTCAGCCCCTTCGCCGCCGCCCAAGTCCAGCGCAACCTTGTCCAGCTCACCGCATTCCTCGGTCTCGACTCTGTCGATCAGCTGAAGGCGGGCTATAAGGCGGTTGTTGACCGACTGCAGCTCGTCGAGTGCTGTACCAAGGGCTTTGAGCCCTCATCCGTTTTGAGTGCTTCAAGCGCTCAGATGGAAGCCAAAGACTTTTCCGAGGCTCTCCCGGGTGCTCTTGCTTCGTTATACGACAGCTCTAGGCAAGCCGAGGGTGCGGAGAACAAGTTTGCGAGCATCAAGCCTACTTCCATTATCTACGACGTGAGTCAATCTAGTCTCGCACCACGGCGATGTTGGCTTACACCATACCAGTTTCTAAGATACTTTGTTCCCGAGATCACCCGCGCCGTGCTCAATGCCAGCAACATTCCTCTCCCTCCCCTCGTCGCATTCATGCCGACCAACTCCATTGGCGCCTACCATGCAATGACGTACGAGGACAAGGGTGGTGCTTTTGCCCGCCTCGATCGCCTCACCAAGGAGGAGATCGCCAAGGGATCCACACCGAAGGAGGCTTACCAAAAGTACACCAACGTCTTTGACGGCAAGGTGATCAATCTCCCTGGCCTCCCGCCCAAGTTTGACTGTGAGCCCAGAAGTGTGAATTGCTTGGCAGACGACTGACAAACGGCACAGACGAGTACAGACCTCATACGTGCTGTCTTCCTGGTTCCCCCGAGATGCTCATGGGTGTTACCAAGGCCTCTGTGGGCGTGCGAGACCCATCGGTAACTGGCCTGATCTTGCCAGGGTCGGAGATTGGTGCTGAAGGTGCGGACGCTTTGGCTGCTGACTGGGGCAGGGATCTCTACATTGTCGGGTGTGTCTTCTCCACTGTATCTCCATGCTGAAGCTGACCACTGAACAGTCCCCAGGCGCCTGCTCAGATTTGGGGTGGAAAGACTGCTAGCAAGGCTGCTACTCCCGATGACGCGAAGGCTTTCAAGTTTTTGGACGACATGAAGGCTAAATATGGTCCCAAGTCTGTTGCCTACATCAGGTACGCTTCCTCATCTTATCTTGCTTACACGGGACTCACACCGCCTGACAGCCTGGGTACCCTCTTCTACCCCCTCCTCCGGCCCGAGATCATGCGGTCGATCTTCAAGGGCTTACGCGAAGCCAAGATCCCCTTCCTCTTCGCCCACTCTTCCGCTGTTCTACCCACACCTACCGAGTTGATCAACGAGTTTGAAGGCGATGAGGATGTGTGTATCGTCAAACACGCTCCTCAAGTTTCTGTTCTGGCGAACGAGGCTACAAGGTTCTTCATCGTGAGTCTCTTTTACAGTGAGGCGACGTGTGCTGACGTTTTCACAGACTCATGCGGGGAGCAACTCGATCTCTGAATCTATCCTCACCATCACCCCCACCGTCACCCTGCCCTTCTTCTTTGACCAGGCCGAGATTGCCGCTCAGCTCGAACAAGCCGGTGTCGCTATCGACCTGAAGCAAACCAAGACTTTCAAGGACCCTGCGCACAACAAGCTTTATGACGGTACCGTGATCGTCGGTACAGAGCAGGCTATCAAGGAGGAGCTGGCTTCTGTCTTTGAAGCGTTGAAGGGTGTCGAGTATGAGAAGATGGTCCGGAAGTTGGGTGAGATTCGGGCTGCTGTAGAGAAGGACAAGAATGAGGGGAAGGCCAAGGAGGCCATGGAGGCCTTGGGCAAGCTGGGCCTTTCTGCTTAGATACCTGATCACTCCTGAGTTTTCTGTGCCGATGGTAACGCAGTACAAAACCATTGATATATCGAAATGTGGTGGTATGAATAGTCGCTTATCTTCTGGTCACCGTGCTCATAGGACGACGTCGTCGGCATTGATTGTCTTGTGAGATAAGGCATATGAAAGCAGCAGTAAAGAAACATCGACGCGACGCGTCTGATTTTGCTTTCGCACCCGCCAAGCACTACATCACCCTCCTTTCGATGTCTCACCCACCATCTTCTGGCCCGCGCGCACGGACCCTCTCACAGACGAGAGAAGCCGCTGGCCCAGTTGAGGGTATCTATATAAGGAGCGGACTGAATACATTGTATCCCCACCTTCCTCTTCTTTTCTTCACTCGCCACCTCATACTAACAGCATCACCATGTCCACCACCACCCAAGCCCACGTCCTCGTCGTCCCCGTCTCCCTCACGTATGTACTCCTCCAACATCCATCTTGTCCTCGCTGACTCTGAATCCAGCGGACACCTTCGACCTCTTCTCCAGCTGGTCCTCAACCTGCTCCAGGCCAACCCCACCTTGCACGCCTCTCTCCTCGTTGCTCCTTCCGTTGAAGCTCAGGTCCAGCCCAGCCTCGTCCAACTGACCGCCTTCCTCGGGCTCGAGTCTGTCGACCAGCTCAAGGAGGGCTATAAGGCGGTCGTTAACCGACTCCAGCTGGTCCCGTGTCACACCAAGGGCTTTGAGTCCTCGCCCAGTCTGGACGCGGATTTCGCCAAGAAGGGAGTCCAGGACTTTACTGATGCCATGCCGGGTGTCCTCGGCGCCTTGTACGACAGCTCGAAGAACGTCGAGGGCTTTGAGAACAAGTTTGGTAGCATCAAGCCTACTTCTGTTATTTTTGATGTGAGTTGACCTATTTGATCTTTCACGGCGCATGGTGACTGATGCCATACCAGTATCTCAACTTCTTCGTGCCCGAGATCACCCGCGTCGTCCTCGGTGCCAGCAACATCACTCCTCCTCCCCTGCTCGCGTTCATCCCGACCAACTCGATCGGTGCTTACCACGCCTTGGCGTCCGAGGACAAGGGTGGTGCCTTTGCTCGCCTCGACAGGCTCACCAAAGAAGAGATCGCCAAAGGCTCCACCCCCAGGGAGGCTTACGAGAAGTACACCAACGTCTTTGATGGGAAGGTCATTACTCTTCCCGGTCTCCCGCCCAAATTCGACTGTGAGTCAGAGTTTTCTCACATGGAATGCGCGTCTGACGAGAGGCACAGTTGAGTATCGCCCCCACACTGCCTGTATTCCCAGCTCGCCTGAGGCTCTTCAGAACATTACCAAGGCTTGCACCACAGTCCGCGACCCATCCATTACTGGTCTGATCTTGTCCGGTACGGACATTGGCACAGAGGCTTCGGACGCACTGGCTGCTGATCTGGGCAACACTCTCTACTTGGTCGGGTGAGTCATTCTTCTTGGTTCTTTTGTGTACGGTACTGACCTTTGAATAGCCCTCAAGCGCCTCCCCAGATCTGGAGTGGAAAGACCGCTAGTAAGGCAGCTACTCCTGACGACGCCAAAGTTTTCAAGTTCTTGGACGACATGAAAGCCAAATACGGTCCCAAGTCTGTTGCTTACATCAGGTATCGCATCACCGCATCTTTCCTTGACCAATGCTGACACCTAAGCAGCTTGGGCTCGCTGTTCTACCCCGTCCTCCGTCCTGAGATCATGCGCTTGATCCTCAAGGGCTTGCGAGAAGCTAACATCCCGGTCATCTTTGCCCACTCCTCGGTCCTTGTGCCCGCGCCTGCCGAATTGATCAAGGAGTTTGAAGGTGACGAGGATATGTGTGTCGTCAAGCAGGCTCCTCAATTCTCTGTTCTCGCCAACGAGGCTACCAGATTTATCATCGTTCGTCGTCACCTGGACCGTACGAGTATCGTAGACCACTTGCTGACGTTTCTGCAGACCCACGCTGGAAGCACTTCGGTTTCTGAGGCTATTCTTACCCAGACGCCCGTGGTCACCCTCCCCTTCTTCTTTGACCAGGCCGAGATTGCCGCACAGCTCGAACAGGCCGGTGTCGCTATCGACCTGAAGCAGACCAAGACTTTCAAGAACCCCGCTCACAACAAGCTTCATGACGGCACCGTTATCGTCGGCACTGAGCAGGCTATCAAGGAGGAGCTGGCCTCTGTCATTCAGAAGTTGACGGGCGCTGAGTATGGGAAGATGTTGACCAAGCTGGGCGAGATCAGGGCTGAAGTGGAGAAGGAAAAGAATGGAGGGAAGACCAAGGCGGCTATGGAGGCTCTGGGCAAGAAGCTGAGCGTTTCTGCTTAAGCTAGAAAGGTCGCACATCATTGATTACTCTACTGCATTATGGGGATCTCGGCATGGCATATGTACATCTTTATCAGGTCCCGCATTACTATAAGAGTCACTCAGGGCACTCAGGAATAGTACAGTACTCATACCTTGAGACCTATGATGTTTATCGCGCCTTCTACGTCGAAAGTCGCCCAACATCAAGCACAATATCCTTCACATTATCCAACACCACCCACTCTCGCCTCTCCTTGTACTGAGTAATCACCTCCCAGACCCATTCACGTTGTAGAGGAGTTGGCGGCAAGTCGTGCTCGAGTGACGGGCTCATCTGTACCAAAGTCAGCCAGCGCCTCATTCCGTCATGAGCAGCGTACCTCGAGATTCTTCTTCACTGTTACCCAAAATCCCTTCCAATTCCACCCAGCATCCATTTCCAAAAGACTCTGCACTTCGTCAAACCATTCCTTCTCCCAAGACCCGTCTTCCGTGCCCAGGCGATCGATGATCATTTCCTTGACGTCGAGGATCGACTCTTCAACGCGGTTCTGACCAAGGCAGAGTGTCGCGTATATTCGGGGAAGAGTAGGAGAGGAGAAGAGGTTGTGGTTGATGGATATACACTGATTCTACGTGAGCAAAGGAAATATACGTCTGGAAGGGGACGTACAAAGTCGATATTGAGCACCTGATGGTGCCATCCTGAAGGGACGAAGATGATCTCGCCTTCCTGCTGCAGTACCTTGATCGCCCCACCCTCATTTTCCAAATCTCTCACGTCAAAGTACAGCTCGCCATTTGGATCTTTGATCTTGTCTAATCTCTCTGGAGAGAACAGCCACCACACTTTTCGCCCGACTACATTCGCCGACCACGAGTATGAGCCATAAACGTCGCGGTGTAGGGGTGTATATGTCAAGGCAGGCCCAGCGTAGGTGAAGCGAAAGTCGGAAGTCGAGGTCGAGGCCGACTCGGAATGGGTAGCTCGTGGAGAAGGAGTGTATGGAGGGTTCAGCCAGTCGTCTGTGCTTCACGTCTATTAACAACCCGTCTACGTGGTACGGGAGAGAAATACCTCTGAGACATTCTGGAACAGCATACACTTCTCCAACGCCTCTTCCCTCACTCTCAATCTCCGCCATCAAATGCCAGTCTTTAACATAGAGTCCCCTGGCAGCATCGATATCATTCTCCCACAGATCTAGAACGTCTCCTAATGGTCGCTCGGTGCGCTCGAATTCAGAGAACTGCGGTTTGAGGGTGTTTGCTACCGGAACGACATGGTGGGCGTACTGTCGGAGTCCTCTCAGGTCGGGGTCGGAGGCTTCGCCGGTCTTTGCCCCTGGAGTTCGAAGGGCTTTAGCAGCAGGCCACTGACTGGTATTTGAAGATGTCAAGAGGAAGGGCGTGTTGGGGATTAGATGGTCACGCTTGGAGTAGCAATAAGCATGCAGTCGTGGATAGTGAGCAGCTGTCTTACTAATAGTTGATCGTGTGTCAGGTGTTGATAGGTCGGGAGAGTTCTGTCCGGTATTGACGATACCAAGCGGTCGATGTGGGCACGCTGCTCAATCGTAGGCCCTAGAGACGGCATCGTCCGGTACTATTTTGTCGGCTTTCAACGGCGGAGTCTGAAAACTGTCCCACCAGATGGCCAAGCCGTGGAGTCTCGAATGTAGGCATACCCAGGATATCTTGGATTGTCTTTCGAAAAGAAGAGGTCGGCCCTCGCCGCCCCGGGCAGCCTCCACTTTCGTGTTCCTCGGTCGGTAGTCCGTCGAATGTCAAGGTGGTGGAGCTTGTCTTGCACAGCGAGCGTACTTTTGGGTATAATTGACGATGTCCACCATAGAGAGCCAGCCTCGAACATCCACTCTTGTCATAGGGGGAGGGCCCGCTGGCCTGGTAGGTCTCAAGTACGCCGTCCAGTACGGCACCGCCTGGGCCCAGGGGGAGCGGCCTTATCTGGTAGAGATGGAGCCGGAGATCGGGGGTACTTTCAGGTAAGTGTGGCCTTCTGTAACCATATGCCACACCCAATTGACCACCCGTAGATGGAGAGGATACGAGAACGCAGAGCTGGTCAGCTCCAAGCAACTGACATGTTTCTCCGATTTCAGGTACTTGAGGACTCGGATTTGCTGTGTAATGTCTGACTTGTATTTAGGTATCCATTGGAAGCACCTGATCACCCGTCGTTACCAAACTTTGTCCAATACCTGAACGACTACGTTAAGCATTTTGATCTTGAGCAATATATCCACACCTCCATCAAGCTCATCTCCTTGGAGCACACCGGCGACGACATCTACAAGCACCGAGCTGTGCTTCAACCCCTTACACAGGACAAGCTTCCGAAGGGCGAACTTTTCACTATCCTCGCCGAACGCGTCATCATCACTACCGGCCTACATGTCATCCCCAACATCCCTGCAATCCCCGGACTCAACGCCGTCCCCTGCACACCTGAACCTCCCAAGTGGATCCATTCGTCCGCTTACAAGTCTCGCAGTCAGCTCAAGGGAAAGAAGGTGCTTGTACTAGGATGTGGAGAGACGGGAATGGATGTTGCATATGAGGCGATCATGGGTGGGACAGAGAAGGTGTGGTTGTCAGTGAGATCAGGCATGTTGTCTTTCCCCAAGGTGCTCAACAATTTCCGGGTGTTTGGGACTACTTTCGATGGCAATCTCCCCATCGACGGCCTCATCACCAATGTAAGTCGTTCTACCATAGCTAAACTCTGATCTGACTCATGGCTAGCTTTTTGAGACGGCCTACGTCCATCCCTGGGTCTCCGCTTCCCATGTACGCTGGTTCATCTCCGACCTCGTCATCAAGCGTGTCCTCTGGTTCCTCACTGGCACCCAGGCAGGCTGCAATCAATGGGCCGGGGAACTACCACCAGAACGTCAAGGCAGAGCTTACGTCTTTCTCAACAAGTCTGCCAAGGCTATGCAATTTATCAACCAACCCTTCTACAAGCTCTCCCCTCTCCACCAGTACTTTGCGCATTATATCGACCCTCCTTCTCCGCCGGGAAATCCAAAGATCGATATCGTCACTTTCCCCAAGGCGTTCGATGACGAGGGACAAGCGATTTTCCCACCACCTCCCCCACACAGAAGTAAAGAGACGGCTTGGAGAGAAGTGTGCAAGCCGGACCTGGTCGTGCTTTGTACTGGGTACACGCAAGATTGGAGCTGGCTGGGCGAGGGGTACCCGAAGGGTCCGGATGAGTGTGAGATTAGAGGCGTCACGAGTGAGAAAGATCTAAGTGTTGCGTTTATCGGCTTTGTGAGGCCAGGTGTCGGTGAGTGGGATGATCAGATCTGGACGTAAAAAACTGACAGTAGTAGGCGCCATCCCTCCCATTGCAGAGATGCAAGCACAGCTATTTACTTCTCTGAACCAGGGGCGTATTCCCATCCCCACGTCGCCCGAAAACTACCACCTCCTTCACGCGCCCACCTCACGGATCCAATACGGTGTCGACCACTCGACCTACATGTCGACACTGGCTGCTGATCTGGGAAGTCAGCCCGGGCTGTTCACTCTATGGTGGGAGTATGGATGGTTTGTCGTTTTCGTGTATTGGTGAGCTATCCTTCTATCATGACTAGATCAAGCGTTGACTTGTGACAGTTTCGGAGCAGCATTTTCCACGTTCTACAGACTTGAGGGACCTTATAAGACTGAGAGTGCAAAGGGGATTGTTGAGACGGAGTTGTGGGAGACAATCCGCAGACGGGGGCTTGTGGGCAATATCTTTATGGGCGTGATACCTATGGTACGTGTTTTTCCATGTCAGGGAGCCTAGCTGATATCGTGATAGCTCTTCTACGCCTTGCTGAATGGACTTGCATTCGTCTTGGGCTTGGTGTGGGATCTGGCCGCCCCTGTCTTTGGTCTTCCTCCCGCCCCCATGGACTTGTTCCCTCAGAAGGAAGTCATGAAAGCCAAGCAGATGTAGAGAAAGGAAAAACAGTGCTGCATCAAGTACATCATGTATCAGAGACCGGGCGTGTATACAGAGGGAACAGAAGAATATAGTAACAGAAGACATATCACAATCAATCTCAAACAACCTTTATGAATACCAAACAGTCTTGATAGACCCAACACACCAGCACGTCAGCTCGCCCCGAGCAAGCTTAGCCGTGACGAGACGTGGTCCGCGAAACCATCCTCTTCAGCATCTGCTTGCTCATAATCCTCATCGTCCGCATCTATCCCACTGCTGTTGTCTCTTTCCTCCTCATCGTCATCATCGTCCACCGCCATGCCTCTCCCCCTGGCCTTGCCTTGACTCGCTGCTCTCAGGCTTGGGGTGGCGAGAGAGCGGTCACCAATCTCGACAGGCTTGACCCATCGCTTCCACCACTTGCCCGCGAGGTGTTTGATTTCGGGGTCGAGTCCTAGGTATTCGATATTGCGAATGACACCTTGCCAGGTGACGATACCCTTCGTCAGGCAGTAGTTGAAATGTTCAGCATCATGCCTGTAACCGAGTGAGCAAGTCAACTTGGGCAAAGGTGAGAGGAACGTACCAGAAGAGGTAATGCAGGATGACACCGAAGCTGGATGGGTCGGGAAGAGGTACTTGAATAGCCTTGGGGCTTCCAGGGCGGGTAGGTAGTACACGGGCTCCCTTGTAGACGGGCGCTTGCCACACGAGGCGGCCGTTGGCATCTCTTTGCGTAGGCGTAGTAGCTTGTGCGGCGCTCTGGCGGAGGAGGGTGTGGAAGAGTGATGATTGGGTAGTAATGTAGTCTCTATGAAGGGGAAAGACCAGTGAATTCTATGTAGGATGTCAGGCTTGACTCCACGGTGGTGAGAGGGAACATACGTCTAGAGGATTCTGCGTTTCCGGCAGACTGCTCCTCCGCATAGACAAGTCCTTGGAGGCGAGCTGTTGCGAGCTGGACACCACATCCGGCATCGTCCCCCCAGCGCCATGCGCTCCCGACCCTCCCACCCCCGGCCCTGGCATCCTAGGCCGTGACTGTTGGTCGGCGAAAGATCCAGAGGGTACAGCAGTCCTCATACCATCCAGCTGCATGTTGCCTCTGGCATCGTGGGGCACAGCCGTTCTCGGACCTTGGTCGTCGTTCCGGTTAGGTCTATGCGGGCGGCGTAAAGGTACAACTGGGGGTACACCATCAGCGAAGGAACAAAGGAGCCTAATATGGTGATGGGAACCAACTCACCGATATGGCAATCTGCGGTTTCGGGCGAGTACCAATACTTGGGTGCCAGCTCGACGAGCTTCTTGAGCACGAAGCGTTTAGGAATCTCGTCCAGGCTGAGCTGGTATGGATTGGGGTTGGGGTGCTTGGGCGCATGACTCGGTCCGGCGCGGCTGTGGCCAGAATGAACGGGCGCTGATTGATGCAGAGGATGTTGTTGCTGGGCAGCAGGGGTGATGGGAGCAGTCAGGAGGGGAATTGGTGATGGGTAGGGCTCGGAACGCAGGCCAACGCTATGCGTTGGTGTGGGCAGCCCTCGAGTTGAAGACACTCCGGCACTCTGCGATGCGCGTCGTACACTTCGAGTAGGGCTGAGGAAAGCCGGCCTTGCCCCTCGTCTCTGGGACATGCTCATAGAGCCTGCGGGGCTCCCGATATGGTAAGAAGGCGGCAGGGGGTCTTGAGGATGTTGCAGGACGGGCGGGGCAGCATGGCTGACTTTGGGCGAGGAGGAAGGGGCAGAGTTGGGATGGGGCTCGCTGGGAGGCTGGGCGGCGGCGATATCGCCAGACATGATTTTGGTGGGAGTGCGTGGTGTCCTGGCGGAGGAGAGTGGGATATTATAAGGGCGGGAGTGGCGGCGTGCTGAGCGTGCTGACAGCGACGACTCGAGGCTGCTGGGCGGCGAATGGAGGAGGCGGAGGGGATCTGGGCGTTTATGAGACGGGAGGGTGGCGGGTGGAGTGGTGATGGCGAGGGACGCAGTTGATGCACGGGAGTGTGATGGTTCGGGGGTCGAACAATAGAGAGAGGATGTGTGTTGGGGGGGTGTGTCTGCCGCGTGTTGGTGCGGGGGGTACGTTGAGGGGGGATCTGCTGCCTGGGGGGGGCCTGGGGCTGCGTGAAAAGCGGATGCAGGCTGCATTGTTCTCCCTCGATGTCCATCTCGTCCATCGCTATTCCCGCCACAAACAACAATAAGAGCAATCCTTCCGGCTCGCGTGTTTAGGGATCCCCGTACCTGGCGGTTAACGTCTTTTCTTTGGTCACGCCCTGAGCTTCGGCGACCGCCGCGCCAGAGAACAATAAGAAATCGAACAGTTTTTGAACAGGGTTCAAGATCCCCAATAAAGGCTACGCAGGTACGTACCACAAGCCTGGGAATTGCAGGAGCCCGAGGCTGAAGGCCGAGGACCGAGGTCGACTGAAGCGTGGCCGGGTTCCGGCAGCAAGAAGAGAAGCGAAGAAGCAGCGCTAGAGTGACCTGAGTGAGAGCCACGAAGGCGCAGAAGTGTGCTCGACGCTTGACGCTTGTCTGGTTCTGAAGGGGGGCTGAGCACTGGGCGTTTGTATAGAAGCTATGCGTGTATGGTTTGCAGTAGCGGGTGGGATCAAATCGATAGTGAGACCCGATCAATTCAAGGCCTTTGTGTCGACGGTATAGTCTCCTGATCATCGGGTCAGCCATGCTCATGATCACCGATAAACGGACGGACGGCCTTCAAGGCCTCCGAATGCACATATGTACATGCCTCTTCGTCCGAAATACCGTGAGATCTCCGTCGCCCGACTCTCAAGCTTACTGTACTAACTGCTGAGAGCTAGACGAGCACTCGGAGATTATGTCTAGATTCCTCCTAATGACCTGATGCCTGGTGCGAGCGCAAAGTCGTTTGAAGGTCGGCGATTGATGTCGGATGGAAGCTGTTGCCGTTGGATGATGAGCGTCGAACCGAAGCCGATTCTCAGAAGGTGCTGAGGAGGCTTTGGATGTGCAGAAATGCTGTGGGGCCTTTGTCAGATCAGCAGGCAACTTGCAGGCTTAAGTATGTGGCGAGACGTTCCGGAATGAGACCAAAGGGTGGCGGCATGGACCTCGTCCCAAGCGTGCCGTTTATTCTTCCCTAATCTCATAGCGCAAGCCACTTCCGTGTGATGCGGCAATGAGAAAGGAAGGTCGCTTTGGAATGTCATCACGACTGTGCAACTCAGGCGAACGACAAAGGAGTGAGTCACAGCCGTACTTTGAGTACATCGAAAGATGGCGTTTGATGGTAGACATGCCGTCAACAGCAGCGCCGACCTTTCCGACCTTCCTTGTTTGATCAAGAGTGCTGTGTATCAACAAAGGAGACCCAAGTATTATCATGCGGCATGCGGTTCAAGTTTCATCTGCAACCTGCACACCGACTCATGTCCGAACTTATTTGAACCTGGGATCCCTCAAACCTCAAAAGGATAACGTCTTTGAGGCTTGTCACGCTTACCTATACTGCCTATACTTGTACCCCCAGTTCTGGGCACTGAGACATGGAGGCGCGCGGAATGCCCCTAGACAGGCGGAGAGGTACAGACAGGTTGACCTACCTCATAGTCTCGACATGCAGGCGCTTAATGGCTGGTACTATCTGCATGCATCAAGAATTTAGCGCGGCGACAGACGTACATGTGCATGCGCATGTGCGCATGGGGGTTTACGAGAGCCTCCACGAGTCGAGTCCTTTTCCATTGACCGGCGTTCCGAAGGTCCTTTGCGTTGTGGCTGCGTCCCTGACGGTTGGCGCTCGGCATTTGGGGCTCACGCTGCACGCTGCACGCGGATGAGTGTAAAGCCATGCATAGTCTGAATAGGCAGTATGAGCAACCCGCAGCTATGGGTACCTGTGTACATGTATCATAGGTAGAATTAAAGGTGGCGTTCGAAAGCTCGAAGCGCTGCGCCACCGGCGCCAAAGCAGCAGAGCTGGTGACTGACCGTTTTGCTTTTCGCTTGCGTCCGTGGGGCCTTGGTTATTGTCAACAGCTGTTTGTCATTCATTTTCTGGTGGCCGGTTTACCGGTAGTATCTCATCGTCGCCCACCGGCGCCTCGAGCACCCATGTATTTATCTAAACGTGTTGAGTGACAGCGACATATGTATCATTGAGACATATACATTATTGGGCAACAGCCGAACCTATATATCTATCCTTTTCTCCTGATCTAATTAAGCAACACCAGCGGTCGTTCTCCCGATAGCCTTCATGGCAGCACCCTCCAGCACCGGCAACGCCTTGCCCTCCTTCTGAGGCTTGTCCAAGAAGCCAGCCCTGATAAGCCAAGCAACGTACAGACCAAGCTCCTTCTCCGTCACACCCGCCGTTCTCGGCTCGCTCGAAGCAGCCGCCAACTCTTGCGCGTTGGTATCGTCAAGCTCGGCAGACTTGGTGCTCGTGGGCAAGTCATCGAGGACGAAATGCAACAGAGGGAAAAGAGCATTGTCTTGCGTCTCAAGAACGTGTTGCTCAAGCTTGGTACGCCAGTGGACGTACTCGACCCGCTTGACGTCGTAGCCGAACGTCTGGAGAGACCCAAGGAGATCGTTGAAACGAAGCTTGGGGTGACCAGTGACGTGCATGATGTTGAAGGCGGATGAAGCGGAGGAGGAGAGGGCGGAGAGTGATGAGAGGCGAGCGACGTGGTCAACAGGGCAGCAGGTGATGGCGTTGTTGATGTCGGGGATGAGACCCAATTGGATACAACCCTTGACCATTCGCCAGATAAAGTCGTCGGTGTTGGTGACTGATATGTTTTAGCAAAAGTCTGCACAGTATAGAATTGGATACTCACCGGCAGTCTCGGAGTGACCCAGCACGTAACCGGGCCTCAAAATCCATCCAGACAACCCCTTCTTACCAGCTTCCATAATGATCTTCTCAGCGACCCACTTGCTCTGTCCGTATCCAGTGTCCAATCCGGTCCTTCCATCCTCCAGATCATCGCTCTCCGACAAACCCTTGCCAAC